AAGCCCGTCAGTTGTTCGGACTGACCAGACGATTACGGACCAGACAGAGGCGACGCACTGGTTGCAACCCAAGAGCTGATGGTGCCCTTCACCTGTGACTTCGCTGAGTCCGACGATGAAGTCAGAGAAGCCGGCCAGGGGTGCAGATCGGCGGATTTCGACGGATGAGCTGACTAGAGGCGCGCCAACAAGTAACTAGTTGCTTTTCCTGTCTATGCTCTAAATATTAATTGGACCAGACGCCAGGCCTAGCTCGTCGTCGACCAAACTGGTTCGGGAACCGTCGATAGAACGGAAAACATGAAACTGAAAACCACTTTACTGTCTTTGGCTCAAGACAACTCGCACGCGGAGAGAACTCCAGCACCTGCAGCTACTCGCACATACTGAGCCGGCCAGACCTGCATGCTGTATGTAAGAAAAGTAGTCAGCTAAAAATATGGCAACATAACAGAGTCAGTGATCGCGTCGATGTTTCTCAGATCGCGCTTGTACTTACACGTACGTCGACGTTGCAAGTGTACAGTCATGTACCATCGTGTCGTACTCGCAACACTTTCGGTGCATGCACGCTTTGTGCGACCCCCAAAAGGGAGAAAATCCCATACCGAGCGTCAGTACCATTCTACTCGTTTAGCCGATAAAATCGAAATAACCGTTCGATCTATTTCTTATCGAGTAAGTAACGAGTAATCGATATACCGGTAATCGTTTCAGCACTAGCCTTAAGGCTTGAATTATGGCTTCGGTGTGTATAGGACCTGATTATGCCAAATGCCGGCATAATCCGCTTACCCCTGCTAGCATGCTGTCCAGCGTGAACACACACCGCGGCAGGCTAGTAATAGTAGTATGGTCGTGACTGGCCCGCCTTCCCACACGTGTCACCATGGTCACGGTGTGACATTCGACACAGCTACAGTACAGGGGCCGGCTTCCGATTTTCTGAGGCTGAGGCCTGTGAAGGAAGCAGTGTGGGCCTTGAGCAGATTACCATGATTACTACTCAGTGCCAAGGCCTGGTACATGGTCTTTTGAGTTTTGTGCCTCGACGAATCGACGACGATACAGTCATGTATAATTGACGTCATCCATGTGCCATAGATGCGACAATATAGGGAATTACGTGTGGGCCCATAGCCATAGGCATAGTGGCACCCTATGCCACTTCGTTCGAGACAGGATTGGGACCGATGCGGAACAGCAGGGGAGACAGAGAATCACCCGTGAAGATACCCCTTTGGATAGGTATCGTCTCGCTGACCCCGCTGCTAAGACACAGTTGTGTGCTCCACTGCTCTGACAGCGTTCGGAATGTGCGGCAGATGATCCAAGCCTCATCTTGTCTGAAATGCGCGCAGCTGGAACGCATTGTACCGGTATAAATCATTTTAAATGACTTTGTGGAAACGTAACACTTTTAAATACATGTAGATCTACTTGCAGTACATGTATTAATAAAAATGTACAATGACTATGTAGTCTCACTGAGTCATGTACTGGTAGAGTGGTAGAGGCGACGGTTTCAAACAGCAAAATAGGTTGCAAACCGGAACGGATGCAATATTCACTTTCTCTCTTGTTGATTAGAAAACATAATTATGTCACAGTGAAACTACGATGTGTTTTTCTCCGAGCCAAAATTTCCATTCCATTCCATTCCACTGATCCATTGATAAAGTTGGACCAGGATGAAGGAGCGGCTATGAGTATGAGCAGAAAGCGGATGCGTTCCTAAGAACTGCCTTTGCCGAGTCCAGCCCAGGCCAGCAGGCTCGAAAAAAGCTAGAATTACTCATGGACTCTAACTGAAACCAAAGAGGAGAAGAAGACAACACGAGTGCAAGCAAAAGCTGTAGAGTGGCTTCGGACCACGTGTTTCAGGCTTTCCGCAAATGGGAGGGATCTCGATCCGGGCCTTTTTACAGGGTACCCAATGAATTGTTGGAATAGATGAACGGAAGTTTCTGAGCAGGGAGATTGTGCGAATATCAGCAGCCTCAGTTAGAGACTGAGACATTCGGTCAATACAGCCATGTACATGTACAGTGTACAAAAAAAGTCATGTACTTGTGTAGCGTATCCCACCGCTGGCACCAATTCTGTAACGGGCCGCAGTCTCTCTCGGAGGCAAATGCAGACGGGTCTCAGTGAACACACTGCTTTAAAATTATTAAACATTAACTCTGACTCTAACTCTAAACTGACATTACTGAAGGTTCTAACTGGCCCTTCTAACTGGCCTTTCTAACTGTCGTTTCTAACTGGCGTATAGAGAATTGTGAACAGCAGCTTTTATAGGCAGACAGCATACGTGCTGCAACAGCAATGGTCACGGCAAAGCTCAGCAGAGAGAAGAAGAAAGGTCAAAGTATGTTGTGTGGGCTACAGTCATTGCACAAGGAGTGCCATTTGATTCTATGCAGAAGAAGGAGCTGAATAACAGTGTGGGCAATGGGCGTAAAAGAGGCGGTTGAAAGTGCAGCAAAAGGTCTAGACTAGTATTTCTAAGGTCAATATGAAACATTGAACGCAGTGAGACTAGTTACTATCCATGTCATGGATCTGCAAGCACGGTACAGAGTTGCAAGTGCGGGGGTGCGATGTAACACGCGTGACCAATACATAGTCGTTAGTGAGGTTTTGCATTCCGAATTTCGGTACGGCGTTCTTCGGTCATTTGTCGAACATCAAAATGTCGAATTTTCGCACCAACGTTTGTTTTGCAAGTCGAAAATGATGTGTTTTCATTTCGTGAGCCCCAGCATCAGCAACGTCCTGTCCCGTGCTCCTTTTCTTGCTGATTCCAACGAACTTTGATCCCCCAAAGAGTCGAGGGCCAAACCTGCCTCCTCAGTCGCCTCAGAAAAACCAACTCCATGGCCAAGTCAAATTTTATGCGTGTCGCCATAGTCTTTTCAGCCACACAGATGACGGTGAGGACACTCCAGGCGAAAGAGAGTCGACAGGCAGCGGAGAGGAGCAATCAGAGGTAGCTGACGATGCTATGTCGCCAAAGACGCCTGCCAAGCGATGCCGAGATAAGAAACCTCTTTGAATAAATCACGCGCTAGCGCTCTTCTACAAGAAAATGCATCCGAAAAATATTTTCGGCAAAGTGAGCTTTTTCCGAACAAACACTCCGAATCTTCGTGTGCATTTTCGACCTCGCTCCCGCGTGCCGAATCTTTTTGCCGAATTTCGGAATGCAAAACCTCACTATTGAAAGACACGCTGCAGCTGTGTAGTTACTAGCGTGCCAACGCTACACTTGTACGGGCAAAACTACAATGACATGATTGCATGAAGGTTTCGGGTCACTTCACTCATCCGTACCAGGGTCGGTCGGTCGGGTTTATTTTTTATTTTATTTTTTATTTTGGTTACGTCCATGTACATGTACATGTACATCGAATAGCTTTTGTCCATCTAGCCAGTCGATCAAATCTGACTGTAGACTGTAGTGCAGACAATCCAGCGCAGTCCAGGTCCCTCCAGGACCAGATCTTGGCCTCGCTGGCAAACGAGTCTGACCGGCGAGCAGCTCTCACCTTGAAAACTTCTGTAAATAGCGACAAGGTGGCGGAGCTGATGCAGTTTCAGGACCGATTGCGGATCGGAGATAGAAGACAACGTCGTCACCAAGCGCTGCATCCTGTCATTTGGCTAGCCATGGCTGCTTCTGAGGTCGATATCTGGATTAGGGTCGCGTGTGTACATAGTCTAGTCTGTACATTTTAATTGCATGCACTATAAAAAAAACATGTTGCGGTCGGGTGAAAAAAGACGGTCGGTCGGGTGACCCGAAACAACGAATTAAGGAGGCTCCCACCTACATGTAAACTAAGGCTAAAGAAGTAAAAAATAAAAGATTCATGAACACTCTGTTTTTTTAATGCATAGAATGGTGGAGTGATGTCTCTTCTTCAATTGGGTATAGTATTTAGGTAGGGTCACCAGGCATATAAGAGGTATTCTGGTGTATTTAGTGAGTGTACAATTTCTTGATTTTCGGCAAAAAAATGGTAAAAAAATTTGGTTTTTGACCCAAAGAAGCCTCCTGGAAGGAGGATATTAATTAAGCATTTTCTTCATCATATGTTTAAGAACCACATTTGGACGTATCTTGGCTACACAAGATAGACGGTGTCTTGGTTTTGCCCTTGGCGAGCCACTTTTTCGAAATTACGGGTACCGAAATTTCCATTGGGTGCTAAATTGTGAAATGGTTCAGCCTGCAACATTTTGTCCATGGACATATTGATTTTTGTGGCTTTCTGTGATCCTTGAGCCCCAAGGAAACCGATAATGGACAGTTTTTATGGTGTCACCAATTTTTGATTGCGATGCATCGATATCGATGACACGAAAATGCAACTACATGTATGCTGTATGTGTGGATATTATGCGTGTGCATGACTGCATGTGCATGACTGCATGTGCATAATGGAAATGCGTACAAAAAATCTGGCGAGACCTATCATCAAGTGCAAGAGGCCCTAGACGGTAGACCCCCCTAGTAGGCTAGTCTAGCCGGGGGCCTAGTCCATATCATAAACTGTTTATGCACTCTTGCTATCATGCTGCTAATCAGGGAGTCGTAAAATATTTTACGACTCCCTGCTGCTAATGTGTGAGTAGATTGGGCCTGGGCCCATGGCCCAGGCTGGGGTCTAGATCTACGTAGACCCGGCCCCGCGCTCTTGGGTACGGGAAAGAAGTGTCGTACCGCGCATGTCGCACCTGCTCTGTACATGTAGTACATAGTTCTGCCTTGCGATCCCTTCGACTAGCGTCATGTCAGCGAGCAGGTAGGCCACGTAGGATCTGTACGTACGACTCGTACTCGTAGATCTACTCGTACTTTTTAAAACTACTTTCTGCCTTTTTATTTTGAGTGATTTTTCGGATGCAGCTAGCCACCATGTACTCGTACAGCGCCGACAGAGCTCAGTAGAGCTGTACTGAGCTCACGAGTCACGAGCCGTACCTACCCAGTCGGTACGCGGTTGGTCTGCGTATCGGGGCTCGTAGACAGACATCTGATTTTGGTGCAGGACTAGAAAAAAGAGTGGCCACAAGGAGAAGGTGCGTTTCAGGGTTTTTGTAACTGTTGTAGTCTGGCAGCCCCACTTGTCCTCTGGACCTTCTTCGTTCACCTTTGTCACTGGACAAACTAAGGGCTCCTCATTGTTGGTGCAAGCCAAAGTTCATTCTTGATGCGGATGAACTTGTTTTGTTGAAGGTTAGTTCTTTTTCTTCTCGTGGCCTCATTTACACCCAATTTTTCACCTCGTGTTTTGACGAACTTAGTACAAGTTGGGTGCATGGGTGCAAAGACGTGCGCATGTGTCCCCTTCATCCCGTTGTTGGAAAGGTGAAACATCATTTTATCGTAAAATCAGATAGGTATAGATGTAAACTGCTGGTGCATGTCCTTTCTCATTGACCTATTCTCGATGGCCTACCTCTAAACCATCCACATGTAACGCCGGCCTTTTCTCGTATCACGTGTAATAAATTCCTCCGTCACTCTTTATGCATTCCTCTTCACAAACCTGCTTGCGTATGGCTTCTCGTAACATGTCCTACTGATCGTGCTCATACATCAACCGAATTTCCTGCATTATTGATTGTAAACATACATTGGCAATAGGATCGATCGTCGTCTGATCTCGTCGTAGAGAGGAAGATGAAAATAATGATTTTGTGTTCCGACTGCATTGAGCTCACGATATCCCGATTCGCGAAAGAAAATAAACAATATTATTAGTTTGAGGAAGATGCATATGGGAAAAGTCTGAAGAAAAAATTGACTGTCACCACCAGGACTTGAACCAGGGACCCTTGCCTATGGCCTGCAATGCTCTACCACACATCATATCGAGTAGTCGTCATCCAAGCAGCGACCGTTCAACATTTTTTTCTTCAGAAACTCACACTTCCTGTGAATCCACACAGTTGGCCAATTGGGTGGGACGCAGCCCTCACTATAACCCACACACTTCACGCACAAACTAGCACGTGGGGAGCCCCAAGTCTTAGTATTCATTTATAAATTATAGTTTGAGGGAAACTATAATAATTTTCACCAACAGTTTTATGCACTGAAGTGCATTGACGATTTCAAGATTGATTCGTAAAAGATCAAGTACCGTATTTTCTGGAGTATAAGCCACACTTTGAACACTCGAAATTCACCCAAAAAAAGGGGGGCGGTGCGGCTTGTATGCTCCGATGATCAAATTAATGCTGATAAACAGGATAGATGTTCCATTTCGTGGCAAAAGGGGGGGGGGGGGGTGCGGCTCATACTTTGAAAAATACGGTATTATACTGTATTGACGGCACCTTACTATCAAGGCATCAGCACTCATTCTCTATGCGCTGCAGCCACAAGTAACTCACAAGTAACTCGATTTCTCTGGCCTTATATGCACTTCCGAAAGGTGACGGCAAGAGTACATAACCCCCCCCCCCCCAGAGTGTGCAACGCCGATCCAGCTCTGTGTAGGGTCTTGGTCGAGCGGAATCGGATCTTCTGATGTCATGCGTACACTTCACACCAGCGCAAGGCCGGTCTCGAGGCAGGGCACCATTGTTTTTGATCCAAGAGTACCCGCGACTCCCCGGGTTCCCCTCAGATGTGTACGGTATTATGACGCAAAGATCCGATTCCGCTCGACCAAGACCCTATGCAGAGCTGGATCAGGTGTTGCACACTCTGGGGGGTTATGTAGTTATGTACTCTTGGTGACGGTGTACGAGAACTATTTGTGCTATACTAACTCGGGAGCAGGCCATTCTGAAGTGATGCTATGCTTGGCTGACTGTTACAAACGGTTCTTCCGTGTGTGTGTGTGTGTGTGTGTGTGCATGTGTATTCTATTCTTGCTTGCTTGCTCATTGCAGCTCTTGCAGTTTGACACAGGAAGTTAGTTGACGTGTTAAATGCAAGGTGCTATGCAAAGGTGAGTCACGTTTTCTCCAAGACTATTTTTCTGTGGGGGGGGGGGGGTTGGGGGGAGGGGGAGAGAGAGGGAGAGAGGGAGAGAGAGAGAGAGAGAGAGAGAGAGAGAGAGAGAGAGAGAGAGAGAGAGAGAGAGAGAGAGAGAGAGAGAGAGAGAGAGCGAGGGAGGGAGGGAGAGAGAGAGAGAGAGAGAGAGAGAGAGAGAGAGAGAGAGAGAGAGAGAGAGAGAGAGAGAGACAACGAGAGTATACTGCAGTGGTCTTCATGAGTTTGGGAAAGTGGATTTGTCGTTTTATCTAATGTTCGATTAGTTTTGGATGTTGAGGTGTGCTGATAATCTGCAGTCTTGTGCTGGTGTCACAGTATGTGTGTCATACTGCAGTGTAGTGTGACATCAGTGTTTTACCATATCCTCATACTGTAGAGGCAGAAAATTTCGTCGGTCAATAATTTCGTCCAACTCCAAAGAAAAGGAGTTCGTCCGGTTGAAAATTTCGTCCATGGGTCATAAGAGTGTATAGAAACGCTGGACAAATCGATATTCGTCCTACATTTAATTTAGTCCAAAAGCTCCTTGGACGAAAAAGACGAAATTAAATTCCAGACGAATATTTCTGCTTATACAGTAACTAATATAGTCTTAAACCCACATGCGTGCACTTGCGGCCAACGTATATGTACATGTATATGCACGCGTGTACTCCGCATTGCAATATGCTTGCGAAACGTTGCTCACGCCAGCACACAAAGCAGATAACCTACAGTGCGTTTCAAAAAAATCCTGGCACCACGAGGCCGTCACTTCTCACGTGCCCGCGTGGGCTAACGTGGCTTTGATACTCCGGCATTTAACGGTGAGTCGTGCTATCTCTAACCCTGTATGCCAAATTGTACTTGATCCGCGTCAGCAATATTGTCGCTTATCTCTCAGCTTTGTATGTCGCCAATGCTCACTCAGCAGCCCATTTCATCCCAATTTTGGTTAGTAAGTTAGTTTACTAGTACCTGAATGGTCTAGCTAGATTTCGAATGGATTTCGAGAGCGACGGGTGGGTGATTCTGATTGATACAGCGCCGCATCAAAATGGATTATCTTGTCACACTGCGCAGGCAAGAGCAGCGCGATGCCCAAGAAAGTAATCGGCTACTCGGAATCAGTTCCATTTTGCAAAACGGCCGAGATCGCTTACGTCAGGGATCGCTCGCCAAGCTGAGATCGCAATTCCCTCACCTCCAGCTCAACGCTCGGAGTATCCAGCGCATCGTGGAGATTTGCAAGTACTGTAGCCGTCGTCGTCGTTCAAAAGAGATCTTGCAAAAAACGGCGGCTGATTTGAACCAAACAGGCAGTCGTGTTGCCCACGCGAAGTCCGATAGAGAAGGCGACTGTCACGGTCGACTTCCCTTTAGAAAATAGCCAGGCAGCGGAGAGGAAGAGAGATGAGCTTGCGAAAGCGAGAGTGTCGATCCCGAGCAAAAAATATTTGTCAACAGCGCCGAGAGCAGCAACGAGGAGGACCAAAAAAGTATGAACCCTTCCTTGGACAATAAATTCCTCATGGCCTGTTGTCATTCTGTACCTAAGTCCTTACCTTCCATCATACTAAGTTTTATCATCTCAAGCGCAAGCGTTGATGTCCAAAGTCTAAGTTCGAATAGTCGAAAGATAAGCGACAATATTGCTGACGCGGACCAAGTACGCTCTGGCTCATTTTCGTTTGCTTGTGTGGTAGCAGTGTTCCCTTAGCTTTTGCCAATGAATGTCTAATGTGTGTCTGTGTGTGTTACTAATTTCACAGTGACAGTCAGCGTCAGCCCGGAAGCGTTCACCAAAGTGTTGGTTTACCTACGAGTGGCAATACGACCACATGGGAAACACCCAGCCATGCCTTGTCTGCTTCCTCCACGATGCAGCAACAGCAGCAACAGCAGCAGGCGTCTGATGCACCATATGCAGCTGCAAGCAGTCCAGCTATGTCAATGAGTACAGCCAATAGCTCTCCGCCAACACCTATGTCGCACGGGCCACCGTCCAATGCACCGACCAACGACCAACATGGACAGCAGCATGTTCTCGGTGGCCCGATGATGCATGATACTCCAATGGGTAGTGGTGGTAACAGCTCTATGGATATGCACAATCATCAAGGCTATGATGAGAAAGTGAATGTGAATGCCGCGCAAGTAGCAGGTGTTGGTGGCGATCTGCATGGTCAGCCGTACGATGACAAACTGGCTGGTGATGGCCAGCAATACGCCGGCGACAAGCTATGCCTGGTCTGTGGAGACGACGCACTGGGACGGCACTTTGGCGTCCTTACTTGTGAAGCGTGCAAGTCATTCTTTCGACGAAGTGTGCGACAGTCCGCGCAGTACTTCTGCCGATACAATCGCAACTGTGCTGTGCAGAAGAATAATCGAAATAAATGCCAGTACTGTCGTTACCAGAAGTGTGTTGCTGTGGGCATGCAGATCGATGGTGAGTACAGTGTGCTCGTTAGGCGTAGCAACTTCTGAATGCTCTCTGCATGTGTGTGTGTGTGTGTGTGTGTGTGTGTGTGTGTGTGTGTGTGTGTGTGTGTGTGTGTGTGTGTGTGTGTGTGTGTGTGTGTGTGTGTGTGTGTTTTGTGTGTGATTGGCCATTGTGATTGTCCGTGATAAGGTCAAACACGAATGGGTGGCCGTTACATGACCACTTCTAGGTAAAGTTGGTTTCTACTGTTCACTGTTCATTAATTTGAGTGGCATTATGTGGGGTCAACGGCTGCATAGAGGTTTAATGGCTCAAATAGCCGCGAAAGTGAGGGCTTTGCTGGAACCCTTATTTTCTCAGATACAGCTGAACTGAGCGCGCTGGTATGAGGGGCACCGTGTCGTTTGACTACGGCCATATCTTTACCAGCTAGTCCCATGCTCAACCCAGCCAGTCACTACCGCCATGTTTGTCAGTCTACTGTGAAGAATAGCGCTGCAAACGTGTATTGATCCCTGCACGCAATAGATCCTAGTAGATGTGAAAGTCAGAGCCTTGAGGACTGGAGACTAGCTGTGATTTGGCACTGCCAAGTCCTGTGCTGATTGACTGCAGCAATAGATGTTGGGCTTCTTGGATGCAATATTTACAGGGTCTGTATTCCTGCCTAGGTTGGCAAATGACTCGAACACTGACTTGTCTGGTCTCTTGCAGTGACTGCTGGTCCAGTTTAGTAAGGCTGCATGTGCTCTGATTTTGTCCACACCCTGGTCATTCCTGTGGCTTACATTGATAGCAATGACAGCACCAGGACATAGCCATCCCGCTTCAGAGTGTGCAACTGTCTTCACGCTCTCTATTCACAGCTGCTACGCGTCACGTGACATGGTTCAAAAGGTCGAGTTCAGCAAGTGATGCAAAGTGACACAAGAGAGTTGTACCCAAACCAGGTTCAGCTGCAACTCTCTCTCTCTCTCTCTCTCTCTCTCTCTCTCTCTCTCTCTCTCTCTCTCTCTCTCTCTCTCTCTCTCACTCACTCACTCTCTGGCTAGTATGTGCCAAGGTGCAATGATTTGTCACATGGTGTGAAATCCTGCTGTCATGAACAAGCTGCAGTTGCACGCTCTTGACAGTTATCTGCTCTTGTTGACAGCCATAGTATATTTTGACGGACAACCTCGCATCCTTGTAGTTGCCGCGCTGTGCGCCTGGACAACCGAGTTTTGCATCCTTGTCGTGAATTAGCGGGCTGTGTGTTTCCTGGATTCTTGCTGTGCATCGAAGTGTGTGCGCGCGTGTGAGTGTGTGGGTGTTTAATCCTGACAGACATTATTCTAGTCGTACATGTACACCCATCGGGGCCGAAGATATCATCGTGTTCCGCTCCGCATTTGCCTGTTTTGTTGCTGTCTGGAAACCTGCTTGTGCTTGATGGCGACTTTTCCCAGTGTAGCAGAAAGGTGCCGTTGGTGTGTGTGTGTGTGATCCCAGGTAGCCTAGTTGGTAGGGCGCTGTCCCAGTAAGACCGGGGTGCTGGGTTCGAGTCCCGCTCATGGATCCTTCTTTTGCAACATTGTGGGGCCTGGCAATGGCTCCCAGTCTTCGGTAGCCTAGTTGGTGCGTAATTGTCCCAGTAAGACCAGGGTGCTGGGTTCGAGTTCCGCTCGTGGATCGTTCTTTTCCAATAATAATAAACACAGCTCGCATCTTCCCTGAACCTGTTAGACAGGAGCAGAGTCGACGCATCTGTCAACAGTGTCAAGCCAAGTTAGTCTATCTCCTGCAGCTTGGAGAGCGCTCTCCACGGAGAGATCCGCTGTCTTCAGGTCGTGCCGAATCGTATCTATCCACCGCAATGGCGGACGGCCACGGGTTTTTTTATGTCGTTTGTGTTGATTGATAGCTCCAGTGCTTGGAACGAGGTGGATTCCGGACCCTCTCGCACCACATGGCCAAACCACAGCAGGCTGCGTCGCCGGCATGTGGCACTAACTGGAGATTGTTTTGTTTCTGTGTACTTTTCCAATAGCAGCGCGAAAAAACAATGTTTTCCAGTAACAAAGCATTGTCGCTGTCTTGGAAAACATTGTCCTTATGTTAGCCAAAGACATACTTCAAGTAAAACCAGGGCTGCTTTTGCGCAAAGGAGAGAGAACTTCTCTACTGGTGAAATGGATTTCCGCCGCCTTTTTTTGTTGTTGCATGGTTGCGATAGTAATTTGGCCTCTGGTTTTTGTTGTTTGCAACATATGTACATATCGTACTAATGAATGTGGAAAACTGCTTCTGATGTTGCAACGCCATCAAATTCTATTGCGCTCTCTGTTTTACGGTAAGGGGGTTGCGACCTGCCCTATGCTGTGTTGTTTGTAGTGCGTTACCGCCTGTGTTGTAATGACCGATGCATGCCCAGTACTGCCATCACTGGGCTGAGACTGTTTGCGGGGCTGGAATCCTGATGATTTGAACCCTGATTTTGCCAACAGTTGACCATGTGTACCGTGTAGGAAGTGGCCTCTCCATGCACGTACTTCTTGCAAATTTTCTAGTCTATGGTTTGTCGTCATTATCCCGTGTTCATATTGTCAGGGTTCCAGCTGTGTCTGCAGCAGCATGTGGGGAGAGCGCCACACTGAACGGATATCCCCTCTCCCACCAGAACTGCCATGTACAATTGTTTGTGTGTGTGTGCTTCTGCATCTATAGCTGTTCAAGACGTGCGGACGCCAATCAAGCCTCTTCGTGATGGTGTTCCCGTAGGTGGCCCGATGGGCGGTATGGGGCAGTCACCTCTGACCGGAGCAACGGCTGTCAACCCGCACTACTACTCGCAGCAACCGCCCATGCTTTACCAGAACATGCAGTGGAATCCGACCAGCATGCAACCTGCTAGCATGCAGGCAACGGGCATGCCTCCACCGCAGTCCCCTCAACAGCAGCAGCTGCAGCAACAACAACAGACATCACAGCAAGCAGCGCAAGCAGCACAGCCGCAAGGCGGTGTGATGCCGCAGAGCAGTGCTGTCGTCCAGATGCTGGAACAGCCCACACCTTTGCCTATCCCATCTCCATCGGGCGGCGGCCCTGCTCCACAGCGTATTATTTCCTTGCCCATACTCCTGCAAGCTGAGCGTGCTTGGCCTGGCGAGCAGCCCATACCGCTGGATAACACTATCACTCAAAACTCCGGCAACTTCGACGATGTTATAAAGTCTACTCGTGATCAGCTGTACTTTGCCATCGAGTGGGCCAAAATGGTGCCACCCTTCACGGAGCTGACCATTGAAGATCAGGTATGTGTTGCCAGTCTCAAGCTGCACATTTGTCTGCTGTCGGTGGGGCTCTGCGGTGACAGGTTTGCAGGCTGTCACCACAACTACTGAGAAAAGCTGTTAAAAATTTGATATGTAAATAATAGGGAGGTTTCGCTCTACGGAATTACGTATGAAAATAACGTAGGAACTGCACGTAATTTTCATACGTAAAAATCAGAGCTGTTGGGTTTCGCTCTACGTGATTTCTCCACGACTGCTAAACATGCCTTGTTGCTTTGGAGGCGCGTTAGCTGCATGCGTTCACCGCATGCACCACGAACCGAAACCGCGTTTTCCAATTTTTATTTTGCACGTGGTGTACGGTGTGTGTCCTTGTGTTTCGCGCGGCTTAAAAGTTGCCATGGATAAATCCGGAAAATGCGAAAAATATTTCAAAAATTCCTATGGAGGACCCAACGTAGGAAAGAGCTTTCCTACGGAAATCCATAGAGAGATTCACGTATGAAAGTTGCCCTAGCTCCCCGGCGCGTACGACATACGGATTTCATACGTAATTTGAAGGGCGAAACCTCCCTATTATTAAAAAGCTTTCGTGGAGATAAGAATGATATTATTAATGCAATGAATAGAGTGAGTTACGCACTCAGTACGAACACCATCAGAAAACCTACTGGTCATGTATAATTAGCCCTTTAACGTTTTCGATGCCATCTCATCAGTTGTCGCAGATTGAAGGATCAGATAAGCGTGTACAGTTCGATGACACACATGTCCGGAATTTTGATGGTTCGCTGCCCAATGGAGTTGCGCACTCCTGATGGGTTGGGTACTCTGGATATGCTCCTAGTTCTCAAGCTTTGCAATACCAAACCTGCGTTGTGCTGGTGTGTTTCTGCGTGTACCTTACCGGACCTCTGACTCTGTGCACACGCGTGCTTGTTCTCGCCGGCTGCTTTGCTGTGTTTGGCCATTTAGGTAAGCGTACTGAAGAGCGTTTGGAACGAGCTTCTGACCCTTCGGCTTGCCTTCCGGCCATCTCCTGTTGAAGATGCTCTCCTCCTTGGTACCGGCAAGCTACTCTTCCGTGACAAGGGTGATCCTGAAATGATGCGAATTGTTGGCCGCTTCCTGGATGAGATCGTTACGCCGTGCAAGATGATGAACCTGGAAATGGCTGAGCTGGTGTGCATGAAGGCTCTGGTGCTCTTCAACCCCGGTGAGTTTCTTACACACCACAGCTACAGTGTTATGCCCTTACTGCCTTGTCTTGTTGCTGCAGTTGTGCTTTTAAAGCCCTTTGAGAGCCGATCCATACTGGAATGCATCGTTTACGACGCATTCAAATGCAAAACTTCAACAGATCGTAACTCAGTCGAATCTCGCTCAAATCCAACGATCGAAATATTCAGGTCAAAGAGAAAACTCTCACCTGTCGGTGGACACAATCCGCAAAGCGCTGCGAGCAACGGTTCATGAGATATATCACTCGTAAGTTGAGCCACGATCGTGGCAATTTCAAAAGCGCGCAGTGGGAATTTTGAGCCTTTTCGTCACGCTGATTTACTCAAATTTGCAAGGGTTTCACTTGTGATATTCTCAAGAGTACACAGCGAGAAAAAAAAGGAACTCTCCTGTTCTAGGGAGAGAATGGAACAATTGTGCTGCAGGATCTTGTACACAGCATTGGTAAGAACATTGCACAGGACCGGTGAGGGTCTCATCCCAAATGGGAGTACTTTATCAACATAAAAACACACCATGCCACACCACCATGCCCAGCATGGGCCAATCATCAGGGTGGACCGGAATGTTACGCAACGCGTGCTGGATATCCACTGTAAACATGAGAGAACCCTTTCCCTGATGAATCACATGCCGAACAATGTCGTCCACAGTTATATACATCAGGCTGAAGTGGTCAGCTGGAATACTGTCAATAATGCTGTGGCCTGCAGCGGCAGACGAATGCACAATTAGCCGGTGTCCACCTGACTTGGGGACGACACCAGTACCAGCTGAACGAAATGGAACACAGGGTGGCCTGAGGAACGGACCAGCTGTATGGCCACGGGCACATTCTTTGGCCAAGTGCTCACTCACCGTATCAAGATTGTCATTTGAGTAAACAAGACTAGAGCTGATGAGGGAATAGCGGGGACCAGTACCAATACGAAAGCCATGACGTAGGCCATTGATGTGTGTTGCCCCAAGGGCATAAAGCCTATCTTAGTATCTAGTGGGGGGGTCTCCAAGATCAAGGAGGTGAATGAACATTTATATACTTTCACTATTAACCTACAAGTGCACATGAGCCACTGAGGTACTACAATGTAGTAGCACAAGTAATGTACATTCCGAGTGTGCTGTTCAGTCATGCTGACGAAAAGGTACAGTGTAGTAGTACAAGTAATGTACATGCCGAGTGTGCTGTTCAGTCATGCTGACGAAAAGGTACAGTGTAGCCTGTAGGGGTAGCCTGGGTGTACTCAGTGTTCTGAGCTAGCTGAGAGGTGCCCCGTCTCGCTCGCGGCTCGGATCTTTGTGCAAGTCATCTATTGAGGCAGCGCCGCGGAAAGGGACGAGGTGACGAGAGCCTGTAGCTCAGCGGTCTGCGCGGCAGAGAAAGCCAACCGGGCTCGCCGCGCAGGCATCCTAATACGGGCAGATCACGAAAGAGATAGAAAGAAAATACCAGCCTGACAAGGAGAAACACTTCTTGTCCGCAGGAAAACACACACCAAACTGCATTCAACTATTGTAGTGTAGTGTCGCATATAAAAGCATGACTCGAATACATTGTAGAAGCCGATTTTTCGAGGCGCGCCGTGGCACAGAAGCATGACTCGAATAGAAGTCGCTCTCTGCAAAGTACACGTGCAAGTACATGCGTGGCAGTATACACTGCTCTGTGTAGACTCGTGATGTTGGCGTAGAATCATGTTTGGAATAGAAGCATACTAGTAACTTGAATAGAAGCTTGGGTTGAACTCTGGCTTATACGGCCGTAAGCACCTGCTTTTATACGCGACAATACTTCCGCGCGTATACCGTAAAATACCGTTGATCAACGGTACTTTACGGTAAAAGCAACAGCAGCCGTGAAAAATGCCAATTACAGACCATACTCGATGCACAATAATAATAAACTCTTTCACCGCGGATGACGTACATAATACGTCCTCGTACCTAATTACCTAATTGCTGTCGGCCAATTCTGGTGTGTGGAGTTACTCCTGGCCATTTGGTAGAGTCCCTGCATCCTGTACCAGTGGTTCTAGGCGCGAATCCCGCTAGTTTATAATTGTAGTGTGTCTCTTTTTTCTCTTTTCGTCTGATTTTTCAGCTGTAATTGCCGACTTTGCCGTGCAAATTGGACAAACTTGTGCGTCCTGTATCGCTTTGTACCTCTTTTTTGGGGAACATATCGATTTTGTCAGTGTGATGTTGGTTGTCTTGGCCTTCATTTCCCAAAAGTTCAACAACCCAGTTGCCTGGAGCATAGAGTTGTGGAGTTGGCCATTGGCCATATTTTCGCATTTTTTCAGAGCCTGGGTATATACCCCTGCAGCAGTGAAAGGGTTAATGCCTTAATGGCATGCATGATGAGACCATCACTGTGCATGTGCCCGCTTCGGCTAACTTGCTCTGACTCTCAACGCGGCGGCATGTATGTTATTCATATAATGCATAGAGCTAGAGATGTAGCCGACCTGGGACCTTGCTACCACTCAGGAGCTGACTCCGGGCCTTTTCCCTCAGGTACTCCACCCGGCTGCCTTGGATCCTGCTATGCACACCTGTCCCAACGGGGGTGACCGACCCTCGCTCCATGTCTAGTTTCTCCTATTTCCTGTTATGCTGTACAACGGTATGTGTGAAGTACTGATGTTCTGATGCTCGTGCCATTTGCTTCTGTCCCCGTGCTTGTGTGCTGTGCTCTTGACAGACTGTCCCAAGATCCTTCAGAGAACTCGCGTTGAGCGCATTCAAGAACAATGCATGGAGATGCTTGGAGAGTACTGTCGCGCAAGATTTCCAACTCAGAAACTGCGCTTCTCCAAGATCCTTTTGCGCTTGTCTGCTGTCCGTTCAATCACGACGGAGACGCGTGACTACCTGGTGCAGCGCAAGTCCCAAGGGAACATCAACATTGACAGTTTTGTGCTAGAGATGCTTGGTGATACGTAGGAGCTAGCCGCTGCTCGTTTCGCTGACCTCATCTTCATGGTTGTGAGGTATCATGCTGTGTAATCTACTAGACTGTCTGCCTTCCATCGGTCATGCCATTGTGATGTCATTGTGCGTCGGGCCCTCTGCGGGCTCCTTGACGCTGTTTTTTCCGTTGTCTTGTTGCTATCAACGCCATTGTCACCTTCTGCAGGTATAATTCATGCAGAATGTGTGTGTGTTTGTTCTCCTGCTCCAGTGCTCTTTATCCACGCGCAGCCATACATACAGCCATACATACAGCCATACATCCATGCAGATGCTGCTCTGCTAGGTGCCACTTCACAGGGCTCAATGTGTCTCCTGTGCTATTATACACACATCCGATGTCCTTTGCAAATGTGTTGGCATTCGTATAACAGGTGTCCTCCTTGAGCCAGGCTTGTTGATATCCTGCCATGCGCACGCCTCTTTCTGCACGCCTAGCAGACTGGCAGGCTTGACTCTCATGACAGCCTTTTTTTCAGCTCTTGAGTTTGTGTATGTCTCTTTTTGTCTGACTTTTAAAAATACTCCAGCCCAATGCGCCCCTAATGGCAGCTGTGGCGAACGCATTCTTTTATGTATAGGTTTGTCTTATCCAATATCCAATACCCCATGTTATCATTTAGATTTCTCTCTCTTTCCCTCCCTCTCTCTCTTCCTCTTTCTCTCTCCCCCTGCCGGGACAGTGTGCATGCTAATGTGTTCTTTCCTTTTCCTGTCGACACCGCAGACTGCGGCAGAGTGCTCCTGCCCGCTGCGCGTGCTCTTTAGCATTGCTGGCGGCATGCCATACTAGCTGGCCTGCCCTGGTGTCCTGCTGTGCAGCCGTGGCCGTTGACATGACTGTTTGCTTTGCATTAACACGTAACCTTCCAGTATTTCTGCTTCGCCAATCAGCTGCGCTCAAACTCTGTGTTTGCTGTCTTGTGCGCCGATCATCCGGTTCATGGTGCTGTCTACTTGGCTGAGTAATTCTCATTGTGCTGTCAGCATTTCACAGCTTTACTGGATTTACAAATTGCAATTACATCAGATTCTGCTCTTGCTTGGTATAGGCACCCCACACATGGTTGAGGTGTGTCGTGTTGTGTATTGCTTTCTCGCTGCCACCGCCACTGTCTTTACTAGTCCGACAACAGGTAGCAGCAACATGTCCGCTGGTCGCTGGCGTCATCATTTGTCATCTTCGCTCTGATTTGTCATTGCACTATTTTGTCAGTTTCACACACACACACACACACACACACACACACACACACACACACGTGTTTGTGTAAAAAAATTCTGCTCTAATCTTCACCGTTTCTTTCCTCCCCCCTCGTTCTGCCTCTCTTCTGTCATCGTTGTTTTTCTCTGCTCTTCTGTATGGTTCAGCTTACCCCAGTCTCTAACCTTATCCTCATAGCCAACTCCCAGTGTGTGTGTGTGTGTGGTATGTGTGGTATGTGTGGTGTGTGTAGCTGTGAGCATGTCCTGTATAGTCCCAACTCTTCCAGTACTAGTAGTAATCACTCCAGATGAAATACTGCGAAGTACATTCACTCTCCGTAGTCCTTGCCCATCCGTTTTCTACTCCTCTCCTGTACTTCAACTGCTTCCTCTCTGCTGTTTGTCTCTTGTTGGCGATGCGCTTTGAGGCAGCATCAGCTTACCTTCCGCTTCATCCTGTAATAATGCCGATGCTCGGCATATCCACTCGCATGTGAACTTGACAATCCTGTGTGTGTGCGTGTGCGTGTTTTCAATTTTTTGTTTTATTGTTCACCCTGAGAACGGGACATGGCGGAGAATGTGGCGAAGTTAAAATGCGTTAGAGAGTATGGTGTGATTTTTTTAGACTAAGTGTGTGTGTGTGTGTGTGTGTGTGTGTGTGTGGAGTCCAGGCGAAGATGGGGGATACTACAATTTGTAGAGTTGTTGTCCACTGGCGTACAGTTTCATGCAAGTGCACAAAGCTGTCGTACAACCTCGTGGACGGGCACGACTTTGTAGTACATTTTCAACATCATGATTGTGCTATTTTCTTGTACATTCCCATGCAAGAATTCCCATGGATAACGCGGGTTTTATGCAAAATTTCTCGAAAACACAGATGAAAGCCAAGAACATGGAAAAGTACGCGTCCGCGGTATCCTGTGGGGACAGATCATCGGCTCAGACATGATTGTACATCACGGTACTCAGTAATGTAGTCATGTAGCAGCCACTCAGACCACTATACACAGTATACTGTACAGTACCCCACTGGCACTGTCTGATCCTCTCTACTACCCTAGTATTCCATTTCTCCACCACCCCCATAGAATATGTACATGTAGATCATCACAGGCATCTTGGTGTCCTTCTTGATGCTAATCTTTCCAGAAATCACCATGTTACCCACATATGCAAGACGACTAGCCAGGCCATAGGCATAATATACTCACACCGCGCCCATCTTCCTGAAAGCTGTCGTGCACTTCTTTTTTATAATGCATAATACATTGTGTGACCAGACCTCTCCTGGAAAGACGACGAATCCTGATGTGCTAATTAATTGCACCTAAATTTAGCATTACACCTACAAGGAGCTAGAGTATGCACTGTATATGAAGGGTGGGCTGGTCACCTGACACCGACATTTTAGTACACCTAAAATTACATGTTATAATTATATACCGTGGCAGTGTGTTATAGTGAGAGTCGTTATAGCAAGGTCAGACCTGTAGCTTGATCAGTCCACGATGATTCCACCCAGCCTAGTACATGGTACATGTAGGAAGGATGAACACCCCGGCACGGCGGGGCAGGAGGTTTAGTTTGCGTCAAGACTCCAGAGTACATCTCGATGTCGTCACCATGATCAAGCTGTATGTGCAAAACGATGTGCATATAATACAGTCAACTTGGCTAATAACGACTGCGCATGCGGATATAAACGACAGAATGTCCATGCCCAGAGCAAAGTCCCATCCAACTGTAATACATACAATGAGACTTCGGGTATAACGACACTTCGCGAATAAGGACACTTTTCTGATGCCCTAGCCCTACCGAGTGTCGTTATACGCAAAGTTGAGTGTACCGGTATCAACAGTACATGTACATAATCCCCCAAGACTAAGAGTAAGAGTGAAGTTACTAAGACTACATATAGGCGGGTTAGGTACTCTTGGGGGGGGGGGGGGGTATGTGCGTGCGTGCGTGCGTGTGTGTGTGTGTGTGTGTGTGTAGCGATCACCAGATACACTGCGCTGACCTGTCGAGGATCCGAGTTGTTGTTAGAGCCTTATAAATATAAGTGTCTTGAACCATGTGAACTGAGTACACTACTAGGAGTGAGATCAACAGACAACTTTTGGATAGCAGCCTGACTGGGAAAAACAACAAATACTTTACCGTGACTAGCAGCTAGCATTTAGCGGTTGAACTCGCTGATTCACCTTGGCCACGGCCCCAGCAGCTAGCTAGAAATACATGACATTGAATTTGTACTGAGCTGAACAGGCTGGAGACGGATATCAGGCAGTACCCTACCGTAACGTTATGTGCAAACTGTCTGATTGGACGACCGGGACAGTGCCCCGTCAGTGGCTCAGTGAAGTGATGAATGAAAAGCAGCGACTCTGAGTCTGGGCCTAGCGCCTGTCTGGCTGAGTTGAGGATCGGGAATCGTCGACCCGTGACGCCGACGGTCCGGAGAGTAGACAAGGCAACCTCAGTACTACACTGTACTACTACAACTACTGTTACCGGAGTGAAAGATCTACAGCAGCAGCAACAAGCAACTAAACCCGGTACGCCAATAGCACTAGTAGTACTAGTAGATCTACCCAGGCAGTAACCAGTAACCTAGAGTCTAGACCAAACTAGGTCATGTCGCCGTTGTCGGACACCCACTGACCCTGTACCCCGTAGATCTACCGGTACGCGCACCGCACTACCTCGTCCTCAGACTGAGTCGGTGGTTGACATGAAGTGTAATGACTTTATGTAGGCTGTGCAGCGTGTGAGGGCACTTACAAGTTAGTAGTCGTTGCATGCGTGTGTGTGTGTCCTCCCTATACCACTAGAAAAAAACGGGGTGCCACAGTCTGACCAAATTCGTAGACTCTTTCGCCAATCTATGACATACTTGCTAACAAATGCTCAGTGAAAGATTGGAGAGCCGAGCTGTGACAATATTCCCTTTGTCTTTTACAATCGCTTAGTCCAGCAAACGTGATTTGGTCTGTATGTGCCCAGCGATGCGCTAATGATGACATCACCGTCCACTAGCTCTCAGTCTGCACTGACGGCGGGTCCGGAACAACGACATCATCACTATGGCTGGTTAAAGTGCGGGTCTACCCTGGGTGTATTGCTAATCAGTGCAATGGCTGCCGCATTCTGGACCAGCAACCCTCACTCGGCAATGAGAGTGTTATGGTACCGCGCCGTTGGATGTCCCAGCTGGTCAGCAAGCGACGGCGAAGCCATCGCAGCCAGTGCTAAATACGGCGTGATGAAGAGAGTTCATGCGAGCAACATCAGCCGCGGTCAGTTTGTGGATCTTGTCAGCCGCGGAGAGCCGTTCGTCATCCGGGCTGCATTCGCTGACTGGCCGGTGATGCAGGAGATTACAAACTGCTCAGTGCTGCAGCAGCACTATCCAAACATGTACTACTATGACTGGCAAGCCGATACTAAAGAATCGCTGGGGAGCATTGGCGACTGGACATGTCGCTCGGGATACTTGGAGAGAGCGGGCGGCACAACCGACCTACACGACCATGATCGTCTACATAGCGATGCGGAGAGACAAGAGTGGAGAGAATGGGGAGACAACGGAGACGTGTTTCATCAATGGCTGTCCACGCTGCCTATACCAGAGTTTATGCCCAGTGACGTGTGGCAACATCCAGCTGATCCGGAATCAGAGCATGTGCCGCAGCAGCCGTCAATGAGCGCGTTTATCGGCTCGAGCGGCACGGGAGTCACGCCACATCTGGACGAGAACTGTGAGAGCTTTGTCAGTGTCCAGTTCAGCGGGCGCAAGCTGTGGACGGTGGCGTGGCCGGAGGTCAACGAGAGCAGTGGTGCCTTGCAGTGGTCCACACCGCTAGCCGTGGTCCTGGAGCGAGGCGACGCAATCATCTGGTACATGTCACAGATGCATCACACGGAGGTCTTGGACGGTTGCTCGTTCAGTATGTCCATACAGTTCACCAGGCCCGCACCGCACCTGTATCATGCCAAGTTACGCACGCTCTACCGTGACACACCAGGCTGGCAAGAGCTGTATAGGCAGTTGGAAACATCCAACGACGAGTACTTCAGCAAATGCTCAGTAAGAAAGGATACGCACAGTGACCAATGGGTTGTTTCGTCAGATTACACCGACTCACAACAACTCAAGGTCAGCTAACAAAGTCACGAAACACATGGGTAGCTAATAATACTAGCTATTGACATTGTGACCCTCGTACGTTGCCTCATTTTGGCAGGCTGATCACTCGTGCAAAATTTAAGATGAATGAGCCTTGCTGTGTTGCTGTTCCCTAGACTTGCATTGTGATCTGTTCGGCTAGTCACTCTGAGCACTGCTGTTGAGACCTGGCACCGCAGGCAGGGTTAAAACAATTAGCTATCTGGAGACTGAGCAACCGCTTACTACAACAGACAGAGGTGTGTAGAACTCTCCGTATGACATTAGATTAGAAATATTGATACCGTGCCCGCTTTCATATACAGTCGACATACCCTTATAACGATAACCTCTATAACGACATTACCCTTATAACGATATTTTTCTGCCAAACCAAAATCACTCCATTGACTTTTGTATACAATGGCTTACCTCTATAACAATATTGCTATAACGATATTACCCCTATAACGATATAAAATGGGCTGACCGATCGACATTTTCCATTTTATAACAATATCTAGCAGGGAATGTATAGAGCCCACTATCCAGGTAGGGCAAGCTTCACTTGATAAGTCGCTGGGACATGTTGAAATACAATGGGGGCACCAGTGGGCACCTTGCTGTGTATATAATGCGCATGTACGTCAGTTCAGTGTAAAAAATGAACAAAATCCATGCATTATGACGTACATGTACATGCATGAAATGAACCAGTTACCCTTATAACAATATTACCCTTATAACAATATTTCTTGGTCTGACACAAATATCGTTGTAAGGATAGGTCGACTGTAGCATACATACAATGTCCATCCATCTCGGGCACCCGGCCGGAAAGAAGATTACAAGATCCATTGGGACTTCCAAAGTAAAAAGTATAAAATAATTAATTCAACGACAACGACGATGATGACGTGTTGAGTTTGACTGGTCAACTATAGTGGCCACAACCAGCTGCTCGATTGTTTTGCCATCGGTACATTTCTCACCTCACATTCCTAACACACTCCCTCAATGGTCTCTTTATTGCTGCTGATAACAATGAATCATCTTCTGACACCAAATTTTCGGGCCTAGCCCACCATTAGGGTAAACAATCAAATTGCAGGCAAACAAATCAGCCGTTTCTAATGGCACCTGTTAGCATCTCTGAAATCGAAGGCTCCGCATTAAATACGACTAGAAGTGTGATGCATTCCACAACACACATGCGCGCGCATGCACACACACATGCGCGCGCGCATGCACACACACATACACACACACGCACAAACACACACACACGAACACACAGTCTAAAAATCACACCATACACTCTCTCCATTCTCAGGGTGAACAATAAAACAACAAATTGATTTTTGAAAAGTCTCAATGGTTCGCCATCTCAAAGTGAACGTCATGTTTTCGTGCACGTCACGCAATGCCATTGTTCTACAGCGGGCTTTGCAGCAGAATTGTGTACTATGCGTGATACAGCACAATCATGTTACCGGTACTTGTAAGTTCACAATGTAGATACGTACTATGTACATACTGACCATACACTATGTGACTATGTCAGTGTGTGAGTGTGCGCACATCACTGGTGTGAGCATCGTGTGTCCATTCACAATATCTACTAGCACTAGTGTAGTAAAACCCCGCCAGCAGGGTTGACTGCATGTGCCCAGTCAGGCAAGTGTTATGTGAGTTGTACTTGTAAAGGATAGGCACGGTGAGTAAAGATACGACTATCTCAGTTCCGGGCTGTTATGTGTGTGTGTGTGTGTGTGTGTGTGTGTGTGTGTGTGTGTGTGTGTGTGTGTGCGTGTGCGTGAGAGAGAGAGAGAAGAGAGAGAGAAGAGAGAGAGAGAGAGAGAGAGAGAGAGAGAGAGAGAGAGAGAGAGAGAGAGAGAGAGAGAGAGAGAGAGAGAAGAGAGGGAGAGAAAAGAGAGAGAGAGAGAGAGAGAGAGAGAGAGAGAGATAGAGAGAGAGAGAGAGAGAGAGAGAGAGAGAGAGAGAGAGAGAGAGAGAGAGAGAGAGAGAGAGAGAGAGAGAGAGAGAGAGAGAGAGAGAGAGAGAGAGAGAGAGAGAGAGAGAGAGAGAGAGAGAGAGAGGAAGCACACACACTGACCCACAGCACCTGCGTACAATGCCTGCAGGCAGCAGCAGAGAGCATGGCACTGCGGCAGTAGAGGCAACATGACCGGTACAGACGGTACAGGTGTGATCACTTGCCCTGTAACAGCACCTCCATCTCCTTCTCCAGCTGACGTACAGCACGATGGTTCAGGAACAGCAGCTGGCCGTTGGGTAGGAACTGATGCAGCACGGTCATGACACGATCAGACTTCAACATGAACTCTGCGGCCGGCTGCTCCGCAGACTTCACATGTTCCTGGAGATACTGCACCAGGAGACAGAGCACCTGTGCCGCCACCACTCTGTTCTCCTCCTCTTCGCAGACGAGTGCATAGCCTGCACCGGCCGTGGCTTGCCACAGCACCACCTTGCTGTCATCTCCGGTGAATGGCATGCCCGGCCGCACTCTGAACAGGCCGTGCTCGTGCACCGCTTTCTCATCCTCACCAGCGCCACCACCGCCTCCACCACCGCCACGTGTCATGGCCGTTGTCATGCCAACCTCAGCAAGTGACTGCGACGAGGCGCGGAGAAACGAGTACTCGCTTTGCACCTGAAGCCAAATACGGAAAATGGAATCAGTCATGTAGAGTTGGAGTTGGATATCCATGAGCCTTCAAGGCACATGAGCTGCATGATCATGATACTCACTAAAACACAAATGTGTACCGGCATCAGCATACTGCGTACTACCCTGCCGTCACCCCGGTCATTTCCCCACAAGGTGCTTGTTGAGGGACAAGACTCGGCTGCCATTGCTCACTCTCATGCTGCTTTAGGCTCGTCTATATCCGGGTTCAGTAGAATACCACTCTTTTTGATTTCAACATTCAGTTACTCTTGTGTCAACATGCATCTGAAGCTACAGTGGAACTCACTTAGTACGTACCCGGGTGAGCTGCAACACAAAGCCCCGCTTCGTTTCCTTTGTGTACCTCTTGTGTACCCGGGTAAGACGTACACCGGCTTAGTACGGTCCTTTTTTGTCGCATGGATTTTCCTTCCATAAGCACAATCATATACAAATGTGTATGGATACGACGTACTCTGATAAGATGTACAAATCGTGTATGACAGACTTTTCAAACTCTCGAGGGCATTTGCCACCCCTTTTTTTACAACCCCAGCAATTTCCAATAGGCCTTATGCACGTTGTACAGATGCACGAAATCCCGTAGAATCTCGTAGAATCTTGTAGAATCTCGTAGACCCGGTTGGGTGTTGAATGTGCAGGACCCTATTGTGTTTACTGCTATTTCACACTATGAAATGGGCCCTGAAGGCATTTCATACGAAGACTTTTCCGGCAGAGATCTAGCTTGTAGTCGTTAGTTCAATCCCAAAGTGAAGAAGCTGGAAAAGCGATTGTTTGCCATGAATTATGAGGCTACAATATTATCGTAAATGGGTCAAACGCGCATGCATAGCACACAATGAACACCCAGCCATGTATAGCACACAATGAACACCCAGCCATGCATAGCACACAATGAACACCCAACCATGTATAGCACACAATGAGCACCCAGCCATGTATTGCACACAATGAACACCCAACCGGGTATGTACACACCTACGGCCATAGTACAGAACTTCGTACATATCTGTACAACGTGCATAAGGACCATGCATTGTGGGTGACTGAGCACAACAAATCGGCCAGGGTATTCGTCCGGCCAGCCGGTTCACCTGGCTCTGAAGCCCACGGTTAACCGGTGTCCAACTAGAACTTCGTAATCTTCATCTCTTCATCACACAGTCTGTATGACTCTAGTGAGTGGTGCAACTGTGCATTTCTGCAGTCTGAAAATCCCAGCTATGAGTTTCTCTGTGTTAGCTGCTTCAATCTGAGAGTACCGGTACGCGGTATGCCCAAGTAACAGAACCCACTGAGAATACTAACAGATTGTAAAAAAAATTGATGGATTGGGAGAACTTCGAATTCAAAGGATCAGTCAGGGGAGTCCTGGAGGGGTTGGCATATTTTTCTTAGTACCTGGCAGGCAACGTGCATGGCTTGTTCCTTTCTGAGTGCACGCAGCTGGTCTGTAGTGGCCACATCCACTGCACCATCCAGCTCGAACATGAACGAGAAAATCACACGGGTCACGTCGCTGGCAACCGTGCTGATTACGAAACCAACCACCATGGTGAATTAGCAGCAGAACCGCCTCATTCGGTCCAAATACAAATGCACAGAGCGTGCCTTGTGTATTCGCTGTCAAAACTTGAAAAATGAATTACTTGCTTGATCCGATTTGATCAGTTGCCATAAGCGTCTCCACGGGAACTGCAGCCAAGATCGTGGAGATTAGAGCACTCTCGTTCAGTTTCAGCTTGCACCCGTTTTTTTATATCTTTATCCTTCTCCCAACACCAGTAGTACACACGGAGCTGCAAAACACTTCTTACTGACGTCCTATCAAGCAGCTATCTGCAGCTGTCTACAGTGAAATAAACAAGAGAAGAAGACTGAGTGTGTTGCACTCTTGCAAATCCTATTTTTTCAAGGTTTTGAAAAGCAGAGTCATTATCGATATCGGGGCCTGCGCCTCCGTGGCGTCAGCTCGTAGGCTGAGCTGATGAGAGTGAGAACATGATCAAGTTTTTTTTTTTTTTTTTTTTTTTTTTTTTTAAGTAAAATCAGTGAGCATGTCATGAAAATAAATCCGAGAAGAAAGAAAAAGGCCCAACCCTGCCCTGCCAGTTATTTGGACTTATGGGGGTCGCCATGGCAAATAATAAATAATAAACATAAAACTGCACACGTTCGGGCTCTCCGCCTTCTCCGTGAAATTATAATACCGTAAAAGAAAACTAGAGGGGAAAAAAGAAGCAACAATGAGGAATAGGAACTGATTTAGGAACCACTTGCAGTCAGTTACACAGGGCAGCGGGCCTCGGCAACGGCCAAGGTAGCAGATGCATCCGCCACATCGCTGACGCGCATGGGGCGTCGCCGAGCACCACGCAAACAAACCATGCTGGAGCGAACCAGAGCAAAGCCAAGTCGGCAGCGAATCCACGCCATTACACGGTTGTACGGCTCCTTCGTCTTGTCGGACAGGAGCCCGGCAATCCGCTTATAGCAGGCTGTTGCCGACTTGCCCATGCCGCCTGTTGAGGAGAGAACGAGAGGTGAAAAAGTTGCATGTTCGATCTCTCGAACACGCTCCTCATAGCAGCGGCGTTTCTCCCGTTCGTGGCGCTGGTAGCAGGAGGGTACTGAGGTGGAGCGATTTGAAGCCGCGAAAGGGTTAAAAACCCGTACGTCGAAGAAAGTGCGGTCAAAACGCCCACCCCAGACACCACTCGCTGCTATATCCAGCCTAGCCTGGGGGTCCGTTATGGCAGAGCGGTAGCGGAATGCTTCCCCAGTTACCGGCTGCAGGTGTGGTTCAGTGGTGACGTTGTTGGCGACCCGTTTGAGGAGACCAGCCGTAACATCTCGTACCTCGTTGTGCCTCAGTGAGGGAAACCCACCCAGAGAGCACGACAAGGCGTGTGCGACGGTGAACGATGCACCACACGGGCAGATCGATGGAAGGTGGGCTGGCGGCCAGCCATAGCGGAGCGCAAGGCCATCCCGGAACTCACCCTTCGAGAGGGCAAAGCCATGGGCCTTCAGGGGTCTACAGGTCAGCCAAGCCGACGCACCCTTCTCCGCCGCCAGACCGACACAGAGCTGGATATCAGTGTTCTGCGTCAGGATGAACTCTTTGGCTGCTTGGGCCGTTGAAGTGCGGGTACGACTTGCCACCTCCCTCTTAGTGGACCGTACCAGGTCCAGCACATGGCCAATCTGGGTGTCCTGGTCCAGAATCTTGCGGACGAGCGCCGAGGTTATCGCTGCCGATGCCCGGAACTGGTCGCCCAAGGTGGTGGGGTCGACTAACCGAGGCCTCCTTCACGGCATGGGAAAGCAAGGACCCTTCGCTCACGTGAGTTTACTGGCTTACCGCACAGGGCAGGAATAAGGACATTGGTGATGGTGTCTTCCAGAGGGCCAAGATTTTCAGCAGCACACTCCATGACTCTGCACAGGAAGGACCAGCGATGCTTCAGGCCTTGCGTGAATGCTGCATAGGCAGCCTGTGGCTGGGTTTCGGCAATCTTGGCCAAGGACACGATCTCGTCTTTCCACCCGTTTGCCTTCTGGGAAACATAGCTCTGGACGAACTCCGTCGATCCGAGTGCAGCACCTAGAAACCGGTGGCCGTCGGTGGTAATGTGCACACCGGTCCCTGCAAAGGCGTCCTCAGCTTCCGTCAGGTGACCGGCCTTGACAACCAGGACTGATTTCTCAGCAGTCAGTGAGTACGCGTAGATCTACGTTTTGTAGATCTACACACAAGATTAAAGTATGGGGGGGGGGTCTTGATTGTCAAGAGTTCATAACCCCCAAGAGTGTGCAACTCCTGATCAGTCCCTGTATGGAAGCCCGCTCGGCGGAATTCCTTCATTGCGTCATTCTTGGTGCAGTGCGATGAGTCACGCCGATGAATTCTTCTAAAATTTACAGTCAAACCAGGATGCTTCCCCAGGGTAAACTGCCTAAACGGCGATTCTAGTCCGAGCCTCAAGAAGCAAAAGTGAAACAAAGAACACGATCCTAAAGACAAAACTATTTATTTTTCGATGCAATGGTGACTCTTCATCGCCTTCTTCTTTCACCAGTGCAGTCAGTCTCTTCAAGAACAATTTCTTCCGCAGGCCATCGGCATATTTCCGGTGCTTTCCTCGAAGATGATTTCAAATGGTTGAGGAACTAACTAATTACTTGAGAGAATACGTCGAAGGAGCATTTTTCGGCTTACTTCTGCGATGGCCTGCGATGGCCCAGTTGCGGCAGTTGCGTGGGGTGCGACATGGCTGCGATTTGGGGTTTTCCCGGTTTCGCGGCTGTCGCATCGCGTGTCGCATCGCAAAAAAAGCTTCTGTGAATCCCGCGGGATTCACAGAAGCTTTTTTGCGATGCGACACGCGATGCGACGCGATCTGCGATGGATGCGTGCGATGCGAACTCGCGAAATACCATTCACAGAAGAAGTCAGCGATGCCACAAAGTTTTGCTGATTTGGGTACGTCACCATGATATTCGCGCGGTTTGACACAACTTGTAAAAATTTATAGGCAACTCTTGCACCTTTGTACAACTTTGCTGTTATGTAGAAAAGGTCAAAATCGTACACCAAATCGCTTGTCGCATCGCATCGCAAAAGTTGAGCCAAGCTCAACTTCTGCGATGGCCCAGTTGCGGCAGTTGCGTGGGGTGCGACATGGCTGCGATTTGGGGTTTTCCCGGTTTCGCGTCTGTCGCATCGCGTGTCGCATCGCAAAAAAGCTTCTGTGAATCCCGCTTTAAGTTCCGTTTTTTTCCCACTGATGCGGATAGGAACGAGAAAATCGATTCTGGGTTTTCAATAATATTTTTGTTATAAAATACACAGTAATACATGTCAAACAAGTAACGTAGTTGCGTGATGTCTGCGGCCATCATCCTATTCATAGCTACTAAGTACATTATTATTACTATTATTAAATTTTTGATAGATACATGTACAATGTAGATCCCTGTTTTCTCAGCTTTTCGGATGATCGCTTTTTTTCGTGTGTGAAACTCGGAGTAAAACACTTTTTGTAACAGGATGAAAAAAGTGGCACTACTGAGACACGTACACGTGATCAACAGGAATCATTGAAGAAGGGGTCGGTGAGAAATCGTCAGAATCCGTGTTCAATAAGTATGCAATTGTCTGTAAACCCCGGTGCAGCTAGCAAAGCCTTTGCCATTAGCCCTTTCCCAAAGGTGCTCGCCCTTTTTGGCCCTTTTTGGAAAAGCCCGTTTCTTTCGCCCTTTATTGCGTTTTTTGGTGAATATCGCCCTTTTTTAATAGCTTTTTTAGCTGAAAAAGTGCTAAAATCTGTTTGCTCATGCATGCGATCACACTGTTTCCGAGTGCTCGATGGGCCTTGGCACGCCGCTTTTTTGGGGGGCAACAAGTTGGTGAAGCTTGTACTTTGTACACAATGCTGTAAAAAGTGGGTTTTTTGAACTTTACTTCCTGTCGTGGACCCATAGATGGAAGAGTGCGTATTCATTTCTCAGCTTGGGTTCATACCTGAACATGAATCATGGCTATGCTTCACTGAAAAAAGAGCACATTTTGCCTTTCACTGAAAAAAGAGCAACTTTTTCAGCATATTTTGAGGGACGCGAAAAGCACTATTAAGGTAGCAGTACTGGAAAACGGGTGTCAGATTTAGCCAAAATATCAATTTCACGGGAACTGCTTCAAGTGTGATTTTTCTGAAAGAAGGAATACCAAAGGCTTTACAAATGAAATTTTTTGGCATTCGAACCAGTCAAAGCAGAGATATGGCCCTGCGAAAACTGAAAATACCCGTCAAAATGTCAAAATTGCACTGATCAGCTGATCGATGTCAATCTATTTCGAGAGGGTTTCTGTACAATATCAGCGCATCCTTCCCAATCTCGGCCTGATTCACACTGTCTGTCCAGCTAAAACCAGTTTAGAGCTGGGCTGAGCGTCGCGATCGCCACATGCAGCGCCTGCATGCCTGGCCTACGCAGCACGCTAGCTGGCCTGCCTGGCCTCAAGTAGTTCTACCCACGCAATTGTATTTTCAAAAATGATAAAAAAATTCTTTGTTCTCAAACTGTTTGCCAGTGCGACGAGCGTTTGTCATCGACGTTGGAACTCTGCGCTTGAGTTGTTGTGCTGGCGCTACTTGGTCAGAAGATGGGTGATGAACACAAGCGAAGGTCGCTCAGCAGGCCAAGGAAAAGCAAATTTCCTAGAGCTACGTCCAAGCTCATTTCAAGTCCTGAATTATTTGAGCCAATTGAGGGGAGTGAAACCGAACACGAGTCGCAGGCTGATGGAGCTGGTGAGGGCGTAGAAGATGACTCTGATCTTCCAGGTGATTTGTTATCCAGTGATGCCTCGTGTGATAACGATGGAGATTAGTCTGAAGAGGATTGCGATGATATTCCATCAGGAAATCGAATTGTTCACATGGAGAGCTTACAGCAATTGGTGACGTCAGCGTGTGTATGTAGTAATTATCAAGAGGGCAACCTGACTATCAAAGATAATTTTCGTCGTGGCCTCGCCGCAACAATTAGTTTGCAGTGCGAATCGTGCTGCTCATCAACCAGTGTAGCCCTGGCAGAAAGACACCCACTTGCTAATTTGTACGATATAAACCGGCGCCGCAGTGTGCTTGCCATGCGCCTTATTGGTAGTGGACGAGAAGGTCTGAACAGTATATGTGGGATATTGGATATGCCGCCTCCTGTTAGCAAGTCCAATTCTGGGCACAGCGATGCACTGCACACTGCTGTGGAAACTGATGCTAGGGACAGCATGAAGAATGCTGCACAGCGTCTTCTTGTTCGGCGAACAACAGAACAGCATTCTCACCCGGAGCATGTTGCAGTTAGCACCGATGGAAGGTGGATGAAGCGCGGGTTCTCATCAATGTTTGGTATGCCAACTGTTGTCCTATAAGACAGGAAAGGTTCTGGACGCGGAGGTGCTATCAAAACACTGCAGTGGATGTGAAACTTGGAAGAACAGATGGCAAGCAGGAAAAATTTCTAATGCTGAGTACGAACAATGGAAATGTTTTCGGCTGTGCTGGAAATGATGAGCTGCTCTAAGTTTCACTTGCCAGCTCTGGTCTTCTCAAGTTGGATGGAGAGAAGCAGTATCACAGGAGGAGAAGGTCCAGTGAGGAGCAAAAGTCAGCCAGGAAGAGAAGAAGAGCCATTTGAAAGGGATTTGCTGACACGACACAGCAAGCAGAGGTAGTCACATACATTGCTGGAGGGTTCTCAGAGTGCCAAAAGTTAGTGTTTTTTGGCCTTCCGACCAAACTTTGGTACACTTTATCTCCAGACTGGCTCATCACAGCCCAATAAACCTTATATGTAGATTGATCAGTGGAAAATTTCCCAGATGCTGAATATATTTATAAAGCCATAGTTTTTTGTTTGGCGGATGTTAGCTGCCTCAGTAGTAATAATCTTTTTCGACGGTGACGGGCATCTTCACAGATGATGTTGACTGGGTGGTGCTATTTGTGTCCTATCTCCAATCTGTTCTATTCAGCATCTGCTACTGTTGTAGACTGTTGCTTGTGATGCAATTTTAACTCTTCAGCTGATATTATGTTGCTGCTAGCATGTACCAAAAATCTGAGATGACGGCATTTTTTTACTCTCCAGTGCAGTGAACTTTTGGGACGATGCAAAGTAAATAAGTTCAAGGTAGTACTTTTATTAGGTGGTGGCGTGACTCATGAATCTGTGCTCAAAATTTTGTGGGAAAAGATTCACAGACACCGAAGAAATACCCGATTTTAGTTGTGTGTATTTGCGAATGGCATATTCCAGTACTGCTACCTTAAAGTGCGAATTAAAAGAGCACCTTTGGGAAAGGGCTATTTGCCATGGCATTGTCAGCTGTACAAAGGATCTAAATGTCATTATAATATCACGGTTTCCAGGACAACCATAGTTTGTTAGAGTCTACTGTATTTGGAAATACACTCAGACGTCTCTTATCCTGGCGTCGGTCAGTGTCGTGCAATGTATCGCATGAGCTGATTGTCAAAGTAACGGGTGGTGTTATAATAGTGGACATTATAGCGTAATATGAAGTTCCTTGGTCCTTTTCTTTGTTATAAATTAATCCTTGGCTCTCCATCCGAGTCCACCCTTACAACAATACTCCTCAGTGGAACTTGAATTACTACAATCCCGTACTTGGGTGCAGCATAGTGCCGAGCATCCATATGATGTGATTGTGAGCCCGTTCAGGCTCATGTAATGTCTTCGAAACTACAGTATATTATGTACTTGGAGATTGTGAGTTCAAGGGCTGGTCTGGCACTTCTGAGTCACTCTGGCCGTGTGCGTAACCATGACGTCTTGCACAGTTCACACACTGCAACGAAACAATCTGCAAGGAGACAACACAGAGCCGATACATGTAGGTATTACTGGGACAATGGCGGGGTGCTTTCGCCTTGTCACGGTCGCGCATGCACAGACACACAGTCACGTGACCTTGTAGCACGGCAAACCCAAAGGCAACACCCACCCACCCACACATGCGCGCATGCATTCACAGACAGACACCCACCCACACACGTACGCACGCACCCGGCACACACACAAGGCGCTGCCAATATGAGAAGAAACAGAATCGTCGGATGTGCAAAGGATGGAGACTGACTGGTCCTATGTCATTGCTGCTGGCTTACTTAGTATCCTAAAGGCATAGAAATTCTTTTCATTCACGTAACTTTATGTTCAACCAGACAAAATACAAACAAGATCTAGTAGATCAAGCTACTGACACTGGCAGTGCAAGTGAACACCGAAATGCCGATACAATACTCAATAGTGCCTATACTTACAGAACTTGACACAGCTTGTGTGGCCCTTGCCTTCTCGGCACGTGAAACAGAACAGGTCTAACAAATATGTCATAGGACAAGCCATCACAGAATGGCATGCTTGCAGTTCACAACCGCAGGGAACCCTTCCTGGTTCTCCTGGTCGCAGGCTCAGCACCGCCAGGCGACACTTTGTGAAACGAGGAGCCCATACGAGCACCCTGCCTACTCCATCACACGACCTGTGAGTGAACCATGAAAGATTCGCGAAGCTCCTCAGACGACTGAGTGATAGCCTGATAGCAAGAGTTATGAACTCTTGCTTGATAGGCTATAAGCTGGTATAAGGGAGTCATATATATTATGGGTCATTCTCGTTCGAACTGAGGCCGTGAGGCCCAGGCCAGGGTGAGGCCCTCAGCTCAGGGGAGTCCGTCTGTACAATCATGTACCTTCCTGTTTTGTGAAACTACAACGAACAAGTATTAAAAGCAACAAGCCGTAGAAAGTCCGTAGTCGGTGTGTACCTGGTCACTGGTGTACAGATCAGACAGTCACAGACTTTCAGTATACAGCAGGGAGTAGTAAAATACAGGGAGGTGACACGAGCATGTACGGCCAGTTTGACGATTGCCTCAGCACCGTTTTCACCCGGCGGGTGAGATTGGGGTACTATGGGTACCGAAGTGTGTAGACACGCGCGCGGATCAGGATTCTCTCGATCAGCGAGTAGTAAAATACCTATCGCCAAAGAGACTCCAACTGCAGCCCGTAGAAACCAAATGGAAACTCAGCGCTGAGAATTTCCAACAATTGTCTGCCTTCACAAAGTTTGGTAGTCGACCAAACTACCACTATGTCAGGATAGAAGTCCAGCAAGAGTGGTATCACTTTGGGAGATATCCCTGCGTGCCGTAGATTTTTCCTGTGTCGATACAAGCTGTTTACGACGACGTAGCCCGCATTTCAATCCTTGACAAACTTAGGAACATTTCATTCCGAAAAGTGAACTCCCGAATCTCTAGCATACCATAATATGAAATGCTCATCATCACAAAGAAGGTAGAGAAGTACTGGTTGATCACAACTGAGGAGAAATTAGTGCCGATCGTGTGGTGTCCTAGAGATTTTTTCGACTTCGAAATCGGTGCACTCGCTTTTCATCTCCAATCGTACACGTATTGTTCTCAAGGAAATCACCTTTGTTCTATTGCTCCATGCCGTCGATCGGGACGAATTTCGGAAGGGTGGTACCTTTCCATATGACGATGACACAGATGTATCACAAGAGCAAAACAAATGCTGTTCCATGAGATGGATAGACCTTTTCACGGAATTAGTTCTTCGACAAATACTCAAGATTGATTCAGCAGATCATCTTTTTTTGCGAAAGAAAAAAAAACAAGCGCGAGGCACCCATCAAAAATCACGATTAGTGGCGTGTCACCTGTACCTCCCTGTATTTTACTACTCCCTGGTATACAGTATACAATGGTATACGTACAGACTTTTTTATTTTTTATTTTGTTCCAGCAGCCTCTACCGTCTACGTAGGTCTACGTACCGGTACGCGGTGTATCGATCTACACGTCTAGTCTCCGTAGCTACGTAGTCTACTACACCGCTCAGTGTCGGGACTCAGGCAATGCTTGCTGGTCTGGACTGAAAATAGCGAAAACAGAACTTATAGTTGCCTGATCGATAAGCGCGCATCCTTTTGCCTTTCGTTCACCCACACTCCATTGTTTTGTCAAGATTTGCCTTCGACTTTCGAAGTCGTTGAGTGGTCCAGCTAGACCCCGTGAGGCGGTGATGTGAAGTGACGAGTGGCTGCCGAGGACGCGAATCTGGTCGTCTCTGAGTCAACTTTTGCCGAGACGTTTGTTGTTTTCAAGTTTGCAGACGGATTTGCTGAGAACTCACCGTCGGGAAGGTGAGGTAAGGGCCCTGGAAATGGTTGGCGATGATATGCCGGGAATTGATCAGTTCTCATATTCATAGTGTTAGGTCCGAGAGTTGGGTGAGCTTTGAAAATGAACGACGATATCATGTGCACATTCATATCGAAATTGAGAATTTTTTTTTAAATTATTTGTTTCTCTAGCTTTGAACCTCTGTGTTTCCACCTTTTTCACTCTGAATTTCTCCCTCGAGCAGTTCAAAAATACTGTAACATGAAATGTTTGCACTACCTCGGAATAAATCAGCAACAGGAAGAGTTCACAGTCCCAGAATGGGTGACTGCAATACGAGCCAGCTGCGGCATACACCGTGCTAACCGCATGGCTCACAATACACTAACAACTTGCCCATGTCATCATGCACCGTCCCGGCCCGTGCATTCAAGACCCACCCCGGTATGCAAGCTCTTGTGTGAGAACACCCGCTTTCACCTGGCTTGAGTCCCAGGATATCTTACGCCTTGCTCACATTTGACGTAACGGCGACGGTACGCGACAGAAGGGCATGTCGAGAAGGCTGGAGCGAGCTGTAAAATCTTTTATACCTCAGTTCATGCACACCCACACACAAATCCACCCTCAACAAGGTAGTTTATATAAGTCAATATAACACTGTTTAGTGCAGAAAATGGCTCAGAGGTTGGGTCAAAGGCAGCAGAACTACTACGATAACAAGGAACCGAGTGTACATGGAGAAATATAAACAAGTATAAAAACTGAGGCGTATATATACGTAAGACTCATACAACACGATATACAGCGGCTGCTGTGATGTGTAAGTTACGTCAATCAGCGCGTGGCATAAAGAACGTCCCTTGACAGGTTGAATTTCAGCCCTAATTTCCTACACGTATTTTCAGGCTTCTTTTGAATCTTTTCTATGATTCCTCCTCAGATGAAGGCACATCATGCTCACACTACCAGTTTGTCAGAAAGCCAAAAAAGAAACGGTCAAGCGCAATGCATTGTGTAAACGACCCAGTCCATCTGTGTACAGTCAACTTCGCTAATAACGACTGCGGATATAACGGCAATTTGCGAATAACGACAGAATTCCCATACCCAGAGCAAAGTCCCATCTAACTGTAATACATCTAATGAGACTTCGGGTATAAGGATACTTCACGAATAAGGACACTTTTCTGATGCCCCGCTGAGTGTCGTTATACACAAAGTTGACTGTACATGGCAGGCTGGAACTCTACTCGGGTTGAAAAGTCTCTTGTAAACGCAGCAGCAGCAGTTACTGTATAGCAGGAAATTTTCGGACGGAAATATTTTCGGACAAAGCCGAAATTCGACCTTTCGTACGGATTTTCTTTTCTTACAGTGCTGCATACTGAATGCACGTGTTCGCAAGCAGTACGCATGTATAGTGTACATAATTTGACATGAGCAAATTTTAGTACGGAATTAATCTTAGTACAAAAGAGGCCGTGTACGAAGTCGTACGAAAATAAATTCCGTCCGAAAATAAATTTCCTGCTACACTCATACCTCTCTTATCCGGGCGCTTCGGGACCGGACACTGCCCGTAACTTCGAGGGTGCCCGTAACTCCGAATCATATACATCTTGATGGGGAAAAGGCCATCGATATGGCATATGACGTCAATATTTCTACGAAAAGTGACAAAAGAGTAGTAATATTTCCCCTGAAACTCGCCCAAATAGTGCCCGGTAGACCGAAGTGCCCGTAACTTCGAAGTCCGGATAACCGAGGTATGAGTGTATACAGTACCTTCCCAGGCTATTTCTCAATTTTGTGTTGCCCTCCACTGCTTGTGCTTATGATGTGCTTATAATGTGCTCATGATGTGCTTATAATATGCTTATAAATATAAATAAATAAATTTCACGGTTCGCGTGAGACTCGGCTGGAAGCCCAGTTTTCCGCATCCGTCGTGGGAACGCCACCACCCTCTAGGATCAAAGACGCAGATGCAGCGCCTAAACGGTGGGAGGTGAGTAGATCAGACCCACCACCAAGTGGTCAAAGACCGAAATCCCATTAGCTGCATCCATGTTACCCTCGTGCCAGGCCACAACTTCCACAAGTTCCCAAATAACTGTGGGTCGCAGCACGGCTGGAAAAATTCCTTCCGCTTCCAAGGGCAGGCATAGTGGGATGGTCTAAGACCATGGTTGAGAAACAGAGGGTACCAGGTTCAAGTCCTGATGTGCTTATAATGTGCTTATGTTCTTATAATGTGCTTGTAATGTGCTTATAATGCGCTTATGATGTGCTTATAATGTGTGCGTGCAGGTCACGGTTGCCTGTGCAGTGCAACTCTTCAGTGGAGCAGCGAGTGTGTGTGTGTGTGTGTGGAATGACTAGTGCATAGTGCCGGCTGGCCGTCAGAGCACGATGATGCAGCGGGAAAGAGACGCATCGCTTGAGCGCAGCACCCGCCAGCGTGCCGACAGGACCGATGACGGCCGTGCATCGAGTCAGGCATCGCCGTCGCCGTCAAGATCAGGTGTCCGATCGGTAGCCACTGGAGCACCAGGCCATTCACCCAGGAAATCTTCGGCGAGGCTTTCTTCAGGACTTTCTCCAACCGAGCGACTTCCACGGGAAGACTTGTCTCCCAGGTCAGCGGGAAGAAGCCCTCGTGACCGATCAACGTCACCAAATCAAACGCCCAGGGCCAGTAAGGCAAGCCGCAGATCTCTAACGTTTGATTCTCATGTGCAACTTGACGGCAGCCCTGCTGGGAAAAGAGCATCCAAGGTTGTGACCGGTAAACAATCTTCCCAGGGTTCTGATAAATCTGTTGATTCAGCAGTGCAGCTGACTGTGACAGCTGTGTCACCCAAGAAAGAAACAACGGATGAATGTACTGTAGTCGCAAGCAAGAAGAAGGGGCTTGGTGACCCGCGGTCTGATAATAGTACTACCGCTGTCACCAGCCTGGTGAAAAACTCATCTTCCACAGCCTCCATTAGCTCAGTGACATCAACAGCTGAAGATAGCGGTGAGCTGCATGAAGCTAGTGCACTGGCCACCAGTTCAGTGACAAACGAAGTCGGGATGGATGTGAGCGACTCTTGCACGGATGCATTACATCTCGAAGCCATCGCCAGTGGTAGTGACAGCTGCAATGACAAAGAGGTGGAGTCGTCGTTTGCTAGGAAAGACACTTCAGATGCAGGCAGCAGTGTACTCAACTCCAGGGCACATGGCAAAGCCAATCAAGGTGGCGGGGTTGATGGTGGTCATACCGGTACAACAAAGACTCGGACAAACCAATCTTGTAGAGACTTGTCACAGTCGCCCACACCCAGCAGCAGCATGAAATCAACGCCGAGGCGTAATCACGGTGCAAGCAGAGCAGCTGCTGCTAGTCCTGTTGCTGGTGATGGCGGAGAGGTACGTCGATCCAGTCGCTCAAACAAGACAACTTGGAAACAGCGCTACAGCGATCCTGTACAGTATCCACACGGGTAGGTGATTTACTGAACGTATGTCTGTGTCCTGCTGTTGCTACTGCTGCTGCTACTGCTGCTACTGCTGCTACTGCTGCTGCTGCTGCTACTGCTAATGCTGCTGCTGCTGCTACTGCTGCTGCTAATGCTGCTACTGCTAATGCTGCTGCTGCTGCTGCCACTGCTGGTGCTCAACTCACTACTCACCTGACACGTTGTCTTGTTTTTGCACATCACGTTTGAACGGTCATGCACTGCTCGTTACTGACACCTGTGGAGTTAACACCGATGGAATGCAAGCGAGCAAGCAAGGTCGAAAATGGCCTGAGACGCCGGACCGATCAAACCTGTGAGAGTGCGAGCAAAATATCAGCGCGGTTGTTGTAAAGAACAGAACAAAGTTCACTTGTTAGTAAGTTGTTACAGTCATACAGGTCACTTTTCCGCTTTCCGCCTTTGACTGGATTCTGCTTGTTGAGGTGACTTTGCAATGGCTGTGCGTTGGTGCGTGACAATTTTGTCCAGTCATGGTAATATTTCGCTTGGTACACGGTACGGCAAACACCCAGGCACATGTATTAACTGTGACTGCACTGTGAATGCCTGATAGTTCTGACGGCTGTTTGAAGACTCTAACGAGTCAACGAGGAGAAGAAGTCTGAACGGAATAGTGATACGTGTACTAGTAGCTGCTTCAGCGATAGTCACATGTGCGTTGCTCCCTACATGTGAACTAGCGCTTTTTTGGAAAAGATGTCTGTTATTAAAAACTTATAATAGAGGGAGTTAGAGGACAGCTATACTCATTACAGGACTTGAAGTACAGTCAGACCTCACATAACCGCACACGTCCGTTCTCCACAAAAAAATATCCGGATAGGCGAGGGAACCGGATAATTGGAACACACATACTGTATGTATGCATGGAATATGCTGTAAATCGGTAAGCAACGATTTTCTTCCGGATGACGAGGGATCCGGATAAGCAAGGTCTGACTGTAATCAGTGGTGGACTGGTGTGACGGAGCAAGAATTATTTTGTCTGTTTACAGTGGTATGTATCAATGGGTGATGGTACATGGAGTTTGGCATGTTCACTTGAACCCTGCCATCAGCATTAGTTAGGAATTGCTTTGGAGCCAATTGTGTGTGCGCGCACGTGTGTGTGTGTGTGTGTGTGTGTGTGTGTACGTGTGTGCGAATGTGTGCGTGTCTATGTCGGTATATCTTGTGTGGTGTTTTTTTTGCATTCTTTGCCGGTCTTACCCGCAACGTCTATCACCTACACTGTGATGGCACAGCGACCGAGCGTCTAAGTTTGGTAAGCGTCCCTCACACTGCAGTGAAAATGTCCATTACATTGCCTTCTTGTGTCCGACCATAATTTTCAAAGGAAAAATAAATATGTTACATCCAGGGTACTTTGTACTGAAGGTTCACAGGACATGTGCTGCAATACAATCCTACATGTATGCATGTACAGTTGCGCTCACTGAAATCCAACCCGAAGTGCAAAACTGACGTCCTGGACCATTTCCGAATGCATCGCTTTACTTGTACATGTGTACGTCCAGCCGCATTCGTACCACTTCCACAGCGTCAAGGACCGTGCAAGTAAATATGCACGTCAGGTCGGATTTCACCGAGCACAACTGTACTACAATACATATATACATATATGCATGTACATTGGCTGGTCAATTCTATCCAATGTCATGATTTGATTTGTGTTGGTGCCCTCCACCAGAACACAGTCCAGTATTCGCAGGTTTGGGGGCTGGACACTGCCCTGTACCAGAGCACAGCCAACGGTTTGCAGATCTTGGCCTGGACAGCACCCGGCGCTAGCGAGGTCATACAATGGCATTTCACCTTAAGAGCACTGTACAATCATGTATCTACCACTGGTACATGTACTCTATCCCCGGATAGCTAGCTGTTTCAACCTTGTTAGGTCTCGTCAGAGTCACTGGCCGAACCGATGGCAATGCAGTCCATTGAACAAGAAAGCGTTTTTAACACTGCTACATATGGAATACGGCATGACTCAATCTACAGGCAGAACTGTTGTGCCCTTCATGGACTGATCAACACAGCACAGAGAAGTGAGGCTTTATCTGTATGTGTATGAGTGCATTGTAATTTATCTGCCTCTTTGCCCGTCTGCACACTTTGTAGATCGGAATGCCCCGGCGCGGACGGTCGGTTCATCTGGTGGAGGGGTGAGTACATGACTGTGCTGCATGGAGTATGCACTGTTCTGTTGTGTATTTGCATGTGTGTGCTTGACTGTGAGTGACCATGGTTGCTTGTGTGACTAAGCGACCATAATAAAGAGTCCTGATCTCTGTGACTCGGCGTGTCTAAAAGTCTAAGAGATACTGTATAAGAGAAAAGGACATATGGATACGAGTTAAGAGTAACTCTCCATCACTGTAACATGATACAATATACAGTCAGAAAGTGCAATAACTAGGCACAAAACTGACAGAGTACTGAGACATTCTTAACTCGTATCCATATGTCCTTTTCTCTTCTACATTTATTTATGGCTCAACATCCGAGTTTCAAGATACTGTATAAGCAGAAATATTCGTCTGGAATTTAATTTCGTCTTTTTCGTCTAAGGAGCTTTTGGACTAAATTAAATGCCGGATTAACTTCGATTTGTCCAGCTTTTCAATACACTCTTGTGATCCATGGACGAAATTTTCAACCGGACGAACTCCCTTTCTTTGGAGTAGGACGAAATTATTGACCGACGAAATATTCTGCCTGTACAGTAGTGCACTTACCTAGGTCAATATTGCATTCTCTTTGTACATACATCTGTGCGTGTGGCTATTGATGTAGGATGCGGATAACGATAATTACTGCTGGCAGTGCCACAAGGAAGGTCAGGTCATCTGCTGTGATGGCTGTCCGCGAGTTTTCCATGTCAAGTGTGCCCAGCTACCCGCTGAACCAGAGGGTGACTGGCTCTGTCCTGTGTGCCGGGTGAGTTTTCTCTCTCCCCCCCCTCTCTCTCTCTCTCTCTCTCTCTCTCTCTCACTCTCTCTCTCTCGCTCTCTCGCTCTCTCTCTATCTCTCTCTCGCTCTCTCTCTCTCTCGCTCTCTCTCTCTCTCTCTCTCTCTCTCTCTCCCTCGCGCTCGCTCCCTCTCTCTTGCTCTTCCTCCCTCTTTGCAATCCACTTTTGGAACTTACTACCCATAGTGTATGAGGCATGTCTTGATGTTTGCGGCACACACACTTGTTCAGTGTAGCGACTGTTTTGTGAAACTACGGGGCACGTACGGTAAGTGTCACTACAAAGTCGGGGCACACTGCACAGAGTCATCGGCACATCGTAGTGTGCACTGTGCACTGGTGTTTCCCGCTTGTAAGACGGCCTCCATTTTGTATTCAAACTTGGTTCATAAAGCTATAATATGCTCACAGTTTGTGATGTCAGGAAAATGTGGAATTCCGACTCACCCTCGAAGTGTCTATCCTTTTTTGTGTTTTGTGTCTGCTCGTTGATGGGATGCATTGTATAGGAAGTGAATAATGCACAGAAGATTGACGGCAGTGCTGAAAGTCTGAACAAGATGTACTTGTTTATACTGAGCCAGATGGAGACCTGTCAACGGGTAAGGCCCCGGTTTTTGCTTTCTGTTCTGGGCTTGTCTGACTCTTAGGGTGTTAACTGTGAAGTCTACTCTAGGCCAACAGTAGGCTATGGAGTATGGACTCTATTGAGGTAATGTGATTACATCATAATTACATCATCATTGCATCAGCATTACATCAGCACCTCGGTCCATCTACACATGCTGTAGTCAGGAAACCTACCTTACTGTAGGGAAGAGATCTTGTAAAGGGAACAAACTCACTATAGGAGCAGGCATGTGATCGTGTACTGACTTGATAAAGGGAACAGGCCCTGCCATAGGGAACTTATCCACTATAAGGAATATACTCCTATAGAAAACATACCCACTGTAGGAAATAGACTCTTATAGGGAATATACCCGCTAGAGGGAATAGACTCCTATAGGGTACATACTCACTATAGGAAATAGACTCCTATAATTATGGTACATACCCATTGTACGAAATAGACTCCTATAGGGAATATACCCGATAGAGGGAATACACTCCTATCTCTTAATTTGCTAAATCCTATATATAGGATTTTGATCATATTTTTCAACTCAAAATGGGTGTGGCATGAGAATAGCAAAAAGTATGTGACCAATTCTTCCTTGCTAGGTCTTAGTAGATATCGAGAGTTGAATAAGATTTTTTTCAAACACTAACATCTCAGGCTCATCTCCTTGCTCAATATTACTAAGGCCTGTGCCCCATTTTTCGATTCCTATATATAGGATTTGAGATTTTATTGGACCTTGTTGTATCCTTAAAACTGGTAGTTTCATGACGGCATGTGCGATATGTCATCATGTAACTACCCCGTGCCACACCTGCAATGTTCTTCTGCACATTCACTGCTTCAGTCCTTTCCATGACAGCAGCTGAACAATTATGCTCAAATTTCCAATTATTGCTGAAAATGGGTATTCATCAGAAATATTATCGCCCTATGAATCTAAAATGTAAACATTCATGCCTCAAACATATTTACAACTTCCATGAAAACCATTATGCCGTTATTATTGGTCGTGATGACCAATAACAACGGCATAAAAGGCACACATTTTCAAATCCTATATATAGGATTTTTGGCCAGCAAATTAAGAGATAGGGAATATACCCACTGCAGGGAATGGACTCCTATAGAGAGCGCACCCACTATAGGGAATAAACTTCTATAGGGAACATACCCGCTATAGGGAACATACATGACTGTACTTGCTATAGAAGAAATCCTGCTATTAGGAAAATACCTACCATAGGGATCAAGACCGCTATAGGGAATAGGTTCGCTGCAGGGAACAGACCCGCTATAGGGACTGGTCTTGCTGCTGACTTACATCATACTATTGTATTGCTGTTTTTTTGTGTTTCACTTGAGGCACAGTTTTCTAAGTTTTCCTACAGTGTTACTATCTGACAGAGTATTGTCATGTTTTTACTGTTTGTGTCACCATACCACAGGGCAATGTATTTACCAAACCGGTGTCATTGGAGAAATTCCAGGATTACTCTAAGTTTGTCCTTCATCCGGTCTCGTTGGATTCGCTCAGGGAGGTGAGTGTATGAATGCTTTCGTTCATTTAGTAATATTCTCTATCTGTGGTTGTACCCTCATGACAAGTGCAATCCAACCCCTGCTTACATGCCCGCAGTGTGTGAGAGTACGTACGTGCCTGCCCTATGCATGTACGTCTACTAATGTACAGTCAAATCTGTCGTAAGCGACCGCCCCTTGGTGCAAGAAAAAGCGGTCTCTTACGGCAGATGGTCTCTTACGGCAGATGTATGGTAAATCCGGCATACCGGGCATGCATATATGCTTCCATGTACTCAAATCGACGAGAATAATGTGATTTTTAATAATATCATTTTATTGGATATTCAATAGAATATAGGGGTGCACAAACCCAAGAATAGTGCACATACCAGGGCTAATCTTGAGAGCTACAGCGCAGCCTCAGTACAGGCCAGGGCCAGTCGATCGCACTTGCAAGACAGCGCATTTTCAAACCTTGCAGTTGACAGCGCACTGGCAAGTACAGTTTCGCACCTGACTGAACCTGGGTCGTGGTCGCTTACAGCAGATTGAATGCAGCCATCGTGCATGAAATCGCGGTCGCTGGTCGCGCACAGCAGATGGTCGCTCTGGACAGATCAGTTTGTATGTGAAACCGTCGGTGCACGGAAAATCGGTCGCTAACGGTAGATGGTCGCCTACAGCAGAGGTCGCTAACGGCAGATTTGACTGTATACCGTAAAACATGTAATTTTAGGTGTATTAAATTGTCGGTACCAGGGACCTGCCAGGTTTCAAGTGTAATGTAGAATTAGGTGACTAGCTTTCCCTTCACACACAGTGCATACTCTTGTGCCTTTTAGGTGTAATTTTAATTTAGGTGCCTGGTTTCTCTACCGAAATCACCGAAATTAAAGTTACACCGAAAATATCGTGTTTTACAGTATGCTTGCTCTGACTTGCGTGGAACCAGAGGTTTTATTTTTATTTTTACCAAAAATATTCAGCCTTTTGTACGGGCGAAACCAAAAATAGTTATTATGATTATGTAGCTAGCATGCACAGTACTGCGCAGTAACTAAAATACACTAATAAAACAAGTGAAACTCAGTCCAAGCAACTTTCAAAATGTGTGTGTGTTTTTAGCTAGTCAGATGCCTCGGGCCGCAGGCGTGCCTCCGCAACGACAACCGCAACTGGATCTCGCTGGAGTTAGCGGTACTTAGAGGATCTGGCACCACGCAGACACATGATGCTGGACCTTACCAGCGCAAAGCACAGCCGAGTGCGAATGCACGCCATGGTGGCAGAATACTGGTCATTTCTCTTTTCAGAGATAAGAGCAGCCAAGCGCTTGTTCAAAACTGTGGCAGCTTTCCCTGCACCACCACTGGCGAACATGACGACTGGCACGAAGGAGACCCTCTCGACTTCCCGAGTCCTCTCCTCGTATCGTCTCCTCTTCTCGCGTTCATGACGGGTATACACAGCGGGGGTTGAAACAGCACGATTCGAAGCAGCATAGGAGTTGAAAACCCGTATATCAAACATTGTGCGTTCGAACCGGCCACCCCAAAGCCTACTGGCAGCGATTTCGAGGCGAGCATTGTCCTCTAAGGACGCAGACCGGAGGCTGAACTGCGCACCAGAGAGCGGTTGCATTGGAGGTTCCACGGATACCGAGTGAGCCACCTGGCGAATGAGGTCGGCCGTGACGTCACGGATTTCATTGTGTCTTAAAGACGGAAATCCACCGGTCGGGCAGGATAACGCGTGGGAGACGTCGAAGCACGCGTTGCCACAAATGCAGGATGACGGTAACGCTCCGGCACCCAGCCATAGCGCAAACACAGAGCATCTCTAAACTCAGACTTAGAGAGACGAAAGCCATGGCAGGATAGAGGACGTGACGTCAGCCAAGCAGAGCTACCACGCTCGGAAGCAAGCTCAAGCTGAGCCTCATGTACCGCACCTTCACCGCTCACAAATCCCTCCTTCAGCTGTTGCTCTGATGCCCAAGCTGCAATGCGGACTTGACGTTTGGCGGTCTTGGTAGCGTCTGCCACACCAGCTAGCGAGGGATCTGCCTTAACAATCTTTTCCCTGAGCTCATTAGTAACAGCTCGGGAGTGGGCATAGTGGCGAAATTGGGCGGTGGGAGTCGAGAGACCCAAACCGCCATCCCGACAAGGGAGCGAGAGCATAAGCCGCTCCACACTGGACTGAGGGAGGCGACCTGTAAGGGCTGGGATGAGGCGCTCCCTGATGACAGCTCCCAGACCACCAAACTCCTCAGATGACATCTCCAAGGTCCGGGACAAGAAATACCACTTGCCTTGTAGACCATGGACAAATGCGGAGTAGGCGGCCTGGGGTTGTGTCCGGGCAAAATCGGATAGCCGAGACACCTGACGTGTCCAGTCGGTGATCTTTGACTCAACGAAACTGGTGCCCAAAGCAGCTCCCAAGTGACGACAGCCATCTCTGACGATCTGGACACCCGTGCCAGCAAAGAGTGCAACCACCTCATCGTATGCGCGCTCCTTCACCAGCAGCAAGGATTTGCTGGCGTTGAGGTGGTATCCATAGGCTTCTCCTTGCTCAGTCAGCCCATCCCACCAGGTGCGGAGGGCTCGAAGGCTTCCACCGCCGGAAGAGTCATCCGCGTACCACACCTGGGTGATGTCGGGTGAGCTGACTGCCTGGACCAAGGGTACGATGCCAAGGGCGTACATCGGTATCGCCACCGGATCACCCTGGGTAGTGCCTTCTCAGGATAACAAGCATTCACCATCCACAAAGAGCTTAGCCGGATGGCGGTACGTATTGATGATAGTGGGGGCCAGGGATGGGCAAAGGTGGTGAATGTTCCTTAGGCAAACCCGTCGGTTAATACATCATGCATGGCATGGATGGCCGCTTTGATACCGCAATCTTGTCCAGCGCGGAGTTGCTGAGTACCAGCAGCCTCCTGGATCTGATTACGTGTCACCGACAGTATGGCTTTGGCCACGATCCTTCTGACGACTTCCCCAATGCCGATGGGGCGCACCCCTGGCCGTTTATCCAGCGGGATCAGGCGGCAGGCAGTGAACGCCTCGAGTGATAGCGGGTCCACATATGTAGTGGCCAACCGGCGTGCGCAACTAGCCAGGGAGTCATACAGCGTGTCCGATGCTGCCAAAAAGGCAGTGGCCATTCTCCGCCAATTATCTGCATCTACACCAGAAGGCCCGGCTGCTCCAGGAGTGTGCAAAGCAGTTTTTCGGATGGCGTCACGGGACAGGTTGTCGAACATAACAGGATGCGGTTGAGGCGGCGGAGGGACTGAGATTAGGGCCTCAGGACGAATAGGTTCCGCTTGTGGGTGTTTGGCATGGAGGGCGTCCCTAATGGAAGTAGTCTCGGCCACTGGGTCATCTAACTGCAGAAGGCCTGTCCTCATTTCCTCTGACAGCATGTGCAGCGCAGACTTGAGCTTACCAGAGGTGGAACCAGAGGTTGGATTTCACTTTCCACTGCTATAGTTCTTCTCTGGTCCAGTCAGGGCGCTGAACCTCATCAAGGCAGCTACAAGCCAAAAAACGATAACCGAGCTATCTGCTTCTATGTTGTATCTTTCTGTTCACTTGTTTGACAATGTAAAATTCTCAATGCAGCTGACTACACACAGCAATCAACAATGCCTAGTCTGTGTGTGTGTCTCTGTGTGTCTGTGTCTGTGTCTGTGCGCTTGTTTTACTGATCATTCGCAGAAACTACGAACGTTGTCTGATCCAGTGTTTCGGAACCCTCGCGAATTCTTGCACGAAGTAAAGTGGATATTCCACAACTGTGCTATCTACAATGGTGGTGAGTTACAGTGGACGTGTGTGCGTGTGTGTGTGTGTGCGCGCGCGAGCATGCGCGCGCGTGTGTGTGTGTGTGCGCGCGCGTGTGTGCGTGTGTGTGTGTGTGCGTGTGTGTTCTATCAAAGCAGCGTGCTGTCTATTCTGGTTACCCCAGCAAGTGTAGGGTGTGCATAGGTAACTGTCTTGGCCGTTTTATGCCGATGTACTCCGTGTGGCGTAGACCAGGTGTGCATTGGTGGTCGATTCACATGGCTTCGCCAGTTGTGTGGATTAGACAGTTATCTGGCGCAAGTCTTGATCTGTCTCATTCAGATCTTGTTCGCTATCGATGCTATAAGAGAAAATCTGTGGGTGCACATCCAGTGCATTAAATTTTGTAGATTTGCGTGCTTCTCTTGCGACGGGTGTATACATGGTACATAGTACATGGTGTGTTCATGTGTGTGTGTGTGTCACTTGTGTGTTCATGTTACATACATGTACATGCCGGCGTGCATGCATAAAATTCTTTATGTTACGAGTTATGACCGACAGTCCACCAAGGCAGCGAGAGAATATATACATGTAATCAGATAGTGCGACAGCAAGGGACCAAACGGACAGGAGTATTGAGACATTCAATGACCTTTTTTATTTTTATTTTTTATCACATTGCACATACCTACGGAAGAAGGGGAGACAAAACGAAGACGAAACAAAAAAGACAACAATGGGTGTGTAGGCGCTACATGAGCTGCGCTGGTGAGATGCAGTGGACTCCCCCGACCAAGGGTCTCGGGATCGGCGTACACAGCAAGCACCATGGGAGAGGGGGGGGCGAGAGGAATGGCGGAGAGAGAGAGAGAGAGAGAGAGAGAGAGAGAGAGAGAGAGAGAGAGAGAGAGAGAGAGAGAGAGAGAGAGAGAGAGAGAGAGAGAGAGAGGGTGAAAGAGAGAGTGGGAGAGAGAGAGAGAGAGAGAGAGAGAGAGAGAGAGAGAGAGAGAGAGAGAGAGAGAGAGAGAGAGAGAGAGAGAGAGAGAGAGAGAGAGAGAGAGAGAGAGGGTGAGAGAGAGAGTGAGAGACAGAGAGAGAGACAGAGAGAGAGAGACAGAGAGAGAGACAGAGAGAGAGACAGAGAGAGAGAGAGAGGGAGAGAGAGAGAGAGAGACAGAGACAGAGACAGAGACAGAGACAGAGACAGAGACAGAGAGAGAGAGACAGAGACAGAGACAGAGACAGAGAAAGAGAGACAGAGAAAGTGAGAGAGACAGAGAGAGGGAGAGAGAGAGTGCACAAGAAAGAAGAGAGAGAGAGAAAGAGAGAGAGAGATGGGTAAGTGAGGGAAAGAGAGTGAAAGAGGTAGGGAGAGAGAGAGTGCACAAGAAAGAAGAGAGAGAGAGAGAGAAAGAGAGAGATGGGTAAGTGAGGGAAAGAGAGTGAAAGAGGTAGAGAGATATAAGTATAGAGAGAGAAAGAGTTCAGCGGCATATCGTCGCTATGACTATAATGCTACTTTGAGAAGAGGGTCAACATAATGATTTGCGTCCACTGATGGCAGGCCAGTGTGATAGATGTGCATGGCTAGCACCAGTCATGAGCAGAGCACCAGTCACTCTGTTGCAGGTGACGGTATGCAGCAATCTTGAATCTCTGCAGGTGTTTCCGGGCTGGCTGCTTGTCCAGAATTGCCTGTGGCAGTCTATTCCACACTGGCACGATGCAGTATGGGAAAAAGCGCAGAAGGTAATCAGGAGCTCGTGGCGAGAGATTCAGCTCAAGCTGGTGGGGATGGTGCTGTGCTTGGGCTGCTCGTGTGCGGCGATGACGTGGCGGTATAGCCGGCGGGGGACACATGGCTGCAACTTGAGGCAGACCATGGCCACACATCAGTTTGTACAGTAGGCAGAGAGCAGAGACCTTTCGCCGAACAAGGAGGCTGGGAAGAATGGTACCAGGGCCAATGACATTTAGGGCGCGGAGCTGGACAGTATCCAGCATGGCCAGGTGTGAGGGAGCTGATCCCATCCACGCAAGGGGGGCATATTCCAGCATTGGCCGGACGAATCCTTTGTAAACAGTCACCCTGCCCGCGTGGCTGAGGAGGGGTGCTGCCTTCCGCAGGAGGCCCAGCCGCTGCTTAGCACGGGATGCCACTTGCCGAAGGTGGAGTCTGTAGCTCAGTTTAGAATCAAACGTCACTCCGAGCACCTTCACCAATTCATCTGGTGGGAGAGGAGTTCCGCCAAATGACAGCTGGGGAGGCACTGTATCCTTCCGCTGGTGCGACAGAGTGATAGTTTGCGATTTTGATGGCTCAAACGCAATCTTCCATCTCTTGCCCCAGGCATGAAGCTCATCTAGGCTGCGTTGTAGTGAGGCATTCGAGGTTTGGTCAAGGAGGGAGTACAAAGTTGTATCATCAGCAAAAGTGTTCAGGTTTGTGCCATGCGACAAGCAGCTTGAAATGTCGTTTACGTACACGAGGAACAATGTAGGTCCAAGGATACTACCTTGTGGGACGCCAGACTGGACAGGGTGCACCGATGAGCTCTGGCCATGAACAACAGCTTTAATGGTGCGACATTGCAGGTAGTGGGTAAGCCATGCGAGCAGTGAACCCCCTATCCCCAACTGGCGGGCCTTGTAAAGTACGCCAGCATGAGAAACTTTGTCAAAAGCCCCCGCTATGTCCACGGCAACTGCTTGCATAGCTCCACCTTCTGCCATGGCATTGGCCCACTCATACTGTAGGACAGTCAGGAGGTCTGCAGCTCCGGTGCCACGACGAAAACCGTATTGACGAGTATTCAGCAGACGTTGGCGTTCCAAGAAGTTGACAAGCTGGGAGTTGGCTATACTCTCCATTACTTTCGACAGGATGCTGAGGAGAGACACAGGTCGATAATTCGAAACAATTGACTTGGAGGACTTCTTGTGTATGGGGGACACATGGGCTAGTTTCCAGGAAGCTGGCTGGACCCCTGCTCTGAAGCAGCAAGAGAACAAGCGAGCAGCAGGCTCTGCCAGCTCCCTGTGGCATTCCTTGAGGACTCTAGCTGATATGCCATCGGGGCCAGTGGCCTTGTGCGGATTTAGTGCCGCTAGTTGACGACGAACATTGGCTGGACGAAAGTGGATGGCTGTGATCTGAGGTGCCGCGGTATCAAGTTGCATAGCAGGGAGCTGATCAGAGGCAGAGAAATCGTTGGAGCCGAGGCTGCACTTCATGGCAAAGTATTGGGCAAAGCACTCGGCTTTCTCCCTAGCAGTGGTGTGCTCGTGTCCAGATCTGTCGACCAGGACAGGTATATCGCTTTGGCGGCTAACACCAGCAGCTCGCTTAATAGCTGTCCACCATTGCTTGTCTTGCAAGGAGCCAGATGACAGCTTTCTAGAAGCTCGCTCTTTGCATTGCTGTTGGGCATGTTGCAGAACATGCACACAATGTGTAACGGATGCCAGGAAGGTTTCTTTCTGTTGCAAGCTATCGGGGTCTTGCCTCCAGACTCTCCAGGCTTGTTGCTTTAGGTGCACTGCTTGTTTGCAGGCAGGTGTCCACCAGACCGGGTCAGTGGCCATTACTTTAATGGACTTGGAGGGAATAAACTGAGACATGGCATCACGCACAATTCCTGTGAGGGCTTCACAAGCAGCGTCAGGGTCATTTGATAGGACAGTTGGCCAGTTAATGCGGCTAAGATGTGCGCGCATCCTTCCCCAGTCTGCTCTAGCATACTGCCAGACGATTCTTAGGGCCGGTTGCTCCTTGCGGGGACGTACGGTCTTGAACTCCGTTAAGATAGTGACATGGTCTGAGCGCCCAAGCGGCGGACCAGTGATGACAGATGCTGCACCTGGGAGGTCGGATATAACTAAGTCCAGTGTGTTGTTCTTGCGGGTTGGTTCGGAGACATGTTGGGTGAGGTAGTGCGAGGTGCACAAGTCCTCCAAGGCTTCCCCAGCAACAGTGGTCTTGGTGCTGCCCAGCCAAGCGGTGTTGTGGACATTGAAGTCACCCGTGATCAGAACATAGTCACCGAGGTGCCGGACAGCGAGTAAGGTCTCCTCAAGATACTCAATAAGACTGATATCTGACTCACTGGAGCTCCCAGACCGGTAGAGGGCGCAGAATACAATTTTATGATGATCACACGTTTCAATAAGAAGCCAGATGACTTCAAAGTCATGACATGGCACGGTGTCAAGGTGACGAAAGCACAGACCTGCTTTTAGCCATACAGCAACACCGCCTCCATGTGCAGTGCGGTCCTTGCGTACTGCGGGGCAGTATCCAGGTATTATTGTTTCAGCTGGAGACATTTTCTCGGCAGTGAGTTTTGTCTCAGTTACTATGGCAATGTCTACAGTCTGCTGACGGAGGGCATGTTGTAGCTCACCGAACTTGGACTGGAGACCGAATGCATTGGTCAGAAAGATCGATAGACTTGACATATTTGTTTGTGGCTTAGTTGCTTCCTGGAAGAGGGTGTAGCGGTGGCGGAGGGGGAATCTGAGACGGGGCATCCATGTCTATCACTGGCTCCTGGTCGGACGCGCTCATGTGTTGATCGTCTGGAGATTGCTTGTCGGACAGGTGCTGGTACTTCTCAAAATTCCACTGGCGTGAGTATACAGGTCGCGGCCAGAATCCCTTGGAGTTGACCAGCGCAGCCGTTTTCGAGTTGAGTACGAGTCGTGCGGAGGATCTGGCTTCCTTCCGGAAGATCTTGCACTCGTGGATTTTGACTTGAGTTTCGGCTGAGCTTGCTCGGGTGGTGACGAACTGACTGAGTTTCTCCGTAGTCGTGTCACTCGGTAAGTTCCCCACAAACAGTACTTTCCGCTTTCCCGTGGGCTTTGTGCTGCAAACTAGCTCCCAAAGTCCACTGTCCTCGTTGTCGTCTTCAAAGCTGGGCAGCAGGTTTGAATTTGCCGATCTTTCATCACGATGCACCTCTGGTACACGTGCTCGAGCAAGGGGCTTTGGACTGTCGGACTGTGGGGTCGGTTCGTGAACCGAGCTCACAGAAAGTTGGTCTGTACGTGTACAGGGGGTCACGGATGCGCGGTCATCCCGTACATGAGCTTTTGAACTCTCCTTGGTCGTTTTCTTGCCGTTGTTGGCCTTTGCCGTAATGGCGGACTCCTTCAATGATGTTACCTCTTGCCTTAGCTCAATGACAAGGTTTGAGAGATCGTCTAGTCTCCGCCGGAGGCGGGCTTCATTGTCCCTTGACTCACTAATGAACGCAGCCAAATTTTTTACCATACTGATCACGTTGTGGTGGATCCCGGGAATACTACTGAGTACCTCTACCTGCTCCGCGCTTGAGAGCTCGCCCATGGCGACAGATTGCTCCTTGTCGCAACCTGGCTACCAAGCTACAACTACACTACGCTACACTGAAACCACTGCTACCTGCCTGCCACCAGTCCGGCCTAATGCCGGCTGGGCTGTCCGGCCTAATGCCGGCTGGGCTGTCCGAGACGATGTGAAAAAACTGGAGCTCGAAAAACGCGTACCTACCCCTCTCTAGTTTTAAACCTGACATCTAGCTCCAACACATCTACGAAGCGCAAACCAACAAACTTACTCGGAAGGCTCAGGCTCACGCATGGTACCTTGGTGGACTGTTGGTCATAACTCGTAACATAACTATTGCAGGGCTGCCACACTTGGAGGGAGAAAAATCTGTTGTGGTGGTCCGGGGGTTTCCCCCGGCGGGGGTGCAGGGGGCAGGGCCACCGCGGTGAATTTTTTTAGAAAAATGGCTTGCTGTTGGGGCCCCAGAACACATTTTTAACTGTCCAGCACACGCACTACAACCATGTCAATTATGAATTAATGGCCAACTGGACTAAAAAGCGCTCAAAATAAAATAATCGGTTGTCCCTCTTGGGGAACAAAATCGGTCGGTTTGTCGGACAGGCGATCAAAAATCTGACGATTTCCGAAAAATCGGAGCAAGTGGCAGCCCTGCTATTGGTCCTTTCTCTTATACTGTAAGACCTGATATTTTAAGTTTTAACTTCAATTTTAAAAAGTTAACGATCTCCGGATGTTTTTGGGTTTTGCGAGATGAAATTCTAACGAATTCCATCTCAAAACCGGCAAATGACTGTACATGTACATATTGTTGTGTAGATAACGACTTCAAATGTTAACGAATTGTTTAAATTCGTTAAATCGTTAGAATTAAATGTTCCCTCAAACTAGTCAAAATTAAATGTTCGTTAACATTACTGGTCTTACAGTACACGGTTTCTATTGGCTCACTATCCGAGTTTGAGTTTGTGATGAAATGGCGAATGCAAGCAAGCTGGTGATTTGCGTTTGACTGTTGCTTGCCTGTTGTGTGCTGTGTGTGATGTGTTTATCCAGACGCTCATAAACTTACGGCAATGGCACAGCATATGGTGCAATTTTGCCACGATCAGGTAGGTAGTTACACAACATGGCTACCCATATTTGATTGGAATCGAGGATTGCTCTTTGCTAACTGTTATGCTGGTGATGTGCAAGTTTATGTACTGGTAGTTATAAGGACTGCCGCTAATTTTAACCACTAATTTTAGCCACTAATGTTAGCCTGGTCTGCACCACACAGCTGATTGAAGTGGATTTCTCTGGCCAGTGAATCCCTACGAGAGAGCTTGGAAGCTCAGGGCCCTACGCTATGCTTTTTTGCCTTGATGACCTAGACAAAAAAAAGCATAGGGATGTTATAAATTCTTTAAAAAAATCCTTTTTTTAAAGACATAACCTGGGATTCGAACCCGCACTATCGCGCGCCCTGCATGCATCCCCCGATACACTTCGCATACATACTAATTCTTCCAAGTTGTTTCACATTGTGATCTTGCATTTGAATGCCCTATTTGAATATGCATTGTGGCCAGCCGTCTTTGATGGCACGGTACGGTAGGGGATAGGAACGGGACAGGTACGATCGAGGGTAATACGACACCGTCTCCCGTACCGTACCATCAAACACAGCTGGCCACATACAGCCGCCCGCAATATTCAAATAGGGCTTTCAAACGCAAGATAATAACGTGAAGCAACTTGGAAGAATGGGTATGAATGCGAAGTGTATGGGGGAATGCATGTAGGGCGATAGTGCGGGTTCGAATCCCAGGATATGCCAGAAAAAATAGGAGAATTCAAAAATTTATAACATTCTATGCTTTTTTGCCGCCAGATACGGATAGCGCCAGGCGTGACACAAACAAACACACAAACAAACACCAAATTAAAGCTGTGTGGACCCTGGCTAGCGCCAGACGTTACTGAAGTAACGTCTTCTGCATAGCTACGGGAATTAAATAGTATTTTTTAAGGCAAAACTACCTAGACCACCTGGTTGTCAATCCTTCACCCTTGCAAGCTGTTGAATGGTGTAGTCCCAGCACAAGTTGCATGTCTAGCATAGCTGTTCGCTATCATCGCTTCAGTGATGGGCATGTCTGAGTCTGAGTTTTAAGGTTTGCTATCATTGCTTCAGCGATGGACATGTCTGAGTCTGAGTTATAAGGATTGGCCAGGGATTCAGTGTAGTGTGGTGGTGATGTGCAAGTTGTTGTGTGAACTGCTTTGCCATGTACAGGTGGTCCTGCTGGAGTTATGCTCACCCTGCTTTACACACATGACCAAGTTGAACTCGACCTCGTTCAGCTACCGCACACCCAATCCGGACTGTGTAAGTACTGCTGCTATACTGGTACACTGGTATACTGCTATACTGGTACACTGGTATACTGCTATACTGGTATACTGCTATACTGGTATACTAGTATACTGCTATACTGGTACAGGAAGTACAGGTACTAGTATTCTGAATTTGGGTTGTCTTTTTCCTTTGCTTCTTACTTCATGGTTTCACGTGGTTGACGTTGTGAATAAACCCGTTCTCAACTAAGAATACTAGTACAGGTACAGCTATACTGGTACAGGTCCTAGTATTCTAGTACAGGTGGACGTTATTTAGTAGATATACATCATCAGTTGACATCATCAGTTGAGGTACTTTAGCAAGTTGTGACACGGCACTGCACTAGTGACTCTCGCTGTGTACACAGCGTTGACGTCATGCCATGGTTCGATGACTTTTATCAAACTGGAAAGGCGTTGGTGTTTGCTGCTACTGGCTCATGATGTGGTTGTGTGTTTGTCACGTGTGTGTCCCTGTGTGTGTGTGTGTGTGTGTGTGTGTGTGTGTGTGTGTGTGTGTGTGTGTGTGTGTGTGTGTGTGTGTGTGTGTGTGTGTGTGTGTGTGTGTGTGTGTGTGTGTGTGTGTGTGTGTGTGTGTGTGTGTGTGTGTGTGTGTGTGTGTGTGTGTGTGTGTGTGTGTGTGTGTGTGTGTGTGTGTGTGTGTGTGTGTGTGTGTGTGTGTGTGTGTGTGTGTGTGTGTGTGTGTGTGTGTGTGTGTGTGTGTGTGTGTGTGTGTGTGTGTGTGTGTGTGTGTGTGTGTGTGTGTGTGTGTGTGTGTGTGTGTGTGTGTGTGTGTGTGTGTGTGTGTGTGTGTGTGTGTGTGTGTGTGTGTGTGTGTGTGTGTGTGTGTGTGTGTGTGTGTGTGTGTGTGTGTGTGTGTGTGTGTGTGTGTGTGTGTGTGTGTGTGTGTGTGTGTGTGTGTGTGTGTGTGTGTGTGTGTGTGTGTGTGTGTGTGTGTGTGTGTGTGTGTGTGTGTGTGTGTGCTGCTGCAGACTAAGGATCACAAGCTAGTCTGGGCTAAGCTGCGTGGATACCCGATTTGGCCGGCAAAGGTACAGACTGAAGTGGACACATACATGTACATACACATACATGTACATACACATACATACACATACACATACATACACATACACATACATACACATACACATACATACACATACACATACATACACATACACATACATACACATGTACATACATACACATGTACATACATGTACATCCTTCCTTCCTTCGCCCACTGCCACGATTGGCTATGTGTCCCCAAACGGGGCGACTTGAAGGAGTGCTGTCTCCGGGACGCGGCATGAGGCCCTGCGAGTCCGGCGGGACGTGAACGGCTGTTTCACTGTTTGTTTTTTTGCTTTTGCGGAGCGACGGGAGGTGCAACTATGTCTAGCGATGTCTTGAGGACGGCTGAAACGGCGTGTGCAGACCATACACAGGAGTGGTTTCACGGCAGGTTGTACACGAGAGCATACCACACTGTAGACTCCATCCTGACACCTGGTTCTCCACTCAGACCTATCGTCTGCTGTTTCAAGCCACTCATTCATGCCAATGGACACCGCCGTCAGGTCATGTTTGATTGGGTCTTTCCACCTCTTCCGGGGGCCATGTGGAGGTCGTTTAGACGGCAAGGCACCAAAGAGCAATTGGCGGGAATACGGTCATCCATGTACATACACATACATGTACATACACATACATACACATACATGTACAATACACTAATACACCAGTGTACTATGTACTGTATAAGCAGAAATATTCGTCTGGAATTTAATTTTGTCTTTTTCGTCCGAGGACCTTTTGGACTAAATCAAATGCCGGACTAGTGTCGATTTGTCCAGCTTTTCTATACGCTCTTATGATCCATGGACGGAATTTTCAACCGGATGAACTCCCTTTCTTTGGAGTTGGACGAAATTATTGACCGACGAAATGTTCTGCCCCTACAGTAGTGTGTAGGGTAAACCTTGGAACAGACTGACCCTGGCCATGGATAGCACCTGGATAGCACCTGGATAGCACCTGGATAGCACCTGGATAGGACCTGGATAGGACCTGGATAGCACCTGGATAGCACCTGGATAGGACCTGGATAGGACCTGGATAGGACCTGGATAGCACCTGGATAGCACCTACTAGTTTTCGAGTGCCAAGGATGGCAAGTATCTGACGCGTATTACAGTAGTACTGGTCTTGTCTAAATGCATGTTATGTATCATGTTATGTATCATGTTATGTATCATGTTATGTATCATGTTATGTATCATGTTATGTATCATGTTATGTATCATGTTATGTATCATGTTATGTATCATGTTATGTATCATGTTATGTATCATGTTATGTATCATGTTATGTATCATGTTATGTATCATGTTATGTATCATGTTATGTATCATGTTATGTATCATGTTATGTATCATGTTATGTATCATGTTATGTATCATGTTATGTATCATGTTATGTATCATGTTATGTATCATGTTATGTATCATGTTATGTATCATGTTATGTATCATGTTATGTATCATGTTATGTATCATGTTATGTATCTTGTTATGTATCATGTTATGTATCATGTTATGTATCATGTTATGTATCATGTTATGTATCATGTTATGTATCATGTTATGTATCATATTATGTATCATGTTATGTATCACGTTAGGTATCAGCTAGAGGCATGATTTGGATAGCAGTACGGAAGCTTGCAGGGTGTGTTGATGCATAATCACTCAGGCTTTGTGCACCTGACATGCCTAAGTAATTCGTTTGAGGCTAGGGTAGAAGGTTGGCCTGAACACTGGCCTATGTAGCCGTAAGGGCCGGGTTCCACTGCGCCTCCGCGGCTCCTCGGCACGTCACGTGCGAGATGAAACGTCGTAATTGCCATAGTGACCGCGGCTCGAGCTGGTGCAGTGAGGTCGCGGCTCACCACCAGCTTTCGCGTCGCGGCTTGATCAAAAACTGCTCACCACGCTCGCGGCTCGGTCCTGTTTCCTGTACGTTGCATTGTTGTAGATGCGGGAATTTAAAATTCAAGTTTTCATTCATTGTGTAGGCCAGAACACGGGGAAATTTTGCGCGCGCGCAGGCGGGTAATACAGTGCTGCCAAATAATTTTCGCCCAAAATCCGACACCCTTCACCGGCAAGGCCTTCTGGCCACATGGTGCGAATTTTTCTCCTCGGCAATTTTTTTGCAGAGAATTCAAAATATCGCCTAAAACACCATAAAATCGCTTCGTTGCCATGGTAACCCCGGAGTTGTCATGAATTTTGTAATGATGAGTGTGGTCGCACACTGACTCGGTACAGACTGTCAGCGTACATGCCATCCAGCCTGATCCAGGCATGTTACTTTGCACTTCCACAGCCAAGCGCTAGCCTTTTTTAGAAGCAAATGGCAGTTATGTACAGTGATTTGTGCCTTCAGTTGAGCTGAAAAGTGAAAGTACAGGACTTCTGCATATTTTTGCATAGGAAAGTAATGATCTCCGACATTTTGGCTGCTTTTCGGACGTTTCTCTTTTCGGACCGGTTTTCGGAAGAGCCTTCAAAAATCGGACACTGTCCAAAAAATAGGACGGTTTGGCAGCACTGGTAATACATCATCAAAAAACGTTGAGCACGATCGCGGTACCGCGAATGTCGAGTGTCAGTGAAACCGTGCTGCTACGTTGCAAGCCGCAGCTTTGCAACTTGCCGCGGAGCAGCGGAACGGCAGTGGAACCCGGCCCTAAGCACTGATTTTTGACAAGACTCTAAGGTGCATGTCGAGTCGAATATTACGAACATGGACCAGGTAATTCTTTCATCAGCTGCATTTAACTTGATACACACTTTCTGACTGCCACTACTGCTGCTGCTGCTGCTCTTTTTGTTGCCCTTGTTGTTGTGCTGTAGGTGATGAAATCGAGCAAATCTCCCGAAGGTGAAAAGTACGAAGTCATGTTCTTCGGTGATCATAGCCAGTAAGTTTCGCAATCGTTGCCGAGGAGAAAGGATATTGATGATAAAGATGGTGATGGTGATGAACAAAATACAATTTAATATACCATCATGAAGGATTAGAACACAACACGAAAAGAAAAACAATTTTATGCAAGAAAGTAATCATGAAAAAAGAATAATGATGATGGTGGTGATAGTGATGATGATGATCTTTATAGTCAATAACTCGTATAAACTAGTATCGAGTGTTTGTGACTGCTTGGCACATGCATCTGTGTCTGTGTTTGTGTCTGCATGTGCGCATACATGTATATCATCCGTATGTCAATATTTGTATTCACTCTAGTTGCACCACGCTGGCAAAGAACACCAAGCCAATCACCAAAGAACCTGGAGTAGGCCCATCGGCTGCAACAGGTTGTCACGGAAAATTCTGGCGACAAGCACTTGAAGAAGTTCAGACGTATAGTGAACTCGAAGGCACTGCTCTTCCAGAAGTGCAGAAGCTGGTGTCAGCATTACCTGCAGCGGCACCATTGCTTTCGCAGTCCAATCAAGATGCTGACTCCAGTGGTCCAGGTAGTAGGTCTGTTTCTCCTGTTGAAGTGCAGCCAGACTCTTCGTCATGTTCAACAGCGAAGGCTGCTGCTGTCACTGCTCCTGCTGAGAAGCAGCAACACAGCAGTCCTGTTCCTGCTAGGGCGAAGAAACATACCGGATCACTCTCCTCTAGTAAACCAGCAAAACCATCAACAGCTCAACTACCATCCGCGGCAATAGCTTTAAGCGCTGCTGGAGCAGCCGCTTCCAAACTTTCAGCTAGTGCTAAGCCTGCAGCTAGTGCCAAGCCTGCAGCTAGTGCAAAGCCTGCAGCTAGTGCTAAGCCTGCAGCTAGTGCTAAGCCTGCAGCTAGTGCTAAGCCTGCAGCTAGTGCTAAGCCTGCAGCTAGTGCTAAGCCTGCAGCTAGTGCTAAGCCTGCAGCAGCGTCCACTACATCAACGTCTAGCTCAGCAGCAGCAGCAGCAGCAGCAAAGCGGACATCAGCGAAAGGAACCGTGTCGACATCCAGATCTAGGAAGCCAGTGTCATCTCACACTGCCAGTGCTCCTGTCACTGCTGCTGTCACTGCTGCTGCCACTGCTGCTGCCACTGCTGCTGCCACTGCTGGCAGCAATAGCAAGACAGCAGTGCAGTTGGTGCAATCCGAACCTGTTGAACATTCCTCATTGGCCCAGGCTGCATTGTCTGAGTATGTGGATGAGGGTGATGGTGAGGTAGAGGATAGCGCTGGCAACCAATGGGTATTCAACTATGAAAATCACAATGATCGGGTGGAAGATGTAGTTCTGGTTGTCTCTGACCTATCAACCACCGACAACACACCATCGACTGACAACACTTCCTCAGAGCAGTCCAAAGGTGGAAATGGCGGCTCTCCGCATTCTACACGATCGAGTTTGAAGCGCGGTCGCTCAGCATTAGAGCAGGTTACACCTCCCCGTGGAGATGCCGGCACCGCGTCAAAGGCAGGTAACTGTGCGGCCGCGCCAGGTGCCAGTGCCAGTGCTATTGCTGCCTGCGATAGTCCCGTGTCGCAGGCCAAGCGGCGTAAGGACATTCCCGCTCTGGCTGCCATGGATGTATTTCCAGACGTAACGGAACTTGCAGCAGATGATTGCCTCTCTCCCAGTGCCTCGTCTCGTTCGGCCACCCCATCTCACACAGCACAGAGTGCAACTGGAAAAAACACGGACAACGGACAGGCTGCTTCATTGCAAGAGACAGGTGAGCTCTATCTCCCGACTTACTGGTAGCCTGTGCATGTGCCTGTGCGTGTGCCTGTGTATGTGTATGTGCCTGTGTATGTCCTTGCATAATGAGGAATTCACTGTATACCGTGTTTTACTCTGTACTTGTACATTGGTAGTCCTTTCCACGAATTGTGTCAAGAGCACACTCACAGCCACTGGTAGCTCTCTCTCTCCTCTCCTTCTCTCTCTTTCTCTCTCTCTCCTTCTCTCTCTCTCTCTCTCTCTCTCTCTCTCTCCCTCTCTCTCTCTCCCTCTCTCTCTCTCTCTCTCTCTCTCTCTCTCTCTCTCTCTCTCTCTCTCTATCTTTCTCTCTCTCTCTCTCTCTCTCTCTCTCTCTCTCTCTGTCTGTCTATTTCTCTCTCTCACTCTCTCTCTGTCTCTGTCTGTCTCTGTCTCTGTCTGTCTCTGTCTGTCTCTGTCTGTCTCTGTCTGTCTCTGTCTGTCTCTCTCTCTCTCTCTCTCTCTCTCTCTCTCTCTCTCTCTCTCTCTCTCTCTCTCTCTCTCTCTCTCTCTCTCTCTCTCTCTCTCTGTCTCTCTCTCTGTCTCCCTCTCTGTCTCCCTCTCTGTCTCTCTCTCTCTCTCTCTCTCTCTCTCTCTCTCTCTCTCTCTCTCTCTCTCTCTCTGTCTCTCTGTCTCTCTCTCTCTCTCTCTCTCTCTCTCTCTCTCTCTCTCTCTCTCTCTCTCTCTCTCTCTCTCTCTCTCTCTCTCTCGCTCTCTCTCTCTCTCTCTCTCTCTCACTCTCTCTCTCTCTCTCTCTCTCTCTCTCTCTCTCTTCATAGTCAGTCCCTCTGCCACTTGGTCACGAGTCCCTGGTCCCCCCATTCTCTTCCATGGCGTTTCCATGGGAACAGATCAGGCACCTCTGTTATACCTCTGTCAGGATGATGTGCAGCCGACTGGGCGGGCATAGCATGTATGGAACCCGGTACAGGTACATGTACTTCCGTCAATTTCACCACAAATCAGTGTGTCACTACTGTGCGTAGTGTGGGTCAATACCAGCCGTGTAGAACATTGATACACATAACCGGGACCCGCTACGATCACCCGGGGCAATACCCCTGCTCTTGCAGCGCCGGCCATCCGGTGCCTGTGTTGTGTTCTCTACTGTCTCCGTCTATTACCGTGTATGAAATGCGTGTGTGCATGCAATGGTATGTGACCTTATTGCCTGCCCTGCTTAGAGTATGACATAGTCATGGCAACAGAAGATTGCCTAGGATACGGTGTCGCCATGGCGAGGGAAGACTCGGGCACGGACGGTACACACACCCACTATCCCACTGCTAGCACCAGTGCTATTGGTCCTGCGCGCGATCCGGTCACCATGGTAACCTACGGAACTCATCCATCTAGCACTGCGAGGGAGAATGAATCCAGCTGTCGGGATAGTTCACAGTACTGGGAGTACAATGACCAGATCAGGGCCGTGTGCCAGCTGAAACTGCAGCGTCCCGACTGGGACCAGAGACAGATTGCTCAGCATCTTGCCTCTAGCCGGCAGATGAAGATTCCAGAGTCGCTTGTGCAGCGCTTCTCCGAGGCGTACACTTTTGACTCTAAGAATGAATGCTTGCTGTTTTGCCCGTTGCGAGAGAGTAGTCCTCCTCGGTTATGCGTCAGCGCGAAAGAGCTGGTCGCTCTGATTCGTGAATCGCACAAAGCAAAGCACGAGTCAGTGGATGCGTGCTTCAAGAGCCTCCGTGTGAACTATTATCCGGTTTTCAGAAGGTTTGTAGTCTGGGTGTTCAAAGAGCGTCTCAAGTGTGACGTCTGCAATCGCAGGTTGTCTACTTTGAAAACTGCCATGCCGCAATGGCCTGGGGCTGGTTATGGAGGTGGTGACGGTGCAGCAAGTGAACGCGATGCCGTTGCACCTCAGGTTGCGGCGCTGACCGAAGCTACTGTTTCACCTTGGTCAGAACTAGTTCAAACCGTCCCTGTCGGTGGTCATGACATTGCCGCCGCTGTCACTGAACATGCTGATGATGTGCGAGTAGCAAGTGCTTCTGCATTGTCTACCGTTGACACTGCTGCTGGTGCAGATGGTGCAGATGGCGCTGACGACGACGGCGATATAGAGGCTGCATGGGCAGTGGCCGCTAGCAGTGCATCGGCTCTCTCTACACGAGTAGTGTCAGGTGATGGGTCAGGTGATGGGTCAGGTGATGGGTCAGGGGTGCCTAGTGAGGCTAGTGAGGAGAACTGTCTAGCTGGTAAGGAAAGCGATGGCGATGCTGCTGATATGTATTTAGATTGGTGCAATGCCACCACTGGGGACGCTCCTCCTGATACAGACGCTCCTGATGATAATGATGATGAAAAGAGTGATTGTAATGTCCATGACAAGACAGGAGCGTCTCTGCCACTGCCACCGCCACCACCACTGTCACTGTCACAGCCACTGCCTGTGCTTCAGCCGCTACCAAGAGCCACACAAGGTATGGTGGTGTGGGTATTATTCACTCTCCGCATATGTGTGTGTGTGTGTCTGTGTGTGTGTGTACGTCTGTGTGTGTGTATGTCTGTGTCCGTGTGTGTGTGTGTGTGTCTGTGTATGTCTGTGTCTGTGTCCGTGTATGTGCATGCACGCATACACATGCATGTAACGTATCCATCCTCCGCGACTCGGTTAAAACCCTGATAGCATGAACACGGATGTGCATGCTGTGTGCTTGTCACACAAGCAGAGCCGTTTGGCCTAGTCGATGGCATGGCTGGGTAAGTGGCTCAATCTCACATGTCACTGCAATCCATTGTCGCCATCCAAGCATGCCTCAACATAGTCCTCATGCACACGATTACGCCACTGATAATTTACACTTTGAAATGTGAACACTCCTTTTCAATTACTCTCGCAGCACTCTCAGGACAATTAAATAACGTCCTTAAATTGAATAAGACTTCGATTGAGAGCCAAGGATAAAAGAGAAAAAGAAAGACCAAAGGTTTACAAGTTATCTGTTCTTTGTGTCCAACACTAACAAATATAAGCAAGATACCAGTGAGTCAGAAGATGCAACAATTAGCACAACACTGACTGCTATGATACTGACATTCAACGACCTGATGCTTAGCTGCATCACGTCTAGAATGCGCAAACCAACAGCCTTCCAACTTGGAAGGTTCTAAGTTATGAAATAACGTTTAAAAAAGGGGGGGGAGGTGAGCGGCTAAGCGCACTCAAAGGGAGAACAAGCTAAACACCACAGCGAACTAAGAATGTTAGCTATGCCAAAGTGATGATGAAGGACGAACGACCACGGCACAGGACGGCCACGGCTAATTTCGAGAACCAAATAGAATAATCATTCCTTTTTGGATCGTTCCTTGGTCATTAAATTATTATGGCAAAGAAACACCTGGCAATAATGGAGGTAACTACATACCTGCCCATACATGCTGCCTGATCTGTAAAGTTACTCGTTGACCGCTGCATGCCTAAAACCTACTAAAAAGTAACAATTTCCCTTTGTGTGTATGTGCCCTGGCTGCCGTGTGTTGCTTGCGTAGAGCTTGCTGACGGCTTGCAAGTCGGCAACGGCAACAGCTTGGTAACTGACAGCAGCAGCTTACGCATGTCCACTCCAGATTGTACATCGACACGTCCAGCTATGGCCACTACTGCTGCGGCCGGTGCTGCTGCTGCTACTGCTGCCAGTTCGAAAGATGGTACGACTCGGATGAAGACCAAATCGTTGACAAAAGATCGGTTTGGTGATAAATTCTGGGAGATCATGGACGATATCATGGCTATCTGCAAGGTCAAGGAGAAAAACCCTGACTGGGGCAAGAGGAAAATATCTGTGCATCTTGGCTCGTCACTGCAGATAGACGTGTCACGCATCCAGCGCATTACTGAATCGTTCCTCTACGACCCAGCCAAAGACTGCCTGCTGTTCTGTCCCATGGGCCAGAGCATCCCCCCGCGCCTGTGCGTCAGTCGTCAGGAGCTGATCACGCTGATTTGCAGCACGCACCAGAGCAATCACCGGCCGGCGGAGGTGTGTTACAACAGCTTGCGGACGCACTACTACCCGGTCGTGCGCGGCTTTGTCATCGGCGTCTTCAAGGACTACGTCAAATGCGACCAGTGCCGAAGCAGGTCGTTCCGTGCGCACGCCGCCAGGGTGTTGGCGGTGCGTAACGTTGACCTTCATGCTAGTGACGGCGATGACAGTGGTAGTGCCTCCGTCACCACCGCTGACAATACCAGCACTGCCACCGCTAGCATTGCCGTTGTCGCTGCCGAGGCCGCCAAGGCTGCTGCTCATGCAGTGGCTACAGCGGCTGCAGTCTCTGCTGCTACTACCTCTGGTGGTGATCAGGATGACGAGGACGACAATGATCTGGATGATCTGGATGACGCGGTGGACGATGATGACGACGATACCGATGGCTTATCACTACCACCATCGCGGGCAGAAGTTGCGTCCGGCTCAGCAATGTCATCTATGGATGCGTCTTTCGCGGCAGACAGACCCAGTGAGCCGTCCGCTGATCACAGCCCGTTGCCCGGTGATAGTCTTCCTGATGGTATTAGAAGAGGGGTACAGTGTCAGGCAGCAAGATATGCTGCGCCCACCACCACCGCCGCCGCCACCAGCAGCACATCTTCAGGTGGAGCTACAGCAGTGACTGGTGTAGCGGCGGCTGCTTGTGCGACGACGGCATCGGCACCAGCAGTGGCAGGTGTTGTCGCTACACCGCAGAGTAGTGGTTCTGCTGGGAGGTCCCGTGCGGGCCACTCAGCAGCTGTGCCACCGGCTGCCAGTAACACAGCAACGCTGCGTACAGCTAGCTGTGAAGGGTGTGTCTGCCAGCAAGATGCTATGAAGGAGGTAAGGTTGTGACTCCATGCGAATGTGCACTCACGTGTGTGTGTACGTGTGTATACATGTGTGCGCGCGTGTGTGTGCATACTGGCCAACCCTCCCGTTTTTCCCGGGAAAATCCCGGAAAATCAACACTCCTCCCGGGGTCCCGGGGATTTCAAGCAAACTCCCGGAAAAACCAAAGTTTTGTCTGATACAGGATTTTCCTGAAAACTCCATGGTTTCTCCCGAATGTCCCGGTTTTTGAACTTTTTTCAAAGGTATGTACGGTGCTCATTCGCACTTCGAACTGTGCACAGCACTTTGAAGACCTGACCATGCAAGATCTGCACTGACAAAGTGACAGGCGGGCGCCGACTGATCAAACTGCACTACAGCCTATAGGCCTAGTACAGGGTCGATCTGTGCTGTACGCACAGCTGCAGAGTCGCACGTTTTTTTGGCGGGAAAAGCTCTTTTTCACTTGTTTTTGTGCCATCCAGGGATTTTGAGAGAAATCCAGGGATTCTGCATGTCTTGTCAAGGGATTGAGATTGTGGTGGTTGGTCAGTATGTGTGTGTGTGTGTGTGTGTGTGTGTGTGTGTGTGTGTGTGTGTGTGTGTGTATGTGTGTGTTTGTGTGTGTGTGTGTGTGTGTGTGTGTGTGTGTGTGTGTGTGTGTGTGTGTGTGTGTGTGTGTGTGTGTGTGTGTGTGTGTGTGTGTGTGTGTGTGTGTGTGTGTGTGTGTGTGTGTGTGTGTGTGTGTGTGTGCATGTGTGTGCATGTGTGTGTACCATCCCGGGTCTGTGTGACGTGCAAGCGCGATTGCGGTCATGATTCGCCAACCTTCTATGCTTCTATGCCAGTGATCGCATACAACACGTTTGTGCACATTGCAAAGTATAATGAACTCGTACACATGTGTTGTTGTCTTGTTTTGGCACCGTGGTACTTATGCTAAGTAAGGTTATTCAATGCCCCTATGACCTATATGGTAATGGGTGATACATAATGATACATATTTTGAAGTACATACATACATACATGCATACATACATGCATACATACATACATACATACATACATACATACATACATACATACATACATACATACATACATACATACATACATACATACATACTTGTACTTGTACTTGTACTTGTACTTGTTGCTCACTGCCAAAACTGGTCACGTGGGTCTCCCCGGGAGAGGGGAGAGAGACTCAAAAGGAATCTTGGAAAGATGACTCAACTGGCTATTGAACCGCCCAACGGCCGACACCCCCTGAAATCCCCAAAACTCTGGGTGGACTTGAAAATGATCCCACTTATGGGCTCACCACACCTCAGTAAGTGGGTGAGGACAAGGTGCAGAAAAAGGATTGACGGCATCAGGGTATCCGTCCTGGGATCCAACTGCAGTTACCCCTGCCCCCAGTGAAGGTAATACTTGCTACTAGTGTGGGTGGCTAAATCAGAGTGGATCTGATCTAAGCGTCACTAGCATCATTGATTACACAAGAGTTAATCTAGCCAGAAGCAGTCCATGGTTAACAGGTATGTATACTTCAAATAGAAAGTAACCTGAAACCAACGAAGGTGGCAGATACAACAATACACCTTCAAGCAGCCGAGCCTGTTGGCAACAGACCCAACACAATCAGGAATAAGTGTACCCACCAACTGGACTAGCTGGCACATACATACATACATACATACACTGTATCTGCAAGTGGTGAACACACATAGCCATCATGTCCACAAGTGTAGACCCTGTCACTGCACAGGACCGCCGGAAGCAGTTATCAATTGGTCCGCTCCGACCATAGTCTTTCATACAGTTTGTTTGTGATATGGCAGGGAAATTATGCCTTCCTTAGTGGTAAACACTATGTTGGTGAACTTGGTGGCCACAAACTTGGTCCGGTGATAACCTGACCAACCGGACCAGTTCCGGCGGGCCCGACCTGTGCAGCAGTGCTCATTGTGTATGTGTATACTGATCTTTGCATTCTCTGCTGCTTTTCACGTGTTTTGTCTAGTTTGTAGAGAACAGTACAGCTGTGGTGCGGAAGTCCTGTCAGGACATGATGCAGCAGATGACTCGGCAACTAGTGGACCAGCTAACGCGCCAGCTGAAGGTTGACATTGATCTGCCCAGTCTCCTCTCGTCCATGACAAGTTCAACAATGTCAGCAGCAGCAACAGCAGCAGCTGTGAACAGTGCCGGTCTGGAGGAAGCCTTTAAGAAGGTACTGGTGTGTGCATGTAGTGTTGTGGAGTGTATCTGTGTAGCTGCGGGCACTACCGCCCACTCGGCACGGGTCAGACTTCATTAACCCCTGGTCGTGTGGCGGTTTGAAGTTAGCGGAGATTCATTCGAACTGCCTTATTTTAAGCGAGGGCCAGGGTGTTGGCCTGTAGCCTGACCCAGCTAAGACGAGTTGTGGGATTGTGGTGTTGTGATGGTGTGGTGTTGCTACTGTAGCGTGAGCGCGACCTCGTCGAGTCGCATAAAGCAGAGTTGGAAAAACTGCGCTTGCAGTACGAGCAGCAGCGCCAGCGAGCTGTGCATGAGACCAAGAAATGCATTTGGGTAAGTCTTAGCTAATGCGTGTACACTCATTTGGAAAGCCGTACATGCATGCCGTGCATCGACGCAGAACAAAGTAAGGTAGAGAGGTGGTAAGGATGTGTCTGTTACTCAATCGGTGTTGCAAGTTGAACCTGCATCAAATGTAGAAGTTTCTATGTCCCAACAAGTCCCTATACCTAGCTTTGGACTTGTTTGCTGCTGCTGCTCATATCACCATTGTAAGGACTTTGAAGAGTGATGGTACGAAAGGCCCTTTGGAAATTTTCAGTGGCATCTGTGCTTCATGTGTTAGTTAGTTTCCTCCTACAAAAATCCATGACATATGGATTCTTGTGCGTATGTGTGCATGTGAATGTGTAAACATGTGTATGTGCCAACATGTACTTGTGCGCGTATGCGTGCACATATGTGTTGTGCAAACCTGGATACATGTGAATGCGCTGTGTTTGTTTTTCTGGGCTTGCAGTGCAATGCATGCCCCAAAGAGGCCAGCTTCTTCTGCTGTAATAACGTTAACTATTGCAGCACGGAATGCCAAACAAAGGACTGGCCGCTGCACATGCACCAGTGCAGCCAGAGTGAATCAGCTACCACCTCAATTCCCCGTGCAGAATCCTAATCAGCAGCGAATGTCTTCGTGAGCACAGTCACCTCCATTATCCCGTCTAGCTCCGCATCTTAACCTGTGTCCGCGTGCGCTGGCTTATCGTCCTTATCACCACTGTCCTCTCGCTCCTCACTCGATACCAGGCCAACACGATCTCCATCAGCGCTGGTACCGGCAATGGTCGCAATAGCAACAACAACCACAGCAGCAACAGCAACAAAAAAAGCAGCAACAACAGCAACAGCAGCAGCAACAAAAACAGCATTAGGCAGTATCTGCAGTTGTTTGGTTTATTGCAGCGTAAGCAGTGCATGCCAGCAGCAGCAGCATCGGTATGTATTATGTACACTGGCAGTGCTGTCAGCGCTGGCAATTAGCAGCAACACATCAAACAAGAAACTAACGTGACGGCAACAGCAGCGGTAATAGCACCAGCAACAGCAGCAGCACAAAGCAACACAGCAGCAGAGGGGCATGCAGCAGTTACCTTAGCAACGCACTCCTCTTCAAAGGTAGTACTAGTAGTTCTGCTGCATAGATCCACCGTTAGCCTGTCGCACTCTCCTAGCAATAATGCATTATGTCTGTAATAGGTCTTGTTGTGTACAGGCCCACAGTATGGTATGGATCATCACCAATACTGGCAATAGCTAGTCATAGTATAGGAATAGATGTTGCTGTTCGCGGTCTTGACACTGCATCCTAGAAACTGAATCAGTAATGCATCGTCATGTACATGTACAATGTGCGGCATAGCGTAGCGCTGACATCCCTTCTAATAATCACACTCCTTGCATGCCGGGGAAGGCTGCGATGGCCAGCCACTACATGTATATGAAAAGCAACCGGGGTACTCTGACTTATGTCCAGCATGTACAATAACGTACTCTACACTGTCTTGTGCACAACACAGTCATACGTTCCTTCTTTTCGTTTTTTAGCTTTTAACACACTCCGCTGTACGACCTGTAGCTCCTTTTATGGGCACAAGACGGATACATAATAGCAGGAGGTTATTACATGTACATGTATGTGTTTGATGAACTCTGGAAGCTATACTTCATACATGTAGCTCAGTGGCCGTGTTTCCCTGTCACATGCTGGCCGTACATATTTTTTTGAACTATTTTACACGCCCGCTTTCTGCTGCACATTTGCCAAGGTATACTCTGCGCTTTTCTAAGCTTTTTTTATGGTGTGTGTTTCAGCGCCTCTTTTAAAACTCGCTTGTTTTGTGATCGTGTCTGCGAGAGACACTTCCTATGTCAATAAAGGACCAGGATGAGGGTGTGTGTCTGGCATGTGATTCCTAGCGATTTCGGTCTCCAACTCATGTATAGTCTTTGTTCGTAGCGGTTTCTTGTCCTGAAGCCTCTATCTCTCTTTAGTACCCATCCAGATTCCAGTGCATGGCGTATAGCAGTATACTGCGCTTGTGTGAACAGTAGCAAAAGTACACAACTACAATTCCTGCTGTTGCACCCCCCCCCCCCCCCCCTAGGCCCTCTCACCCCCATGATTTTATGCCAAGCAAAAGCTACATGACGATGACGGATGTACTTTATTATCATTCCGGCTGCACCAAAACTGTAGCACCACTACAAATTATTATAGACCTCTTGCCAGTCTTGGTATTTCATTTTTACATTTTTCACGATATTTTCAGGCCAGGCGCTAGGCTAGGCCCTTTTTTAAGTTTTTACTGTTTTGTAACTGCGCTGTAGTCTGTAGTATAGATCATGGTAGATCTACCAGGGAGTAGTACAATACCTACTACCGGTACTACTGTCAGTACTCCGTACTCCCTGATCTGTACAGTCTATGGTCTAGTCCGCTTTGAAAAAAAACAACCAACGAATCAACACCCCCTCGTACTCGTACACGCCAGTGTAGTCATGGTAGTGGTAGATCTACATGGTACGTGCGCGGTCGTCTGCTCTGTGCTCGTATTCGTACTCGCGCTCTGGCAAAACTAAAAAAATGTCCAGAAAGAAAGAACTGTTGTAAGTGACCAGGTGACCGGTGCACCCGCGCTAGCTCGCGTGATACAGCGCTATGATCCGCCCTCGCATTTGTCGTGCTGCATGCAAATAATGCGCGATAGCCTCAAACTCAAAGTCAAACTCAAAGAGGGAGTCGCAAAGGTATTTTTACAACTCGCTGCCTGCATACATGTAGTGTCACTCTAGCTCTGTCTGTGTACGAGTACGGCTACAGCAAGTGCAGAGATACAGATGGACCACTTCAAGTAGCACTCGACCTCATGATCTGAGCTCAGCTTGTCACCAAGGTCACTTGTCAGGGCTATCTAGCTTTCCATCACATGCAGTCGCGGCGGAGTCGTCTTGAAAATAATAATTGGCTTCAACACGACAATAATTGCAAAGTTACTTTTTCATTTCATGCAGTGTCTGGGCCTTTGTTGCTTCATAAACCCAAAAGAACAAAGCTGAGATCGGAATGAATAAAATTGTCACTGCTGAAACGCCTTATATTTTGTTGTAGAATTATTTAGGTGTGAAGGCTTCGTGAGGGATTGATTGATTCAGTGACATATGTAACTGTTAGTATTACGGACAGCAGGAGTGGGGTCCAATGTCAGTGCAGGCTCCCATTGCGGATGGCTTTCCGCAGGTGTTCCATCCGGACATGAATATGGAGGGCTTGACGGATACACGCAGTGGTGGCCTGTTGTCGGATCCTGATGAACCCATGATGCTCAGCATGCCTGAATTTGACCATTCTGGTGGGTACCTGAGCGATTATATGACACAGCAATTACCACGCATTGAGGTGGATGACAAATCAGAGCCACTGCTAAATTTATCTGACAGCAAACCCTTGCCTGTGGCTGGAAAGAGTACACCAAGCAAAACTGGTCTGAGATCACGGTCCCGCGATGTTTATCCCGATGCCAGCACCGAGTCGGTTGCTGGCCGTCACATGCAGAAGTGTACAAGCTGTGGAGAGGGTATCTGGCAGCGTGAAGCGGCACGCCGTACATCATCAACTGTACTGTGTCCATCCTGCAGAGTCACGCAGGCAACGAAAAAGCGTAAGAACCGGTCATCGTCAACTCGCCTGAGCAGTTCATCGGCAGCAGCGTGTACAGTATCCAGTGCCAGTACGGCCTCCACTAGTACTAGTGACAGTGTGTCTAGTGTTGCTGCAGCCACTGCTGTTGCCGATACGTCTTGCAGTCAGACCAATGCAGGCAGCAGAGCATGTTCTCCGGATGTGCTTAGCATGTGCCTATCGGAATCACTCGAGTCCGCCAGCCAGGCCCCAGAGTTGGCACCTCTCCCATTGTTGAAGGTGAAAGCAGATGACAGCAGTGACCCGATACACGTAAGGTCTGCGTCGTCCTGGGTGCCGCAGTCGAATTTGCTGCATTGTCGTCGGAAAGCTGATGAAGAGACTCTGGCTTCTCTAGATTGCCAGAGGTTCTACTTTGAATCGGACCAGCTTGCCCTGAAGGGCAATCCAGACCATGATGTGCTACTGCGTACTCTAGTCACCCTGAAGGCACAGCGCTGTCAGGCAGTTAAAGATCTAGACGTGCTGCACCAAACCAGGGCCCTGGCGCTCGCTGACCCAGCTGCTTTTGTCGAGGAGCTACGCAACGACCCTACGCAGCTTGAGATCCCGACGGCTCAACCTGTTTTAGAACTGCCACAGATTGATTGGACTCATTATGATTCAGTGATTGCGACTGGGAAGGGCACGAAAGCGCGACATAATAAGAAATCTTCGCACGGCCATCACGCCAGCAGTCTAGGCCATCATCTAGCGTCATCCGCCAGCGCATCGGCAGAGTCGGCCGCTGCATGCACAGCGGTGCAATCGAGCGGCGGAGCCAGCATGCAAACGTTCACCAACGTGCTGCACGGTCCACAGGCGGTTGCCGGTTATTCTGCCACCAGGCCGACCCTCCTGGACGCCCTGGAGGATGCACAGAGCGGACAGCGTGCGGCAGCGGCTCATCGCAGCAATCGCAGCAGCAGCTCCACCGATAGCAAGTCGAAGACGTTCAACCAGCCCTGGACGGCAGAGGAGCAGGCGCGACTCGAAGGTCTGCTTGAGACCTACCCGACAGAGCCCATCGAGGCACGCCGCTGGAAGAAGATAGCTGCCGCCCTGGGTAACCGCACACCGCGCCAGGTTGCCAGCAGGGTGCAAAAGTACTTCTTGAAGCTGAAGAAAGCGTCATTACCCGTCCCTGGCAAAGCGCCAAGCGTACCGCTGCGAAAAGGCACTAGCAGTCGGAAAACCTCGGTGTCTTCATCGTCTGAAGGTAGGCGACAACAGCGCATGTACGCTGACAAGTCAACGGCTTCAATGAGCACTATCGACTCCTCTGCTGTGTTCCTGGATGACGGTGGGAACATTGAGAACGGCATGGCTGTTCTGGACTCTACGTCATCGTTGCTCTCACACAGTGATCACCAGTTCATGAACGGTGCTGACGGTGGTCGCAGCAGCGCTCTCGATTCCGACTTTTCCGCTGAAGAAATGGATATGGAGCGGACGAGCGGTTATGCCAGCTCTACTGGTGGCAAAACGGGTAAATCCAAGTACATGGCAACGGCTACGGTGTCGGTGGCGGCGACCACAGTTGTCAAGGAGGAAGAGTTTAACTGTGATCTTGATCTTGACATGCAGCATGCAGGCTATCAGTGCGACGGCTGTGGCCAGGCACCTCTCTCTGGTATTCGCTGGCACTGTGAAGACTGCCCGGAGGAGAACTCACTAGACTTCTGCAATGACTGCGTGGATCGCTGTAATGTAGACACTGCCACTCACCTCAAGGAACATAACCTGAAACCAATTCGTCCGATTCCACCGACAGCCTTCTTCGGTCAAGATTACTCGCAGTTTGGCCAGGCACCCGGAGTTCCCTGCTTAAACTTTCTAGATGCAGGCGCATGCCCGGCCATCTAGCGATACATGACGTACCGGGACATGGCCGTGAGTTTTCAACATGGTACACCAGCCAGGTCCGGTGGTTGACTGTGCACAGCATGTGTGCCAGTTCTCTCCTGTTCATGTGTACTTGCGTCTTTGCGATGCCCATCTTGTTCTGGCACGCTAGCTGTACTGTCTTTCTCTCTCTCTCTCTCTCTATCTATCTCTCTCTATCTATCTATCTCTCTCTCTCTCTCTCTCTCTCTCTCTCTCCCTCTCTCTCTCTCTCCCTCTCTCTCTCTCGTTACATACTTGTTCAAGTAGCGGCAGGCAGACTTCATTGCGTACATGTATCATCATTTCCCCTATACTGTACACTAAGCTACACCGGCAATCACAGCTGTTATGATGATGGTGCTCATGATAAGTTTAGCTTTCATCTTGTTGGTGATCAAATTTTTACTTTATCCATCAAGTTGAGGTGTTTTCAGTGTTGAGCAGATATGCAGGCCACATACAGTATTAATCGGCAAGTGCCTACCGTCAGAACTGAGAAGTACAGTTGTTATAATATTCGTTACAAAGCCCTACCGTTTGTTTACTTATCATCGCTACGTGTTTGGTTGAGGCTGTGGCAAGCTCTATGGCGTGGCTGGTCTTCTCCTAAGTGTACTATCATGATCTTGATCATCACAGCCACCCTGTGTCTTATCCCTATGTCTTAATGCACCGCATGTGTTTATCCTATGTGCTTTTTTCCGATGTGGTCTTGTACAGTGCGGGCGCTATTACCACGTAGATCCTCCCCATCTATTTATGTTAGTCTAGTTCTTTGGAGTGTGTGCAGTTTTCGGTCACGTGATGAGTACGTACCGCTGGCAATATCCTGGCTTCTGTGCAAGTAGTACTGCTGATGTGTGCCGGTGTTTGTATTGTGTACGTGTGGGTGTGTGTGTGGGGGGGGGGGGGGCACTCAGTCACCAGAATATTGTCAAGTGCCCGAAACTCAGGGCTGTGATGAATTGTTCTCATGCACTGTTGCGCTAGTTGAGGTGATTCTGATACACTTGTAGCTTGTCTACGGTATACGCCCGTAACGGAGAGAGAGACTTTCATGTACATTGTGGTTTCAAATCTTGTTTGCATCTTTCCGTCAAACTGATGAAAATTTGATGTCTGTGTACCCGTATGTGTGTCTGTATGCTTCTCCAGTGTTTGTACCAGCGAGTAGCAAGCATGGTATTTTAGTTTTACTATTCCCTGGTTGGTACGGACACACCTGTTGACCAGGTTTATCTAATACCGGTACTAGTTCAGAACTAGTACCGGTATTAGATAAACCTTGTTATAGTTGCCAGCCGCGGAAGATTGTAGAAAGGTCACTGTTTCCGAACACAGTGTCCTCCACCTTGTTTCATGCTGTCAATCTAACACCTGTTGACCTGTACCCATGGGCTACTTCAACATGCAACAGTACATAAATGTACAGCAATGTCAGCATGTACACTTGCAATCAAGTATAACCGTTACTGGAGGGGGGCAGCTACATTATAATAGGGGCAAATGCAGTTTGGTCCCTGGATGAATAGATGCTGCAATCATTTTCTGCATCTTGTCCTCGCCCACTATAATAAGCTGTGGCATGATGAGCAGCTAGCTCATAACTTCATAAGTGGATCACTTAATTCCAAGTCCACCCAGAGTCTAAGATTTCAGGGGGTGTCAGCCGTACGGCGTTTCAGCAGCATCTTTCCAAGATCTCTCTTCCCTCTCCCGGGGCCGGCCCGGGAGCCGGGAGGGGGGACCCATGTGACCAGGTACTAGCAATGAGCAAGTACAAGTACTTCTGTCTGTGACTAGCAGTTTTAAAGTTTGATGACTACACAAGAGCTGGGTGTCTTGCTTGCTTGGTGGCAAGTGATGACAATCTGTGACCACGCCACTTGCCCGAGCTCTTCATGAAAAAAAAACCCATTCAGTTGAGCACGGCTGTGGCCATAGCGGATATGAACCAAACTGCACTTTGCACACAGAATCTGGGTTCAGAATGACGCTAGAGACAATTCCGTTGACATGGGCAACCCAGTACCGAAAAGAAATTGAGCGTAAAGCAGTCAAGATCTAAATGAGCGTGGTCAGTGACAGTGAGTCGTGGACGAGCAATCGAGTTAATAATAGTCGGTACGTCGGGTCCAAAACAATAATAAAGAAATTGGAAGATACAGAGCAGCCGTCATTGGCGGATAAGGCTCATTGGAAATTTCAACAATTTTTGACCAGAATGCGCCCACACACCCATGGTACACACACGCACACAAAAGACGCGCACAAACAAACACACCCACACACAACACACACACACGGCCACAAGGCCCCGCACATCCAGATTAGAGGCGTGCTTGGACGCTCACGCATAGATCAAAGGTCACACTTGTGCCAAGAAGCGGGCGTGGAGCAGCTTGGTGTACATGTAGATGACTAGAATAGATAAGAACACCCGACGATGGTGACTTGGCAAGGTGGCACGTCCATACGCACAGTTGCCGCACACCCGCACACACAGCCCGACGGAAGCGCGCACTGCATCACCGGTAGCAACCAACCACCTAACCATGGCCAGGTGGCTTAGAGCTCGGTTCGTTCGCTAGACTCTGCGCCGTCCTCGGGAATATCAAAGTCCTCTTCAGCGTCGGGCTTAGGCTGTGCAGCCTCAGGGCGGACAGTCTCCTTGAGTTCCACCTCCCCAGCCAGAGCCGAGGTGATCCAGTCGATGACCCGCTTCGGCTTGGAGATGGTGTCCTTCTCGGTCAGGTCCAACCAAGCATGCTTGTTCTGTGTGTGTCAGGCGCATGCAAGAAGGACAGCAGCACACACAAGAGCACATCAATCATTGATAGCTATACAGTCAAGGTTACTGTAGAACATGTAAATTATTTCGGTGTACTAAAATCTCGTTGTGAGGTACCTGACAGGTTTCAGGTGTTGCATTTACAAATAAAAAATTAGTTGAGCAGCATCCCCTTCACAAACCTGCACTGCACTATCAAGTATACGACCATGTATACCATCATGTATACCACCATATATACTATCAAGTAAAGAGAAGGCTTTTCCTATCAGTGGCAAACATAAAAACTCCCTGATGAAGCCTTAATGTCAAAACTCAGGAGCCTCTGAGGAGTAACCCATCACACATACAATGACAATGTGCAGTGTCTCAGACATCAATCGGTGGTACATGTACAATGGATGAAAGTAGTCTGAGTAATGAGGGCAAACACACGCACGCACGCACACCCACACACCCACAACAGACCTTGGCAAGGTCAATGAAACCGAATGAGGCTGATGTGGTGGCCAAGTCCTCTCGGTCAAATGTCTTGGCCCACTGTGGGAGCATCTGAACAAGGACAGATAACAAACCATACCAGCCGGTCACAGAAGCTGCAAACATAAACCAGGAGTCATTTGTCTGCCCCCCCCCCCCTCCCCCCCCCCACCTTCGCCGCCTGCCCCTCCCCCCCCCCAAGGGATGTAATAATTGTAAAAGAGTAGCTCCATCTCAGCTCACTACAACTCAAAAGAGTAACTCCCAAGTCTCTTCTTCCCAGTCTTAGTAACACTGTGCTCATTGAGCAGGGCTGGGCGGCTTACATACAAATGCACAAATATGGTGCACAGGAACAACAGGATGAAGAAGAAGACATGTACAATTGCCTGTTTAAATTGAGCAACAGGACGGAGAAGACAAGAAAATATAATGAGGGGGGGGGGGGGAGGGAGGAGTACCTGTTGCATGTCCGACGCTGTGTCAATCCAGGCCAAGTTCAACGACTTGTCGCCAGCAAAGTGCTTTGCCACGGTCTTCAATGAGCCGAAGAAACGAGCACCAGCTGTATAATGAATGTACAACGGAGATAGAAAGAGAAAGAGAGAGATAGAGAGATAGATAGATAGATAGATAGAGAGAGAGAGAGAGAGAAAGAGAGAGAGAGAGATAGAGAGAGAGAGAGATAAAGATAGAGAAAGAGAGAGAGAGATAAAGAGAGAGCGAGATAAAGAGAGAGAGAGAGAGAGAGAGAGAGAGAGAGAGAGAGAGAGAGAGAGAGAGAGAGAGAGAGAGAGAGCGAGATAGAGAGAGATAAAGAGAGATAGATAGAGCAAGATAGATAAAGATAGATAGATAGATAGATAGATAGAGAGAGAGAGAGAGATAGATAGAGAGAGAGAGAGAGAACTGTGTCCAAAAAACCCAATGCCCTTGCGGTGAGTTGCCCAGCCCAGCATGCAGCACACTTCAAAGTACACACACAACCGTGTGTACTGTTCAATATCAAGATGACAAATACGCAGTCTGACACTGGGTCAGCTCTGAGTGCAAGCAGAGTGCTCGGCACCTAAGTAAGTGCCAGAGCTGGAACACAGCACTCAGCGTAACAGACGTTGCAGAGAACAACAGCAAGTTGCCGGAGCTCTGCGTTCCATGCAACCTTCAGGCGACTGTGAACAGAATGGCGTGATTCATCCCCAGTAGCGTGCACAAGTATAAATTACTGACGCATACGTAGCATGTAGATCTACATGTCCCACCGTCTGCAGGAATTACAATTTGTCACTTCTCTTCACACCTCACTCTGATCAACTGATCAACTGATCATGATCAACAGCACAGTGAAGACGGTGTTGGTTGAACATGAAAGGGAACGGCTACGACATGCGTCACGGCTACTCTCCGAGCAAGAAGTCGTCATTACAAGTTTACAACTTACATTCACTCTTTGGCTTCAAAACAGCGAAGAAGAGATTTGGTGACAGAACACCGCTCTACAGAACAATGTCACACAAACAGAACAGAACAGAACAATGGTCCAGCAAAAATCAGAGTCCCATTTTAAAAGGTGCAAACGCAACAAAACAGGAAAAACGGGTACTGTACTAGGGGAGGCTAGTCACTCGTTGACCAGCGACAAACCTGAGCGTTGTGACCGGTCTGGTGGTGGGTCCTGCCGGCATCTTGTGAAGTGCTTTGTCCAGCATGCTTGACACTGCTTGATTTGTTTGTGCGAAACAATACCATAGACCAGACAGAGTCTGCAGGGTACTATGTGGTTGTGTAAGTTACACATGGGGGCTGTCAAGTCATGACGCATACAGTACACACCCTTACAAATGTGCTGTCATTGATGCACACACACACACACACACACCACACACACGCACGCACACACCGCACACACCACACACACACATACACACGCGTGCACACACCACACACACACACACACACACACACACACACACACACACACCACACACACACCACACACACATACACACACATACACACACATACACACATACACACTATAATCCTGTTATAGTATACAGGTATAACCAGTGCATAGCCAGAACATTATAGCACCACAGCACAGGTGCAGACGTAGTGAGTACACCCTCACCCACCCACACATACATCCACCCACACATCCACCCACCAACACATGCAGAGGTCTGGTCACTCACCCAGGTCAAGTGCATCTCCATCATGCGCACCTGCATCAGAGCCTGCCTAAACACACACACACACACACACACACACACACACACACACACACACACACACACACACACACACACACACACACACACACACACAACACACATACCATTACATAGATGACATATACACATCACATTGGGGAAGCCTTTCCCTACTGGTGCTCGATTGCATTAGTGTGCCACTATAGACAAGTGGTTGACAAATGACTCTCCTTACTCGGTGAAGCGGGCGTGTGATCCCAACTGATAAAAACTCAGACTGCATATTGGATGCTTTAACTTTCTACAGGGAAAGTCGCGCGAGTTCGACAGAATCATAAAAAATATGACTACTAACGTTAGTAGATCATGAGTTCGACTCCTTACTGGACTTCCGACTGCCTACGGCGTCCAACACACACTCAGTATGAAGAAGAGCATCATGCTGATGGATGTATTAAACGTTCGAACTGCTTCACGGCATGATGAACTCACTTGCGATTAGCGTACACAAAACGAATCAAGCTCCTGTCCTCAGTGACCTGTCAAAGTCAGAAAAGCACGTGCATGCGCGCGCACACACACACACACACGCGCGGGCATGCACGTAAACAGGAATCACATTTCATAATCATCATCAATTGCCCGCACAGCACACCACACAAGAGACACGGAGCATTCGCACGGCACACAACACACACCATACTATAGCACTGGCCAGTGAAACCCTACCCCTGCTGCAGTCAACCGTTGCTTGAGTCCAGCAGCTCCCGACTCCCTGAGCAACGGAGCTCGACTCCCGACCGCCAGGGCAGGCATTGAATGGAGTAACCAAAAGCAGTTCTCTAGTCAGAGGCTAGATTTCAGAGATCAGCATGTAGTACTAGTATGGTGTGTTGTGTGTATGGTCAATGTTTCCTGTGTGCCTACGGCCCGTACGGGATTTCTGTCCTAACATTGGGCTACTAACATTGGACGGGAATGAGATGGGTTTCTCGTTGGGCTTGACAAACAGGCCAGCACCGGACTTCTTCAGACGCAGACTCTTGGCAATCTAGCGGCAAGCAACACAACAGTACACGGGGAAGAGAAAGCAGAATGACAGCATGCCAGCGACTAGTGGACATAGCAGACCGCGTGCCAGCTAAACTGGTGTACAGTGCTGTCGGGCGCCGAAGAACGGAGCACCGAAGAACGAACAGGCTAGAATTTTTACCAAGCACAGCATACCAATGTATACACGGTGACTCAACTGTGCACAGACGGCAATACATGACAATAAGAACGGACTAGGCTAGGAGGCTGACCTCCAGTTCTAAGGCGACCGACAGTACTGTCACACTTTGCTTGAAGAGAAAGCGCAGTTGGCAAGCGGATACATCAAGACATGCACTGTACATGTGCAGCATGCATACATTGTACAATACTGTATCAGAACACACAGGTGGGTTAGTCCTCTGCTCTGATGTTAGATAGAATAATCTTTTGCCTGATGATCACGCAAGTGTAAAACTTGAGTCACAATAAAGCCTTGTTCCACCTTATTCCTACAATTAGAACACATGCAACAGCAGCTGCAGTAGCAGCAACAGCAGAAACTGCAGTAGCAGCAGCATCAGCATTAGCAATAGCATTAGCAGCAGCAACTGCAGTAGCAGCAGCACCAGCAGCAGCACATCCCAAATGGCTCCAGCAGGCCCGCTTGCTCACTATCAGGCTGTCCAAGTCTCAGCATACTGTCAATAAATGTCATGTGCTGTGCTGTGCATTGCAGAACTCAACTCACCTTCTTGTCAGTGACCTGGTAGAAAGGAATGGAAGGTACAAAGTGCTCACCAGCTGCTGTGAACCACTTCTCCACTGGAAAAGAAGACACAAGCATGAGGACACACACACACACACACACACACACACACACACACACACACACACACACACACACACACACGCCCATATACATACGCTAGTAGTACGTTTAGCTGTCTTAGCGTCTGTGACTCTTGTCACCATGGCTGGTGGTTCAGATCCTTCATACCCATATTACAAACACTATCTCACACGGACTGCTAGCGTTGCACTAGGTGACATGGGCTGGTTTTATGAGCGGGGCCATTTTGAACGGTCTCAACGGGCAGGGGCTTCTAATCGAGCGAGTATGGTAGCCATCAAAGTCCTCAGCTCAATCCCATACCAGCACACTGCACTGCAGGCAACGCACTGTGCAGCACAATGATAGGGACGGACGACCACTTACTTTTGCTGCCTGGTTCGACGTACGCCACGACCTTGGCAAATTCAAACTCCTCATATCTCTTTTTCTCGGCTTTGGTTGAGACCATTCGCACAGGCTTGTTGGTTATCACCTGTCATAAACAGCGAGATAATACAAGAAAAACATATTTTTAAAACCAACTACATTGATATATCACAGTCCAGTGTGTCATTACTATAGTTATAGCTCTCATGGCTGAGGTTAGTGGTATGTCTATTGTCTCTGGGTTCCTAGTACTCAATTGCCGAAGCCGGTTGGGAAAGTAACTCCAATTTCACTTCAAGGGCTCTAGGGAGCTATGGACTCGTGTTAATACATACCTCAGTTAGGAACTGGGCAATACCCTCCGCAGTCCTGTAACACACACCACACACACCACCCAGCACACAACACAAAGTAAGGACAGACACACTGTCAGCATGCTTTACAACTTACTGAAGTGCATGAAATGCACGTACAAGTAAGTTAGTTTATACACAGAAGCCTTGCTTGCGTAACATGCTGTCAAAATCGAAAAAAGTAAGTTAGTTGTAGATATGATCTACAAGTGACACTTCTCCTGAACACCAGTAAGGCCAAAACAAAAAATAGGCTTGTTTCCGGTCGGCAACCCCTCAAAAAGGAGACTCGGTCGGCCGGAATGAAACTTTTTTTGGATACTTTTTTTGGTTCCTCAATCGTTGTGGTATTGATGGACAAGAGCACCTACACATGTACATTGTACATATATCATGGCAAGGATCAATGTCAGAGTTGACTGACTCACTGTTCTTGTACAGCATGTGGTGTATTCCTGTTTTCGTGTATCCTGAGAAATCAAGCAAACAGTTCGAGTCCTTCCAGCTCCGTTATTCTAGCTCGTATTGACCCCGGAGGTTTTCGAGCCGACAGCTGAGAATCTCTGCTACCTTGTAGGTGTTTTGATTGTGGAATTCGGTTGAGATTTGACTGAGTTATGACTCGTTGAGTGCACTTGCACACATGGCATTGCCACCGTTTGTACACATTTGGGACCAAAAAAAGTTTCAGAATTTGGGAAAAAGTGGCCGGTTGGCCGACCGGAAACAAGGTCATTATTTGTTTGGGCCTAATAGCCTGCTCATACACTTCAATTTTGCACTAGGCAAACATGTCTGTATCCATTCGACTGGAGGAGAGACACTGATTTAGAAGTGTCATTGACACCCCCCCCCCCCCCCCCCATCCACACAAACACAGACACACGAGTGCGCACACATCAAGGTATGTACTCCCACCACGCTTACCGTTGTCCAAAGTACTCCTGTGGTGACGCCTTGGCACGGAAAAGCATTACTGGACGAGCTTCGGGCTGGACTCCTACAGTTGCCGCAGTAACAATCAGACATCACGCATATCAGCAAGAGGGCATCACAAAGACTGTGCACCTCCTGTCTCGAGCTGTGATGGAACCACCACCTCCTGTCTCGAGCTGTGATGGAACCACCACCTACTGTATACATGTACAACTGGGATTTCACGAATTTTCGGTGTACCTTTTTTATTTCGGTACTTTCGTTGCATCTCTTTCAACACCTAAATTTCAATGGACGCACAAACACTAACACACATCATCCTGTAGCGGGGGGGGCTGCTGTTCTGTACGTTATATTCTGTCAACCTAACCTGGGTCTTTTGCCCTCATACCTAAAATTTTGAGCACCTGAAATTTCTGAAATTAGAGAGTTTGGCAAAGTTTCGCCAGTGCACTTAGAAGAAGTCAGTGCGGAACTTGCGTGCGGGGTCACATGTCTACGTGCATGTTTCGAAATGCTCGACAACACTCTCGCCAGTAGGGTGCAGTGGTGCACAGTCGAATACTTAGTGCATGCAGCACACCACAGTAAGACCTGTCTAAGACGACCGCTCAAGTCAAGGTACCTTCAAAACGTGGTCTCTGTTACCAGGTGGTCTCCATATCCAGGGTCATTTGACTGGAAATAGCATCCCTGGGTCCTGGTTTCAGTGGTCTTCCAGGACAGGTTTTACAGTGCTATCACTAGGCACACATCACAGTGCTTGCAGCATACACTATGTTTAGTCGACAAGGGATGTGTGTGTGTGTGATCACGTACCAAGCTGTTGAAGAAGGCCGGGGTTGGTGGCTGCGTCCACGGATGCAATCTTCACGCCATTAGGACCCTTCTCGCGCATAAGTGCGGCCACGTACTGTCATCAAACAAGCCGAGCACACACACGTACACACACGTACACACACGTACACACACGTACACACACGTACACACACGTACAGTAAAACATGTAACTAAAGACCACTGTGACTAGCGACCAGCCTCCAACCTGTCGGAAGGCTACCTTCTTGCCAAAGCATTTGGAAGTTGGACTAGTTTCGGCTCCACAATCCAGTGTGTCGTTACTATAATAATTATAGCTTTCATGGCTGAGGTTGTTGGTATGTCTGTTGGCTCTGGGTTCCCAGTACTCAGTAGCCGAGGCTGGTTGGTAAAGTAACTCCAATTTCACTTCAAGGTACCAGTGCATCTAGTGTCTGCTTCTATCAGAGCAGCGTGCTGTCTATACTGGTTACCCCAGCAAGCGTAGGGTGTGCAGGGTTCTAGCCAGGTCAAATATAGTAGGGGGACGGGCATGGGAAAAAGTTACCCCATGACCCATTTTTTCCATTGTCCAAAATTGTCTTGCCATGGAAAATGCAACATACAGGGTGAACCCCGACTTCACCCCTCACAAATGTGCCTTTATGAACCCTCTAGTAGTGACTATCGACTGTATTTTCGTTGAATGGCGTGAAAAAACACAAAAATCGGAAAATGAGTAGGGGGGGGGGGGCGGCACTTTTTCACAGGGGGGGGGGGGGGGCGCAAACGGAGTAGGGGGGCGCTACGCCCCCCTACCCCCCTTTGGCTAGAACCCTGGTGTGCATAGGTAACTGTCTTGGCCATTTTATGCCTATGTACTTCGTGTGGTGTAGACCAGGTGTGCATTGGTGGTCGAATCACATGGCTTCGCCAGTTGTGTGGATTAGACAGTTATCTGGCGCAAGTCTTGATCTGTCTCATTCAGATCTTGTTCGCTATCATTGCTATAAGAGAAAATCTGTGGGTGCACATCCAGTGCATTTGCAGATTTGCGTGCTTCTCTTGCGACGGGCGTATACATGGTACATGGTACTACAGACCACTTCGTCAGGCACGGACGGTCTCACATTCATAAATGGTTGTGCAGTGCACACCTCTAAGGCACAAAACCGACTGACGCGGATATTGAGACATGCGACGACCTGACACCTACATTGTAGCTCCAACACATCTACGAAGCGCAAACCAACAACCTTCCAACTTTGAAGGCTCAGGTGCGGAAAGTTCCAATGAGGTGTCAGGTCATCGAATGCCTCAATATCCTTGTCAGTTTTGAGCCTTGTTGTCGCACTATCTGACTGTATTATTATCTCGTTACCTTGGTGGACTGTCCGTCAAAACTATGTAGTAACTTATAGGTACTTTTCTCCTTATCAAAATGAGTTTTAGATTTGATGGGTGGTCATAAAAGAGAACGATAAGGATGACACCGGTGCACCATGATTCCAAGGCCCTTATATTTCTTTCCTTAAAAAAAATCCGAAATCCAGTTTTCCGGATTCCATACAACGAGGGAGCTGTTGTAATTGTAAAAATTTAAGTCAAGGGCTTTGAACAGGACTGTTATAATTATGTTAGTTACCAATTACCTCCAGTTGCTGTACGAGGTAACCCTCGTAACTGGCATCAGCTTGGCCTCCAGAGAGAAAACAGACGAGTGTGACGGGGGTTGATTGAACGGTCTTCACGAAATTCTTTTCAGTTAGTTGAAGAACACCGCCACGTGGCATACCCTGTGGCTGGCCTTGAGGCTGGCCCCACACTAAACACGGGCTTGCTAAAAGAAGCAGCACACATGCTGCCGACACCGGCATCCCCATACTCGCCGGATCAGACCAAGTGAAGCAGACAACAAAAATTGTTTTGTGCGAGCACTTCTTGTTCCGAGAGTGCTGGGAAATAATTGTATTTCACTTCTCATTGCATACGTACACGTGTACTCAGTACACGATACGGTACTAAATCATGGTAATTGTTTTGCATACATATCTGCGAACATTTGAAGGTTTTCTACAAAAAAAGTAGTTTTCTGCTAGTGCTCCGCCGCGCCGTAGTTCTCGCGCTAGCGCAGACTGCGCCCATCGCGCAAGCGGTCGTATCGATGTATCGAGCACAAAACGTCGACGCCCCGGCCGGCCGGCCCGATCTGTACTGCAGTACAGACGGTGTAGCGACCACACTGGTTGATCCGGCCTGGCTTGGGACCATATCGCCGGGCACCTTTACCTGAACGAATGCCATATGCGCCAGTGCTGCGGAAGTCGGCCACCGTGCAGTGCGAAGCACAGGCGCAGCTAGCTAGGCATGTACCACTGAACTGCACTGCACTCTGCACTGCAGCAGCGAGATACGACTACGAGTACGAGGCTGGGCGACCTGTGGCAGTGCACTGACTGTGCAGTGTGTAGTTTGGCAACCTGCAAGAAAAAATGCAAAGAGCAGCCAATCAGGCTTTGTTTTCGTTGTGGAGGTTGGAGGTGGCCAACGTTGTCAGTGCTTCGAATCGAAACAGTGTAGTAGTTTTGCGTGGCTGTAATGGTATCCTGAGCTGTAAACTCGCCACCTGGGATTGGAATTAGTGAGCGAGTCGCCCAGCATGGCTGGCATGCAGCCTGCAGGTATGAGTGGACTTCTTAGCTCTTCGAGTTTGTAAAAGATTCAAACCGATGTGATGGGTGCTCTTGTCTCTGAACCACTTCCTTAGGCTCGTGGGTGATTTCACCACAAGACAGAGCTCAGCATGAGCGCACTTTCTACAGCTTAGGTCCCATCAACGGCAAACTTAATGGTAAGTAAGCATTTGGTGTGGAGATCTCTCCTGGGGTTTTTTTCTCATGAAGTTTATTTCCAGTTTTGAGTATGTTCGACGAAGAGAGGGGGGCACGTGTGCATGTGAGCTACGGTACAGTGTAGCCCGTCTTGAAGCTGTTCTCATCCATTGCAGGAAGAAGCTGTTTAGGTGGACAACGAAGCATGGTTGCTGGTGATAATGGTTGACCAAATTGCACAGATCTACACGAGCGCACCTTTATTTGGCGTAGTTATGCACTTTCAACACCAAATGAGCAAGTTAGAGTACATTCCACTCTATGAAGAGGCTCACTGTACCAAGAAAAGTGCCAACAAATAAATAAAACTTGAGCGGTGCAAGTGGACTCTGCACCACTGAGTGTCTGTTTACTTTTCATCAACATGTTTTGTCAACACACAGTGTGTGTTGTCTGGTCTGGACAGGTGAGCTTCAGGCACCCTTATCAGCTGGCCTGTCAGGATTGATATTAGTACATTGTAATTGCACATGTACAGTCAGCTTTGCGTATAACGACACTCGGCGGGGCATCAGAAAAGTGTCCTTATTCGCGAAGTGTCCTTATACCCGAAGTCTCGTTATATGTATTACAGTTAGATGGGACTTTGCTCTGGGCATGGAAATCCTGTCGTTATTTGCGAATTGTTGTTATGTCCGCAGTCGTTATTAGCGAAGTTGACTGTAGTAGATCTACGAGGTAGTAGTTGTAGTATATTTTTCACATGTACATGTGGAGCAGCGCCAGGTGGACTTCCGGCCCGAAGTGCGAAGCTGGTACCCTGGTCCCGCGATCAATTCCCATGACACCACTGTATTTGTGCATGTGTACGTCCGGCAGCATTCGTACCAATTCCTGGGCATCATGAGTTGTGGAAATCCGGGGCGCCAAAAAATGTACTTTTGGTTGGATTTATGCAACACAACTGTACTCGGGTAGAATCAACAGGTCTCGGTACAGCCCTTGATGCTGATTGCGACTAGCATGAGTAGATTTCTTACATTGAGATTAGTAACTAAACAAGGGTAAGCAGAATAGCATCTAAAATTTGTATTTTGATCAACACTGCGCACTTTGGCACAGTCAAGACACACAACTTCCTGTTAATGGTGTTTGTATCGTGTCTGTGTTCTTTTTCCTGTACTTGATGTGTGTTTTGCATTGACAAGCATGCCTTGTGACTGTGTGGTGAAGCTTGGTTGCTGTTCTCAGTGCTTAGCATCATGGCGTCCTCACAGACTCCTGGCTAGCTGTCTGGGTAGTGCGAGACCTGACTACTCCGGATGCGCTTTATAAATAGGAAAGCTTGCCTGTCCAGTTGGAGTAGAACATGACATCTATGCTGTGTGTGCTAAGGGTGCTGGTGCTATGATGCGCTTTATAAATAGGAAAGCTTGCCTGTCCAGTTGGAGTAGAACATGACATCTATGCTGTGTGTGCTAAGGGTGCTGGTGCTATGAATTGAAGGTACCGAGGGCATGCACTGATTAACCGAATGTCTTGTTGGTTTGTGTTGTTCCAGGACACGTAGTCGTAGAACATATTTATTCGTACTCGGTAACTGTTTCGTATTATCTACTGTGTGTTGTTGACGTGTGCAGGCGAGAAAGCGCGTGGTTATCTCGTCCAGAGTGGCTTACCGACAGCTGAGCTGGGACATATCTGGTATGTGCAAGCTTGTAGCTATACTTCAGTATTCAGTATCCACTAGGAATGTATGCTATGTGTGCTAGTGATTGTCACTGATGCAATGTGTAGACACTGTTGTCTAGTACACTAATTTGCTTATTTGATCTCTGTGTGTGTATGTGTGTGTGCTCGTGGATGTGATGGGTGGGTGTCTCGCAGGACTCTGTGCGATATGGACCGCGACGGGCAGCTAACCTCCTCTGAGTTCTCGATGGCCGTGTACGTCATCTTCTGCCGCAAGTCTGGCATCTCGCTACCCAGAACCTTGCCGCCGTCGCTCGTGCAGTCTGCTTCGGTCAATGTATCTCCAGCTCAGCCCAGCGTCATGCCACAGCAGATGTTACCAATGGGTCAGCAGCAGTCATTGCCGGCGAGCAACTCGTCGGGCTTCAGCGGCCAGGTAATGAGTTCTGCGCAGATGGCTGGTGCGGTGGGGGCACAACCACCCAGACAAGGACTGTCCGGCACGGTAGGTCTGCATGCTCTTTGTGGGTGTGTAGGTGCACACGCGAGTAAAGTAAAGTATAGTTAGTACATTCGTGTTACCACCCGGCTTTACAATTTTGTTGAGAAATACTACCAGCTTGCGTGTGTGCATGTGTGTGCGTGTGTGTGTGCGTGTGCGTGTGTCCTCCTCCCCCATTCTCCCACGTTGACCTGGCCACCATATCGACACGCTATCTGCTGTAGACTACTCTGCTTGTCGCTGTTTCTGTTTCATGTTTCTACTTAACTTTGCGTTTATTTCTAATTTTACATTGGATACTTCGTAATTCAGAGCATGACAGAGCTATTACTTTCATGTACATTGTTGTATGTAAATCTTGCCCAAACCAGGCCAAAAGAGGTATGTTTTCCATGAAGAAACGTGCAGTAGTAGAACTCAACAGTAATCAATTTCCCCATCTGCGTCTGTACCGATGTTTTTCCAGCCATCTGTAGGAAATCAATCTGGTGGCAACTGGCAGCAGCCGATCTCCTCCAACAACTCCAAACAGCCGTCGATGGATAGTTTGACCTCATTAGATTCTCTTGGCAGAACCAACTCGTTGCTGCCGTCGAATTCCATGGTGTCAGCCAATGCCACCGTTCCTGATGGTGGTGCCGGTGCCGGTGGCGAGTGGGCTATACCTGCGCAGGCACGTTTCCAGTACAATCGCATGTTCAGTGACGCCGACCGTTTCAAGCGCGGCTACCTGACCGGCATGGAGGCCAGACCACTGCTGCAGCGCACTCAGGTCGCGCAAGCACAGCTGTTCCAGATCTGGTCCATGGTGGTGCCGGGCACCAACTCTGCCATCAAGTGCGAGGAGTTTGTCATTGCTATGTACTTGGCGGAGTGTGCGGCTAAGGGAAGAGCTCTACCCAGTACACTGCCTCCGGAGCTTGCTCGCCTCAGAAAATCCACCACGCCTGTTCTCGCTCAAAAACAACCTGCGGGTGGTGTGACTCCGAACAAGTCATCATTTGCAGAAAGATGTAAGTACAGAGTTTGACGCAGGCCTTACAGAACTGATGCTGTACATTTGCAGTTGCTATAGAAGTAGTCTGTACTTTTCACGTCTGTCCGTACCAAGGACTATTTCGAAGTACTTACATTGTAGCTCATTGACAGTGCATTGTCAACCATGACTGATGATGAGTGTTCTCGTGCTGTGCTTGTGTCCGCTTTTCACGCAGCATCGCTGGAGGATAGAAAGCGTGACAACTTTTCTAAAGGGCAGGAAGTGCTAGAGAAACGCCGACAGGAGCTGCAGGAGCAGAAGCGAAAAGAAGAGGTATGGGCATATCCCCCCCCCCCCCCCCCCGCCGTGTATGACACATGTGGTGCACTATAGTTGCTCTCTCTCTCTCTCTCTCTCTCTCTCTCTCTCTCTCTCTCCCCCCCCCCCCCCCCCCCCCCCCCCCCCCCCTCTCTCTCTCTCTCTCTCTCTCTCTCTCTCTCTCTCTCTCTCTCTCTCTCTCTCTCTCTCTCTCTCTCTCTCTCTCTCTCTCTCTCTCTCTCTCTTTCTGTCTGTCTGTCTCTCTCTCATTCTCTCTCTCTCTCTCTCTCTCTCTCTCTCTCTCTCTCTCTCTCTCTCTCTCTCTCTCTCTCTCTCTCTCTCTCTCTCTCTCTCTCTCTCTCTCTCTCTCTCTCTCTCTCTCTCTCTCTCTCTCTCTCTCTCTCTCTCCATGTCAGTAGCTTCATCAGTACAGTTAATGTGATTCACCTCTATCCCCCTGACAGGAGGTTGTGTTTTGCTCTGTCTTTCCGCTTATCCCCCTTTTCAGGAAGAAAAGCTCCGGAAACTTCAGGAAGAGGAAGAGCGCAAGGCAAAAGAACGGTATGTGCTGATAGATATTGTTCGCTCTTCCCTCATCATCTTAGGGACCATCCATAATTATTGAAAACGTTTTGTTTATGGGTGGGTAGGTCAAGCATTGATAGCTGAAACATCTCCAGCTGTGAAGTCAATAATAATTATAATATCGTTGGGGGGGGGGGGGGGGTCATCACGAAACGTTTTCATTCCGTGAACATTATTGATAATGCCGAATGGGTTTTTAGGTGTTGGGCAATAAATTAGCTTTGATATAGACTGATATATACTTTTGGCGGCAGCTATCAACCTTGGTATTCAGTCCGTCCGCTATCAGCCTTGGTATTGAGTCCGTCGTATTCTTGCTTACGTGTTGTCTCCACTTCAGGAGAGAGCAAGAGCTGAAGCAGCAAGCGGAACTGGACCGGCAACGTCGCCAGATGGTGGAAGAGCAGCAGAGACGTGACCTGGAGGAGCAGAAGATTGTCATGCAGCGCACGGTTAGCAACTCCATCAGCTAACCAACTGTCTTCAAGTCTGTGAATGAAGTGTAGCCTTTTCAACTTTCTACAACTATATTTTTTCATTGCAGTGACAGTAGGTTTATTCCTGTGTGCAATGTGACAGTGAGCAACAGCCTTGTCTGAAATACGGACTGCAGTTACAATGGCTTTCACTTTTCAGTGATGATCTCAGTTGTACAGTACTGCATTCCAAAAGAAGTGTTTTCCAATTTCCATGTGACTACAATAGAACTGCTGTGTTTCAAGCAACTGTAAACTGGGAAGCATTTGTGTTTTAGCACAGAAATTCAATTTTACTTGCAAAACACCAATAAAAAGATTATCGGTGTATTGCAAGCAATGAATAATTTGCACCTGGCAGTGTGTGCGAATTGTTTAGGTTGAAGTGATTTTTTCTTCTGCTACACTATATTTCGCAGAATAATGCCAACTGCGAAAATAGCGAGAGTTTCCGGGTCTCCAGTACTTGCAGGAGCTGTGGAGCAAGCTAAGGTTTTCAGGGCTCTTATCACTCCTGCTTTATAAATAATTCATCTGTCTGTTATTGTTCCTGTTTTTTTACTTCACTCTTCAGGCCGCGCAGTTGGAAATGGAACGGAAGCGACGCGAGGACGAAATTCGTCAGCGGAAGTTGGAGCTGATGCAGCAGAGGTCCCGTCTTGTTGACCAAGTCAACACCGTCAAGCCTCGTGCTCGCCGTGTGGCCATGGAGTTAGAGACGCTGGTATGTATCCTCTCACTGGCTGGTCATGTGTTTACTGTGGTCTTGTGTCTCCCTATTAGGTGGTTGGTGACTAGGTCACTTTCTACCTCTGACAAGTTTTCAACTCCCTCCCCCAACACACACACACACTCAGACTCAGACATGCCCATCCCAGAGGCGATGGTGGCGAACAGCTATGTTAGACATTGCAACTTGTGCTGGGATTACACCATTCAACAGCTTGCAAGGCTGATGAATTGACTGCCACTACATTTAGCCTGGTCTACACCACACAGCTGAGTGAAGACACGCGCACGCACGCGTGCGCGCGCACACACACATACACACACACTACACCATGCAAATACGTTTTGTGTTTTCTTTTCATGGGAAGAACTCTCTAGTCTTGTCTTTTGGCTTCGAACTATCTTGGATTGTTTCCTCTCCTTTGTGCCCGTATTCACTCTGAATACACAGCAACATCAGCACACTGAACTCAAGGCCACATTGAGGACGGGCACGGGACGCAAGGAGGAGCTGGAGAATCGTATACTAAGCATGACATCACGCACTGGCTCCTCGCGTACTCAGCTGGAGGAGCTGCGTGCCGAAACCATGGTATGGCAAGTAGAGATGAATAACAGTTGGTAGAGGCCATCAGTGTGTAACTTAGTTTTGTGTTTGCTGGAAGTGTTTGTTGTGGGCGGTCTTTTCTCGCCTTAGTTGTTTTGGTGTGCATCTTCAATGCCGTACATATGTGCATTGAGTTAGTCAAGTGTCGGCGTGATGAGTGTTTCTTGCTCAGATTGACAAGGGCAGAGCTTTTATAGTCACACATTGTTTTCCTGTATGCACCTATGTGTGCTTGTCTTAAGTGCTGTGATTGGGGTCTTAGCAGTGCTGTTCTCTTCTTACTGTGTACTGTTGTCTGATCCAGCGTGCTCGAGAGCACTTGTCCCGCGTGTCTCGCGAGCGTGAGACCTTGAGCGCGCAGGTGGCGCAGTCGACGCGTGGAGCCGAATCCGGTATGTGTTACACAGGCGCTGTAGGCTGCAGTAATGTAGAATTCCTCACTATCAACTCAGTTACGTGTTTATGTATGGTGTATGCACGCCTTGCTCGATGGGTTGACATGTTTTGACGATGACGGCGTGTTCTCAACACAGTGCGTTCTCCGCCTTATGACATGCTGTCACCGTCAAAACATGTTTATGTATATGCAGACTGGGTGCACAATGATGACGTGTGTATAAAGTGCATACAAACCGATTGAGCGAAATGTGACTTGCACTGTTTTTAGATCTGCAAGGCACTAGAAGTCTCCAGAAAGCACTCATTTCATCCAAAATGTGTGCATTATAGGATGCGCTTGGTCTATTCAGGTGATACCAATGAACTGTTTATTCTGTGCAGTAGTTTATAGGATATCAATGAACTGTTGCTTCAAGTACTTGTACCCACAGCATAACTTGTGCAGAATTTGCTCATCATGCAACCCTGTCATCAGTCACTGTTTTTACATTGTTGTCTTGTGCTGACTATTGGTTTGGCTTGTCACAGTGCAAGGCTATCAGTCCACCATCAATGATCTCCGCGACATCACCAGCCGTGTGTCGGCACTGCGCTTGGAGCGTTCTAACCACTCGCGCCAGATCCAACAGAAGCGCACCGAGCTGGAGCACGAGCGAAAAGTTGTTCTGGTATGTGTGCATCATGTGCTCTGTGGCTATTGTTTGGTGATCCTGGCGATCACCATCATCGTCTATACTCGTGCTGGTTTGTGTTTTGACCTCCTGGAGATGTTACTCTTATGCAACATGCTTATATTAGTGAGGAGATTTGCATTGGGGAACCAGTGGGATTGGGGAAGCTGGTTGTTTTTCTAGTGTTGGCAGCAGCTTATTGAAGTGTATGGTAATGAGAGAACGAAGCGCCAGTGATCCAGGTTTTGTATCTTTCAACTCCAGGACTTCATTAGCTGCTGTGCGTAGGTGTGTCAACTCGCGTTCTCTTCATCTTACCCAGCAGTCTGTTTGTTTTATCTCCCTTCCACAACGGTGTTCAGCTTACCCAGTCTGTTGTTTGTTTTATCTCCCTTCCACAACGGTGTGCGTGTAGTCACTGCGACAGGAAGAACAGCAGAAGACACGCTCTGCAGAACAAGCCAAGTCACAGCTGCAAGCTCTGGAGCAACAACTGGCCGAGGAGAAACGACAGGAAGAGCTTGCAAAGCAACGCAAGCTAGAAATGGAAGCTAGAATTCGAGAAGAAGAGGTGAAGAGACGACAAGCAGAGGAGAGACGACAAGCCGAACTTAAGCATAGGAAGGAAGAGGAGGAAGCCGAGGCAAAGCGGAAAGAAGAAGAGGCAAGCAAGAAAACGAAAAACAAGGTATGTTTCCTTCACCGATGGTTTCCACTTCTTTTGTATGCAGCGTTAGTGAGTGCTTGTTGTGTCAGTGATGTTTTAAAAGTGGTCAAGCGCTAAGGAATGCAATAGATTTTTGCTCAGTGGGGGGGGGGGGGGGGTATGTATGCTGTGCCATGCTCATGTATATACACAGTGGGTACGTAGTACAAAGTGCTGTACTCATGCAGATTCAGTATAGAAGTACATGTACTTGTAGTACTACCAGTGTTGTACAGTCAACTTCGCGTGTATCGACACTCGGCGGGGCATCAGAAAAGTGTCCTTATTCGCGAAGTGTCGTTATACCCGAAGTCTCACATTACAGTCCGATGGGACTTTGCTCTGGGCATGGAAATTCTGTCGTTATTCGCGAAGTGTCATTATATCCGCAGTCGTTATTAGCGAAGTTGACTGTAGATGATTTTCTCCTCCTTTCCTTTGCCACTTCCGTGGGTGTGTGTGTAGGACGCAGATTTCTTTGGTTCGGATTCGATTGGCAGCTGGCCGGGAGCGGACACGACCACAACCTCCACAGCAACAGCGACGGCAGGCGAGACAAGTTCAGCTTTCTCGGCGGCATGGCCTGATGCGTCGTCGTCATCCTCGACTAACACAGCAACGGCAGGCGATGCTTTCACTTCAGGCTTTGCCACTGCTTTCCCGTCAGGGGACGATGACTGGACAAAGACGACGTCGGCAAAGGAAACATCCAAGCCATCTACCACCACCGCCTCTGCCCCGGCTGCAACAGCATCTGATCCTTTTGCTGACCTGCCAGCAGGGACATTCAGCGCAAGTAACACACCTGATCCGGCTGCTTCATCGGCAAGCGGCGACATCTTCGCAGTGAGCTGGGGAAACAATGCTGCTGCCAACCAAGGATCTGCTGGCACGTCGAACGAGGTGGGAACTGTTGCTACTGCTAGTGCTGCTACTGCTGCAAGCTTTCCTGAGGAGGACAGTGCAGAAAGTTTTACTGGTGATGTGCCAGATGGCTTGAGAAAATGGGTTAGCAAAAAGCAGCAGGCTTCATATAACGTATCTACGTCTTCATCGTCTTCTACTTCATCCCAGGTTTCAGCAGCACCATCTATGGCAAGCACACAAGCTACTCCAGTCATTGCTACCGTACAGTCAAGCAAACCAGCAGCAGTGAACAAACTTGGAACTAGCCCGAAGCCACCCCGCCCAGGACCTCCTAGGCCCGCCATTGCTGTGAGTTTGGGTGTCGGTGTCCACGTGCATGTACTGCAATCTGCATGTCTGTGTGAGTTGCTGTCTTAAAGAATCTGCCACGCTCCGCATATACAACTCTGTGTGTGTGTGTGCATGTGAATGTGTACTTGGTGTGTTGCTGTTTGTTTGTGCAGCCGGTGGCTTCTGCCTCACCGATCCCTCGCCGACCTGCACCTATCGCCGTGAGTACCCCGCCTGGCACTAATACATGTAGTCCTATTGTTTAGTTGTGTTCAAAGTGTTACCCTGTAATGTATATATCACCCACCTTCATCATGTAGCATGTGTAGTCGGCTTGGATTATAAACAAAATATCACGGAAATGTTCCAAAGTCGCAAATATCCATCCATCCACTAACAGCGACCTTCCTCTCAAGCTTTACCCGCTTTTGGAACTACTCATCGTCGAGCTACGTGGAAATACTCGTCCAGGTATTGAGAAAAGGGGTTGTTTGTTTAGATCTCAGCGTACAGGCTCTGCACTTCGAGTACCCGTGAGATATGTGTTTGTGTGTGTGTGTGTGTGTGTGTACGTGTGTGTACGTGTGTGTGCGTGTGTTTGTGTGTGTGTGTGTGTACGTGTGTGTGTGTGTGTGTGTGTGTGTGTGTGCATGTGTGTGCGTGCGTGTGCGTGCGTGTGCTGTCCACTACTCTACACTCTCAGGCCCATCGTCACAACACATCATCATCGAGTGCGTCGGAGCAGGATGTTTCATCCGCTATGTCTCTGGACACTATGAAGCCTGTACCGCAGCCTCGCCGTGCCACACCACCCGACACGGTGCAGGTGTCACAATCTGAATCATCCGTTGCCACCAGCGGTAGCAACACTAGTGCAACTAAAGACAAGGAGGACGCAGTGCGCCGGAAGGTTGAAGAGCTGCAGCGCAAGAAAGCTGAGCTGCAGAAGTTGAAGCAGCAGAGGGTAAGACGCCTTACCCCTTTACCCCTCTCTGTTGCTTGTGATCTACTGTAGCCGGCCAGCCGCCATTCAGGCAGTGACCAGCATCTTTACACGTTTTTCTCATAGCATGTCCAGGCTGTTGCTGCTGTGTGATGCCACCAGCTTTTACTGCATGTCCAGGGCAGTGCTAGTATTGCTCTGCTAGTGCTGGACTACATGACTGTAATCTTTGCTAGTGTTGCAACGGCACTGCACACAGCACATAAGCTTACTAGTATTGCAACAGCACTGCACGCAACACAATACAACCTGTGCTCAAGACATCGGCATATGTGCAAACTGATCTCCTCTTAGTAGTGGTTGTGTTGGATACCTCGTGTCTTTTCCTCTACAGGAGCAAGAGGCAAAGAAAACCGAACAGGACGGCAAACAGAATGCGTTGGGAAGTGATTCTGACGGTGAGTTTGCGTAGTGCTCATTGTGCAAGATTGAGTACGGCTGGTCAACAGTGGCCTTTTAATGGTTTCAGAATGTTCATACTCTGCAATACTTCACAAGTGGGGTATACAGCTCTGTTCTGTACTTTTCTGTTCAGTACCACTGTAACTCATACATGTGTCTGTCTGTCTGTGACAGTTGGTCTGAGTCGTACGCAGTACAAGGCCGAGTTTGGCTTCCAAGCACGTAGTGATGAGGAGCTGACGTTCAATGAAGGTGATCTGATACTGGTGAGGACTGCTGCTGCTGCTGCTGCTGCTGATGTTGCTGCGTGTGGATTACTTGATCATGCTGACTGCACATGCTGACTGTAGCTAGTGTTGTGCCACGATGTACTGTTCATGTACTGTGCCCTTGGCATGGTTGCTAGCTGCACACCCTGTATTGTTCTGCTACTATCTCTAATCTTTGTCCACTTTGCTGGTGGGCTGATCTACTCACCTCCCGCTTTAGGAGCTGCATCTGCGCTTTAGATCTTTGCAGCGTGGTAACGTTCCTACGGATGCTGAAAACTAGACTCAGTCTCAAGCGAACCGTGAATTTTTTTAAATCTCTAGTCTGCATCCAGGTGCGCCACCCTCTCTTTTGTTTTGCTGCGATGTCCCATCTCTCTTGGACATTTGACTCTGACTGCTGGTCTGCTGTGCTGTGTTGTGCTGTGTTGTGTTGTGTTGTTTGTCCCAACTCACTCACTCACTCACACAGAGTACCAGTGACCTAGGTACCCCAGAGCCCGGCTGGCTGGGCGGTGAGCTGAATGGCAAGAAGGGCTGGTTTCCGCAGAGCTACGTGTCAGTCTTACCGGCGTCGGCAACGCTGCTGCCTGCTAGCGCCGCCACACCCAACTACGCTGCTGTGGGTGCTGCTGTGGCTGCTGCTGCGGGCACGGAGCAGAACTTCTCTGACTCTGGTGCGTTCTCGAACAATCAACAGCAGCAGCAGCCATCGTCAGTGACGTCCGCTGCCAGTAGCAGCAGCATTAATGCTAGTGTAAGCGATGTGGCCCGTGAGGCGCTGTATGATGATGAGGATGAGGCGACCGTGGCCTGCCCCAATGCATATGTACCCAGTAACCTTGATAGTGAGGAAGAGCAGCAGCAGCAATGGGAGCGGGAGCAGCAGCAGGTGGAGGAGAATGTTGGTGTTACTGCTGTTACTGACCCAACACTGTATGATGATGATGCCTATGCCCATGCTAGTACTTATAGAGATGATGATCATCATCATTGTAATGATGAAGATGATGGTGATGAGCCCCTGTATGATATACCTCAGACGGTTAGTGACTGTGTTGTGCTGCTGATGCTGTTGGTGATGATGATGATGGAAAACGGCGGTGTTGGTGGTTGTGGCAACAGCGGTGGCGGCAGTGCTGGTGACCATGGTGTACTGTGTGCCAATGCTGCAGTGCTGGACTGGCAGCAGTGACGCCTGTGGCGAGCAGTCGGTGTTGTGCCAGAACAGTATCGTAACCACCTATCTAGTTGTGCTGCTGCTGTGCGGTGGGGTTGGGGGGGGGGGGGGGTGCGTGCATGTGAGGGTGCTTACATTAGTATGTGATGTGCTCTTGAAAGCGGTGAAGCGATGGGTCGTGCATGTGAGTGCATAGGGGCTGTGTCATGTACTTGTTTGGTGTGATTGTTCTCCAATGACCATCGCTGTTGCTGTGTCCACTGCTGTTGCCACCTGTCACCGTCACCACCACCACTGCCACTCCTGTTGCCATAGCCACTGCCACTCCTGTTGCCATAGCCACTGCCACTGCCATAGCATCACCAACCGCAACAGTATGCACGACGGGGTCTCGTGCTGTACGCACAGACTTGCTACTACCGTCTCTGTCACCCATGTCACTTCCATCCAAGAATATGGATCCTGCTGGCAGGGTACTCATTTCCGTATGTCTGCCCGTGTGTGTATGTGTGCGTGTGTAATAGCAGCATGAGGATAACGAAGAGAGAGCGGTTGCACTGTACAACTGGAAGGCGAAGAAAGATACGCACCTGTCCTTCAAGAAGGGCGACATTATCATCGTGAAAGAGAAGGACGATATGTGGTGGTCGGGAGATCTGGATGGCAAGGTACGGGTGCAGATACAGTGTGCTAAATTACACACAAGTCATACTTGAGTGTGATACGCCGTCTTGGATGGGAAAGCGTGTCGTGATGAATCGACCAATGTATGTGCAAGCTGCTGGTCTATGCATCATGTGTTGATAAATGTTGTGGGTGTGTGGGCGTGGGTGTGTGTGGTGCTCGCGCCTTTCTTCTGTAGATTGGCTGGTTTCCTAAGTCGTATGTAAAGATCGCACCAGGCAGCACTGCATCGGTATCACAGGCATCAAGTGTCACCTCTCCTCCATTCTCGCCTGTTCAAGGTCATCCAGGAGAGCCTTCAGAAGAGGCTGCTGCAGCCAGTACTGGAGGTAGGCAGGTGTTGATGACTGCTCATGTGCCTTGCTTGTAGCCATACACACGCACGCGCACACACACACACACACACACACACAAGACCCTATTCCCCGTTTCATACCAGAAAATGTTTCCCTGATGACGGCACAAGCGTGAAACTCTGAGTTGCAATAACACTCTGTTCCACCTTACTTGTACCGTATTTCCGCGCATATAAAGCCATGGCGTTATATCCGAATATAAGGCCACCCTCACTTATAAAGCCATGGCGTTATAAGTGAACAAAATTCAACGTGGAGGAAGTAGCATCTGGCGTTAAAGGTGAGTTGAATTCTTTCAGTGAACCTACAGCAGCGGTGATTCTCCCTGCATGTACCCATCCCCACTGTCACATGCCATACCGCCACCACACCTTCACACAAGGTTGTATGCCACCTTGTACACAATAAGTTCACAATTTGAAATTTTCAGGGAAAATTGAAAGTACATGGATGCTCGACATGAAAGTGCAACGGCACCATACGAGTACTCGAAGTTCATACTCTGCCGTTTTTTGCATGTACGCGTCTCTCACTTTTAGCGCCATGGCGTTAAAACCGAGGCTATTTTCTCCAAAAATTTGGTCCAAAACAGCGATGTTTCACCTATAACGCCATGGCGTTATATGCGCGGAAATACGGTAAGTTGTGTAGACACTACAAGTAAGTTATTCAACTCTACATACATGTTCTGTGACAGCAAAAACAATTTGGGTGTCCATATTCATCACAGAACCTCTCTACTGACTAACAGTAGACTAGTTGCAAAACAACCATAGCTGCCGGAAAGCGTACATGAATCATGCTATGAGTTTCCAGTAGTAGCACGAGTATAATGTACATGTAACCCCAAGGAGTGTGCAACCCGACACGATTTCTGACACGCGTAAACCAGACCCTGTTTGTGTGTGTGTGTACGTGTGTGTACATGTGTGTACGTGTGTTTACGCGTGTGTGTTTGTTGTGCAGAGTTTGTGGCTCTCTATCCGTACACGGGCCCCAGTGGTGATTTGACGTTTGCTCAGGGTGACATCATTAGCGTGACAAAGCAGGGCGGTGAGTGGTGGGAGGGCACTACCAATGGCCGCTCCGGTATGTTCCCGGCTACGTATGTCACTCCGAAGACACAAGACGATGATGCAGCACCCGGTCAGCAGCAGCAGTCACAACAGGTAAAGCACATGCGCATGCGCACACACACGCACACACACGCGCACACACACACATACACACACACACACATGCAAGCACGCACCACACCCACACACACACACGCACGCACCCACGTAAACAGTATACCCACACTTGCTGCACATTGTAACGTGGTTGGAGTGGTGTTGTCAGTACAGGTGAAATCCTGATAATTCGAACCTCAAAATGCCAGGAAAAAACTTCTAATTATCCGGACATTCTAATTATCCAAACATGAACCCACAACTCAATATGTATGTCAAAATGCTCTCATGCAGTCATGGTCACGCAGAGTTGCGCTATGGACCTTAGACACAAATTTTACGGACACTGAACTGACCGGCACAGCCTGCTCGTGCAAACTGAACTGACCTGTACAGTGTACAGTGAACTTCGAATTACACTTTGCTAACTTCGAAATTATCAGCACAAATCCCACACATTTTCTATGTACACTCAAACGCCTCTTATCCGGACGCCTCAGATACGGGCACGTCTCTCTACCAGGCACCTTTAGCTTGAGTTCCTATAGCACAAATACTTCGAATTTGGGGGTTTTGAACTTTGTCCGTATTCGGAAGTGCTTATTTTTCACAGCCAACCTATGTAATCCACACAGTTTTATCAATGGGTTCCTTTTGTATCCTGAACATGTGCAATACGTTCCTAATAAACTTCTTCAAAAAGTGATACGATACATGGTAGATGAGTTATTCTGAGATACGGGCACGTGTGAGATACGGGCAGTGCCCGGTCCCAAGGTGCCCGGATAAGAGACGTCCGAGTGTAAGTGGAATCTGTGGGACTTCTAATTAACCGACATGTCCAGTTCGAGGTTAGAATTATCAGATTTTTTTATGTGGGAATCGTATTGATAGAAATCGATCCTGGAAAAACTTCTAATTAAGCGGTATGTTCGAATTATCAGGATTCCACCTGTAGTACTTTCCATTTTTATTTGCTGTAGTGATTTCTCACCAATCAGCAGGGAGGAAAGGGCAACTTTATGCAACCGTTGCTTCTGCAGCTGATTTTCATGGTTGCCAATATAATAAACAAATTCCTTGGTTTGATGGAAAGATGCAAACGGGAAAAGTCTGCAGAACAAATTGACTGTCACCGCTATGCTATGACTCGAACCAGGGACCCTCGTGTATGGCCTGGCCAGTGATGCTCCACCACTAAGCATAATAAAACATTATTAATAGTATCTGCACTGCATGTGCCTGTGCGTGTGTAGGCGTCCGTTGCTCCCAGCGCATCAACAACATCAGGATCAGGATTGGCTGGTGGCAAGCCTGGTAAGTGTACACGTGCTGCTACCTGTGGCTAGCTGGAGAGTCAACTGTATGCTGTATGTGTAGTGTGCAGTGCAGTGCAGTGCAGCTATGCATCATCAGGCCTTGTCGGCAGAAGCCTCATAAGCACCTTTGCATTGCTCGTGTAAATCGCTTATTATGTTTAAAGAACCTGGGCATCAGTCTGATTTTAAATTCAACCATATCTGCTCGTGTGTTCTACAGTGCTGCATGCTTGAAGTATGAATCATCATGTGTATGTGTATGACTGTATGAGTACTGTTGCAAGGAAATAGGTAGCAACTGCCTGTACAGTGCTGCATGCACGCTGCCCAGATCTATTGCACATAAGTAGCTTGGCGACGGTGTTGACTTCGTACAAGACGGCTTACTTTGAGTAGCATGCCCAGTGGACGCTGTGTTTCGCCAGTGTGATCAGATGATTCTAGTGGACGCTGTCTTGTGTGATGAGCTGTATTGTAGTTGAATAGCGGTATGTCGTTGTGTTTCCTGTGTTGCAGCCATCGCTACCGTGACCAGTAACTTCACGGCAACTAATCCCGACGAGCTGTCGCTGTCTGTCGGTCAACTGGTGGCTGTGTCCAAACAGGACGGTGACTGGTGGGAAGGAACACTGCAGGTGGGTGCACGTGTCTTGTGTCTCTAGTCGGCCGTGTGTGTGTGCGTGCCATCTCATGCTCCTGCTCAGTTACTGTTGTTGATGCATGGCTTCTGCATGGAAAGTGTGCCTTCTGTTTCACCTGCTCCGTGTGAAAACATTGTGTGTGTGTGTGTGCACGTGTGTGTGTGTGCACATGTGTGCGTATGGGCATTTCTGTGTCACTTTGCAGGCCCGTGGTAAGAAGCGCCAGGCGGGTCGGTTTCCCGGCGCGTATGTTCGTCTACTGGGTGCTCCATCGGACTCGCAGGTTGCCAAGCGTGCTTCACATGTTCATGTGAGTCAGGGAGTAGACATTCTAGTCCAGTTAGTGTGAGCGTCGTTTCGCTATGTAATGAAGGCAGCACGCCACCATGCGCAGCATCCACAGCTCGGACATTGAAGTTGCATACTCTTTTTTTTACTCTTGCTTGCAGTATATTCGTGAACTATTGTTTGTACAACAATAGGCCCATTGCGCAATGACGTAATTTGTACCGTGAAAATCCTACACAGCCACGTGGGCATGGTCGTCTGGGGTGTTGAACAGTGCATCCCTGATCCCAGCGTACTCACATGTTTTACTCATGCAATCCAAATTTGGCAATGCGCAATGGCCTTATTAGTACATGTACATGTACAGTTCTCCTGGCACTGATCTTGTAGGAGGAATAGTTGTTATGGTGTGTCTCCATGGTTACTGACTCACCATGTCCTTGGTGCACTGTCGTCTTGTGTTCTGGTGACAACAGAGCGCTTCTCAACAGCAGCAGCAGCAAGTAACGTCGCCAGTCAGTGTGAAATCAGGAACCGTGCTCAGCATTCAAAGTAAGTGCGTGTAACTGTGTGTAGCACTTATCAAGCCCGCCAAGGCGCCAATGGCATAGTGGTGGCATTGTTTCCAGGTTTAAATTACTGCGTGATTATGCCAGTACAGTGTGTGTGTTCAGCACCCTGAAAAAGGTTTCATGTACTATATGTACGTGCATGTAGTTCCTCGCCCTCTTGTACACTGCTCTGAATGGCTTCTGTTGCTACTGCTCCTGCTCTCTGCTCGTATGTTTGTCTTCGTCTCTCCTTCTTTAGGCAACACATCATTGTGTAAAGTGACAGCATTGTTTGCGTACGATGCTGCCAATGACGATGAGTTGACGTTAGCTCAGGGTAGCGTGATCGCCGTCCATGAACGAGGTGGGTCCTGGTGGAGAGGTGAACTCAACGGCAAGGTTGGACTCTTCCCGTCGAACTACGTGCAGGAGGAACCAGCAGCAACAGGCATCGTCAATCCAGCACAGGCCTGTAAGTTACTCCTGTCAGTAGTGTGTGGGTGGGTGGGTGGTTGGGTGTGGGTGGGTGTATGTGTGTATGTGTGTATGTGTGTCGGTGGGTGTATGTGTGGGTGTGTGTCGGTAGGTGTATGTGTGGGTGGGTGTGTGTCGGTGGGTGGGTGTGTGTCGGTGGGTGGGTGTGTGTCGGTGGGTGTATGTGTGGGTGGGTGGGTGTCGGTGGGTGTATGTGTGTCGGTGGGTGTATGTGTGTCGGTGGGTGTATGTGTGGGTGGGTGGGTGTATGTGTGGGTGGGTGGGTGGGTGGGTGGGTGTGGGTGGGTGTGTGTGTGTGTGTGTGGGGGGGGGGGGGGGTAGGTGAGTTTCTTGAAAGTTTGGTCCTTTTTTTCTCGGCATTACTGGTGCTGACTGGCGGGCGAGGGGTCAAATGTGCGCCATCTCAGTCAACTACTACTACTACTAACTACTACTACTAACTACTACTACTGTGGAAGATGTAAACAGCTTCACTGTGCTTGGTACAAATGGGTAGAGAGCTTGGAATGTTAGCTTGTACTGTGTGTGTGTGTGTGTTCATTGCTTTCGACCATGGTGATGATTGTGTGTTTGTGTGTTTGTGTTTTTGTTTGTTGTGTTTGTCTGCGATATTGTTGTTGTTGTTTGTTGGTGTATTGCCTAATAGCTGAATAGGACTGGGTGCAGTATGAGTGAGCGTGTGTGTGCGTGTGTAAGAGCCTGCTAGACGGGCACAAACTGCACACTTGCACACGTGCTGTCGCGCGCACGCGCGCACACGCACTCTCTCCCTTCCTGCAGTCAAATTGCTAGTCCACCTTGAATCTCACACCAACGACAAGGATCGGTGGCCAGCCAGCCAGCCAACCTCTCTCCCTCTGTCTGCCTCCCCCTCACTCTGCCGCACTCTTGTTATGACTTTGCCAGTCACGCGCACCTCCTTTTCCCAGTACAATTTCTTTTGATAGGAGCCAGTTTTCTTCCAGACTGCCATTTCAAATTATATTTACGAGATTTTCATAGCCGTGTCAGGCTGCTGCTGTTGCTGCTGCATGTCACTGCTAGAAAGCAATTAGGAAATCTAGGCTATATTTCCAAAGTAGACGTGGAGTGTCTGGTGTGATGCTACCCTTCTCCCTCTACCCACTTCTCTGTGTGTGTGCACACACATGCATGCACATGCATGCACACACACATGCACACACTCACAAACACGCACAAACAAACATCCGCTCATCTACACACTCAACACATGCACACACACACACACACACACACACACACACACACACACACACACACATACACACACACACACACACACACACACACACACAAACTGCACACGCATCCTTGTCCACTCCACTTTTGTATGTGTAGTTAGAACTATTGTTCGTTCACGTTTCAAGAACGTCGTCGTCGTCGTCATCATAATCATCATCGTCACCACTGTACCATCGTACATAACAGGGCAGTGTTGCGGAGGCTAGTCTCCCCCAACTGTTCCCTTAGCCGACATGCCTGTTCTGGGCAGCAAGTCTAGTTAGCCACCACGCAAGGGCGTCATAACTCTCCCAATCTGTATGTAGAATAAGGTTTTTGCATGCCACCTAGAGTGTGTATTGTCAACGCTTTCGATTACCATAGTCTGTCCTGCCCCGCCCTCTATTCCAATAGGTTTTTCCTTCTGTATAGTTTTCTCTTTCTTTTTTTATGTCCACTGCTATTCGTTTGTCATTGTTGTCAACTTGGGCATGTTACCTCAAGCATGTCACTGTAGCTGAAGGCTAATGCATGGCACCTTACGTCACTGGTTCTTGTCGTTGGTGTGGGCAGCATAAGCGGCAACAGGCGCACGCGAAAAAAGGCAGACGGCACCCCAGCGCATACCAGTAACTCGTCGATGTCTTGTTCTTGTTCTTGTCTTGCACTGCCCTGTGCTCTGACAAAGTGTTGTGCTTGACTGTGAGCGATCCGGTTCGTGTGCTCGTGTGCTATTCTGGCTCTCAAGTACTTCTCTCTCTCTCTCTCTCTCTCTCTCTCTCTCTCTCTCTCTCTCTCTCTCTCTCTCTCTCTCTCTCTCTCTATCTCTCTCTCTCCATCTATCTATCTCTCTCCATCTATCTATCTGTCTGTCTGTCTCTCTCTCTGTCTCTCTCTCGCACGGACACACACACACGCTCTCTCTCTCTTTCTCTCTCTCTCTCTCTCTCTCTCTCTCTCTCTCTCTCTCTCTCTCTCTCTCTCTCTCTCTCTCTCTCTCTCTCTCTCTCTCTCTTTGGAATTTAGACGAAAAAACCCAGTTCACTTTGTTTCCATGTATGCTTGATGAACAGTGATACTACATCCATGTGCCTAAAGACCAAGGCGGCATGTATATCTATGCATACACACATACATATATACACATGCACATACATGCATACAGACACATGCACACACACACACACATGCACACACACACATGCACACACACACACACACACAGCATAGTCTACTTGTAGCTGCTGTAGTCATGTCCAGTTCAGATACCCACTCTGAGACCATAGCACATCAGCCATGTTAGCTGTTATGTAGCTGTTATGTAGCTGTTCCGGTACATGAACTTGTGTCTCATTGTACATGGTGATTGACTGTAGCAGAGACCACTTGCTCCTGAGTACTCACTGACAGTCTGTTCATGTCTGCACTTGACATTATGTCTCTATACACCCTAGTAGTGTGTACAGATAGTAGTCATGCTGCTGCTGGGTACTGGCAAATGTTGGCACCTGAGTCTAGTGTGGCTCATGCATGTTGTGTTGATGTGTTTGTGATTGTGACGGGTCATAGCCAGCTATAACTACACGTAGCCACACAGACGGTGGCATGCTCTGGATACTCTGTCACAGTGCATTGTACTTCACTCTCGTCCGGTTGCGCTCGGTGTGCCGTCTGCCTGCCTTCGACCGCCTGCATGCCGCTTCTGTTTTGCGTGCCCGGTGTGTGTGTGTGTATGTGTGTGCGTGCGTGCGTGCATGTGCTTGCTTGTGTTTGTGTGCGTGTGTGATGTGCAGCATGTAAAGGCATGGGTGTGTATGAAGTGTAGTGCTTATCATAGTTACAGTGGAACTTCAGACATCTGACCCCCCTTCTGGAACTGAGCTTAGTGCTTCCATTCTGAGGTGATCTGATGTGTGTTGTGTGTACGTAATTATATGGATGAACCATATCTGGGAAAGTGTAGCCTCGTTTCTGCAGTTGTCTTGGAAAACCAGATGTTCAGAGACTGAAGTTCCACTGCAGCTAGCTGTGGGAATTGGCAAGCATGTACTGCACATCTGGTTAGGGTCTGCTGGAGCGCAGGTGTGCATCAGTTGTTTGCACTGTTCAAAGTCAAAGCCTGACATGCAGTGGGGAGAACATGCGGTATAGAATGTGTGCATGGTTGATGTGGCTCCCAGTGGCTGATGCTGCATGGTTTCTGGATACACAAGCTCAGTGTGCACACATCTGACTGCCTGGTTTGGGGGGAGGCTGTCTGAGATGGATTGCACACGGCAGATCAACAACGTGCTAGATTTGCTTGTCACTGATCTGTTTGCTTGTGAAATCCTGGTGGAGATGGAGTGTGTCGGGTTAGAGCCGTCTGACTGAACATTATGTTGAGAAAGAGAACACATGACCGTGGATAGCGGGGGGGGGGGGGTTGAATATCTGTCAGTCATATACAACTAGCCACTCACAAACACATACTCACTGGTAACCGTAACTGTTACGGTGGGCTTGCCACATTCATGTTATATAGCAGTACTCTCAGGGCAGGGGCAGTATCAATTTTCGTCTATTGATTCAGTTCGTGAAACTCCGTTGTGAAACAGCAACAGTTGCTGCTCATTCTTCTGCCTGTGCACACTCACTGGTGTACTTTCTAAAGTTTCCTCCCGTCGACTACTTGATCCAACTACTGACTGTGTCCTAAAGGTGTTTGCCATGACCAATAAGGCAGTAGAACTGACTAGGAGGGATGTTTCATGTCCGTGTGTTCATGGTGCTGTTCATGTCCGTGTGTTCATGGTGCTGTTCATGTCCGTGTGTTCATGGTGCTGTTCATGTCCGTGTGTTCATGGTGCTGGTGACGGGTGGTAAACTGTAGTGTAGTCCTGACCGGTGAAATCTGACCACTCACGCAAGAACTGCGCTGCGAACTGCATGACAGATGCTAGCCTCGGCCAGGTTTGCATTGCAGCAGCAGCACCAGCAGGTTGTCAACGGCTGCTGCTTGACTCCGGACGTAGGAAGTGTGGTCAGATGTCACTTGCCAGCACTGCAGTGTGGCAGTACGTGTAGTCCTGTGTCCCGCCGAGTAGCACTGGGGTCGTAGAAGGCCATATGTTTAGGGGAGCTACAGGGTTAGAAGAAGTCCTCAATGCAGGCCCCTTCCCTCAGCATACTCTGGCGGAGTATACGGAGTCCTAAAGACTGCAGCTTGCAGGCACTTTTGCTTCGCTGCCAGAAATGTTCAATTGGTTATACTGTAAAAGCCATAATTATAACGAAGTGCTAACTCTAACGAGTTAACGAGGAGAAATCTGTCGTTAAAATAGAAATCGTTATCCAGAAATCGACACATATACTGTCCTATTGAGTGTTGAGAATGAGTGAGAATCGTTACCTTTGGTACACGTAAACTAGTCAATTTTGGGATATCGTTATATATGCGCCTCGTTAGAATAATGGCTTTGACAGTACGTGTACCAGTGTATGTCAATATTGCTGACGTGCACCACAGCCCGCAGTGATATCTCTGAAGCGGTGGATTCGGGGGTGACAATCACTACACAGCACATTAGACTGCCTGCATATGTCCACGAATACACCGGCAGGGGATAGAGCATCATCAAGCCTGTTTCCATGCTTTCATCTGTCAGATGATGGAGTGAGAACATCGAACCGAGGGTTATAATTGCTAGAGTAGCGGTAGATTTGTGACACTGACTGGGATTACTTCAAGTTCAAGGTCCACTCTAGTGCATGTACATGTATGTGTATGTAGTGGTCAGGGGTCACCTAGAACACATCACTGATGCACTGACAAGCTATGACATCATCAGCATTTGTCCATTCTATACGTTTGTAGATAGTAGCCCGCACTATGGCATGTATGGTATTACACGACAATGGTGGCGTCACACACATACATGTACACACCTACGTGGTGGCATCTTTCCAGTATCCTCTACTTGGTGTTCTGGTGTTGTGTATTTTCAACAAACTATGCCAAGGTAGATTTTAGGTGCATATCACCGACCCCACTGACATATAGCAAAATAAACGAATGCAAAATGCCCAACAATTGTACGGGATATAGTTACACGTGCTAAAATCTGGAGGAGCTGGACAATGTCCGTCTCTTTCCCGCCCGTCAGCCCCAGCTCCAGTCCCGTGCAAATGCAGTGAAGTCTGAATGTGGATCATGTGTGCTGGTTGCCAATGATAGTAACTGCAATGAGGCAGCCTGTGCCGGTGACATTCACTGGAAAGACCGACATATGTACAGTGAAACCTGACTAAGACAACCGCTCAAGGGACCTTCACAACCTGGTCTCTGTTGACAGGTGGTCTCCTTATCCAAGGTCATTTGACTGAAAATAGCATCCCCTGCAGGGCCACCGGAACCGGTCCGGTTGGTCCGGTTGTCACCTGACCAACTCTGGCTCAGGTCACCCCCCCCCCCCCCCCCCCCGGGATTCGTCTAAAACCGGGGAGAAAAAATTCTGGGTACATGTATGTGTACATGTATTATCGATCATGCATACATGTACATTTGTACATGCTCCCATACTATAGTAAGCCATGCATTGTACATGCACATTGATATCCATGCACAATTATTCTCTGTAGTGGGCTCTGGAAACTTGTGAAAGGGCCAAATTCTGCTACATGCATTTCTGACCGGATTTTTCCGAAAATGCCTGGGGGTGATCCCCGGCCCCGCACCCCCTCAAACCGGACCAACTTCGCCCGCCTTCTGGCGGGCCTGCCCTGGTCCTGGTTTTAGTGGTCGTCCAGGCCAGGTGGTTGAACGGTGTGCGTGCCGGGGTTGTCGTTTGTCACCGGGGACTAGTTGCCGGCAAGGTCTACTGTGTGTATAAGTACTTCGAAGTACTTACTGTGCTTGAGTAAGAACTGAACCTGGGATGAAGCAGCTAGGAAAGAACACGCATAGTCCTCACCCGTGCATCTCTCTGTACACTTGTACTCATAGTTAGCTACATGTACTAGCTGTACTAGCTAGCCGGTTTGGGGCCCTTGTGATGGTCAGAGTGGTTTGTTTTATTGCTCTTTCGAGTCTTTGCTGATCATGTCATGACAACTGACGGTTGTTGTCTTGTGTGATCTGTATGTTCTCCTGTACATGTGCTGCTGTCCATGCACAGGGACGTCTGCCATACATGCTGATGTCTTACCCACTGTCAGTGCGGAAGAAAGGAAACGCCAGGTAAGCAGTGTGGGAATGTGCTGCTGGCTTGGTTTACCTACTAACAAGTTACGGTATCTGTACTCTGTCTCTCTCTCTCTCTTTCTCTCTCTCTCTCTCTCTCTCTCTCTCTCTCTCTCTCTCTCTCTCTCTCTCTCTCTCTCTCTCTCTCTCTCTCTCTCTCTCTCTCTCATGATCTTGAGGCCCACGTTGCTTGTAGTGGTGTTTTAAGTAATGTTTCACCACAATGATGTGTGCCCTGGTGTTCCCTTTCTTTTCTGTGAACCAGTCACTTAGTGTATGTGTGTGTTTGTGTGCGTTCTGTTCACCTGTTGCAGCAAGCCATCCATGAGCTGATCTCCACAGAGCAGAGCTATGTAGATGACTTGATCATGGTGACAAAGGTAAACCTCACACACCGTACCACCTTGCTCGATGGTGTCTAGTGCTGCACTATCACAGGAATTCACTCTAGGCCCTGTGTATACTGAACTGCTTCCTAGTTACTGGAAATCAAGAAGCTGTTGTAGTATTTTAGTTTCGTAAAATTCGTTTTCCTGGGCTTCATATGAAATGAAAGTGCATACCTGATCAACTCTTATGCAAAACTGGTGTGGTGGGCAGTTTGTACATAACATACGCAATGTTCTTGCTTCACAAATCACAATACTTACCCAGTTGGGATCGGTCCGATGAACAGTCAGTGAAACCCTTTAATTAACGTATCACGTAGAACTTCAAGTTCAGGGCCGAACTGCGCATTATTTTGAATACAATGGCCTCGCGCTGCCTCCCTAGATGCTAGGACTCCCTTCCCCTAACATAGGAAGCCCCGGTGTAGAGAGCCAACAATACAGGGGAAAACCCCCCAGCAATCCATACTACCGGTGTAGGGAGCGAACAATACAGGGGAAACCCCCAGCAATTCACACTACCGGTGTAGGAAGCCAACGATTCAGGGGAAACCCCCAGCAATCCACACTACCGGTGTAGGAAGCCAAAAATACAGGGGAAACCCCCAGCAATCCACACTACCGGTGTAGGAAGCCAAAAATACAGGGGAAACCCCCAGCAATCCACACTACACACGGTTGTCAAGAAGCGGCAACTTAGGAAGATGGCGTCGGTTCGAGATGGCATCGTCACCGCGCACGTGCCGTGGTCCGTGACTTGCTCATGTATGCACGCAAATGCAAGTCACAAACTCACAAAGATCGTCTTTGCATTTGGAGAAAATATCTTCGACTCTCTTTGGAGGTTGGCGAGATTTGCCTAATCTTTACTTGTTTGCGTTGCCGGTATGTCCTCTCAATAATTAGAACAAAGAGAGCTGAATGATGATCGCTTCATTGCTGAACAGAAGTAACAATCAACTCTCCTCATGTCCTCAGTGCCAAAGGCAGACGAGTGCAATTCCACAACGCTAATTTCACGATGACGGAAACAATAATCGTGTACTAGTACACACTTGCCTTGGACCATTTGGTCATCCCTATTCTAGCCGCTAGTCCGCCCAGCAAGCAGATATTGACTATTACGATAAGGACAACTGCGTGAACGAGGGCTCGCCCAGCAAATACAATTTAAGTCGTGACTCCAGTCAAGAATTACTTCAATTAGGGTCTTACTCGAGAACTTCACAAATACAGGCCAAGGCACCCCACAAAACTGATAGATGGCACGAACGAAAGACAAATAGGCTAGACAAAGTGTCCCAAGTGACTGAAAACAGCAGATCTACCAAATAAGACAGCTACATGTGCCTAAACAACGATTCCAATACAGTAGAGTAGTATCAGGCAGAATGAAAGCCTTGGAAGTCCACAAATACAGCCACGACCGCCACAAAAATTGGACGACCGCCACAAAAAAATTCTCATTGCTCTACCTCCTTGAAGGGTGAAAGTTACCAGTTATCCTATAGCGATGTCAGTTTATGCCTGTTGGAACCCCCCACAGCCCACACGAAATACCTTTCAAATAATTCCAGGATGCAATTGCAGCTCCAGACAGGAGGAAGAAGAACACCGTGAAAAATAACGGCAACGATGCCCAAACTCTCGGGAAACGGCTGAAGTCTTCCTGAAGATGTTAACATTGAATAGCCATTGATTACCAGCATGGTTTGGTGACTTTAGAACTGTTTTGAGACTTAGAACGAAGCGATATCTCAAATTGGATGGAATTGTTACCTGTCAAATGCGTGGGCGAGCAGGCCAGCTGACTGGTTATGCATGAGCATGCATTGATTTTTCATGGTTCACGTGCAGAAAACTAAGTTGCCGCGATCCAAGTGCAGCTAACAGCCGTGTACAGGGAAGTGCAACAGCAGTACATCCTTGCAGCCCTGCAGTCTGGCAGAGAAACCCTGATTCATACTAGTTAGCGCAATGCTGCAAATGCTTCTCTTTTCTATGTGCCCTTGTGTATGCTGGTGCATGTGTGTGCGTTCGTGCGTGTGTGTGCATGGGTGTGTGCGTTTTGATCTCTTGCCGCTATGCAGTGCTTCCAGAAACCTCTCGTCGTTCGAAACATCATCCCGGAGGATATTATCAACACAATTTTCACTAACATTGATGACATCATCAGTGGAAATTCTATCTTCCTCCGGTATGACTTAGAACTACTAGTAGTAGTACTTCGAAGTACTTGTACTATTCTAGCAACCATAGCCTGTGGAAGTTTGTGCTTTAATTCGTCAATGTGCTGCTGCTGCTGCTGATGCTGATGCCTTTGCTAGTCCTGCTGATGCATTGTTAGTTCTGATGTCGTTAACGGCACCATTACTTGATGATGACATCATCATTACCTCATGCTGACATCACCATTATTTGATGATGAGTCATTGCTGACATCACCACTATGACATTGTATATGTTTGTGTTGCAGAGCACTGCTAGATCGACAAGTGGATGGCGTACCCTACCTGATCCCTGTCATAGGTGATCTGCTCTGTGAGCAGGTAAGTCAAAAGTGTGTGATGTTGCATTCCTACACCAGAGAGGTCCCATCCGCACACTGAGCTGTGTACAAGGTTCAAGAGCCGGGAGCTAATAACAGAAGAACGTCGTCCCGTAAAGTCTCCCTAATTTAATAAGACCCGTAAAAGTCTTCCCAACTTGAGAAGACTTGTAAAGCTCGACTGTGCGTGCTCCCGAGGACTTGTTCGTGAAGGTATTCCAGGAAGTTCACGTGGACTGAACAGAAAACTTTCTTGAGCAACAGAAGTGGGAGAATACCACACACTCATGGTCAACCAACCAGAGAAAGAGAGAAAGAAGACTGAAAAGAACATTAAAAGGACCACCGTCACATTACCTTCCAACACTGGCCTGTGCACCTGGTGCAAAGTGTGTTGACTTACTCCACAATAGGTCGGATTTCGTTGAGCGCAAATGTGATATGGGCAGGTTGAGTGCAGATGTAATACATGTATAGGTACTTGTAAATGACGTTCTGTGTGTACAGCAGTTAGATTATACAGTGTGTCACACTCTGCTTTGTGTTTGCTCTGTGTCTGCTGTGCGTATAGATACCTCGTCTGACCACACATGTTCGCTTCTGCAGCTGTCAGATCCGTGCCATAAACCTGCTTCAGGACCTGAGTGCGAGTGATGAACCATATCAGCAGTTTGAACAGGTAGGTATCATTGTGTGTGTGTGGGGGGGGGGGGGGGTGCGTTCGGGTGTGTTGTGTGTATGTGTGTGTGGGGGGGGGGGGGGGGGTGCGTGTGCGCGCGTAGTGTGTGGTGTGTGTATGGGTGTACTTGCAGGCATGTGTGTCTGTGTGTATGTGTCTTTTGTAGGTGCAAACATGTTGTGAATTCCTTACCTTGCCTAACCTTGCCACATTCATTGTTTTGCCTCTAATAAAGCTGACTTGCTTTTCCCGTTTGCATCTTTCCCTCAAACCAATGAATATTTGATTTTATACGTGACATTACAGTAGTTTCTATTGTACTATTATGACATCATTGTGACATCATTGTGACATCATTATTGTATATTGCATGGTTTGTTGTGTTGCTATTGTAATGATGCTCAGGAGTGTTCCAAGGAGAAAGTTGGTGGTGGTCTGCCCTTGCAGAGCTTTCTGTTAAAACCCATGCAACGTGTCACCAAGTATCCACTGTTGGTGCAGCAGGTAGGTGCACATACCACACACACACACACACACACACACACACACACACACACACACACACACACACACACACACACACACACACACACACACACACACACACACACACACACGCGCACACACGCGCACACACACACACACACACACACACACACATACATCACACACACACACACACACACACACACACACACACACACACACACACACACCACACACACACACATACATCACACACACATACATCACACACACACACACACACACACACACACACACACACACACACACATGAACGCGCGCGCACACACACACACACACACACACACACACACACACCATATCTCTTCGTCCCACTACACGCTCAAAACAGCGACAAGTACAGTGCTGTTCAATGAAATCCAGTCACGTCACTCAAGTACACGCCGGGCATTGCGCAGCCCTAGACCTGTGAACACTGGGCTGCGACATGATGCAAGGCGCAAACTTGAGTGACACGACTGGATTTCATTGAGCAGCACTGTACAACTGCACCTACATCTTATCGACGATGTGCCATCATGAGAATATAGATTTGATGTTTAGTATTTCTGAGCGAACTGTTCTTTCTAACGTCATTGACGAGCAGTGAACAGTATCAGCAGATGAGGAACAACATCAGTGGGTAGGAAACAACTGTCGCCCTCCGTGCAAATGCATTTTCCTGCTGGTCAAGGACTTTTTCATTCTGCTGGTGTTTGTTTGTGTATGTGTGTGCGTGCATGTGTGCGTGTGTGTGTGTCTGTGTCTGTGCGTGTGTCTGTGCGTGTGTCTGTGTGTGTCTGTGTGTGTGTCTGTGTGTGTGCGCGCACGCGCGCGTGTGTGCTTACTTGCGTTTCTATTTCAGGTTCTCAAGTACACCAGCGAAGATCAAACGGATCATAGTAACCTTGTCGCAGCCGTTGATGCTGCACAGAAACTATGTGAAGAGGTGAGCATACGTCAGTGTACTGGTACATGTACTTGAAAAGACACTCAGAACTGACAGACTGCTAGTACTTCGTAAGCGAATAATATTCGTAGCCTGAGAAAAAGAACACTTTGTAATCATCTAACTTGCGTAAGTGCCATCGATCAGGGTCTACTACGTGCATACATACCATACTGCACAGTGAGTGTGACAAATTTGTGTAGGTGTTTTTAGTTTCGTAGGTGGCGGGAGCCTTACGAAATTTACGAAATTAAAACTACTAGGAAATATAATTGACTTAAACTAGCCCAGGAGTCTTGCTCACACACACTGGTACACTACTGCTGGGTTGTAATTTGCTTTCGCTGTGTCCAGTTGTGTTGTTTTTGTTGTAGGGAATGTTTGAAATCTGCTCTGAAGTACAAAGTTCTGTGGATGTGCTTTTGATAAAACGAGTGTGTTATTGGTACGATCTAATTCCTCTGCATGTCTCTGTGTCTGCATGTCCGTCTGTCTGTCTGCGTATCTGTCTGTTTGTGTCTTTGTCTGTCTGTCTGTCTGTCTATCTGTGTGTACATGTGTGTACATGTGTGTATGTGTGTGTGTGTGTGTATGTGTGTGTGTGTGTGTGTGTGTGTGTATGTGTGTGTGTGTATGTGCACGTGTGTGCGTGTGCATGTGTGCATATTTGTTTGTCTTTCGTATCGTTTCCTCTGTGGCATGTGTTCTCACTTGTGTCTCTCCACTAGGTGAATGAAGGTGTTCGTATGCAGGAGAACTCCGATCGTCTAGAATGGATGCAGAAGAACTTTGTCATGCCAGATTTGAAAGAGGTGAGCTGCTGTTTGTTGCGGTTTGCTGCTGCTGCCTGAAGTAGAGAAAGACAAGTGCTTGCTCTAACATCTCGATTGATCATGTGTTATTATACTTGTATCAACCTCTGCTTTTGGAATAATACTATGGATGCAGGTGTGTGTAAACTACCCGCATGCATAGTGATTGTGTGATGTGTGATGTGTGGGTGTGTGTGTGTGATGTGTCTGTGTCTGTTTTCTTATGCAGTACTTTCATTTCAATTCCAATACGAACTGTCTTGGGCCAAGGAAGATATTGCGAGAAGGCATGCTGAGCAAGGTGAGAGCATCCGTGACCTGTGTATGCTTGCAGTGGGTGTGCGTGTGCATGGGTGTGTTGGGGGGGGGGGGGGGGAGGGGGGGGGGGAGTGCATGTGCGTACATGGGTGTGTGGGTGCAGGTGTATGTGTGCCACATACTGATCTAAGTCCATGCTGAAGTAGCACGCTGTGAATCAGCAGACAGCCGATGTGTGTTCTTCTTTTGTTATGTACTACTCACATGCTGCGTCTGAACGTGCTCTGTATTGTCTGCTCTGTACATGTGTGTGTGTGCGTGCGTGTGTGTGTGCGTGCGTGTGTGCATGTGCCTGTGTATGTGCCCGTGTATGTGCCTGTGTGCGTATGTGTGTATATGTGTGTATATATGTGCTAGGTTGCTAGCGGTCGTGAACTGCATGCAGTTCTATTCAATGACTTCTTGCTCTTAGCTAAGCCGGTCAACACGAATCCTTTCGCCAAGGCCTTTGGCAACGACCAGGAAGAAAAGCGCACCATGTACAGACAAGTAAGTAGGGAGTAGGGAGTGGTGCAAGTGTATGACATTGTGTTTGTTGTGTTCGCTGTCTGTTGCACTGACACTACTGTTCATGCTTTCAGTTTGCCCCTCAACCACTTCTAACATATCCCTGCTCACTAGAAGTCCTTTCTCCAATATTGAGTCATGCATGGTCTTGACTGTTATTCTTACCTAGGTGTACGATTCACTGATGCGTATAATGGTATAGGCTAGTTCTGTTTAGTGCAACCGTAATGAGCGCAGGGCAGTTGGCTGACACCACTGTCCTAGTCTCTAGTTCTGTTCAGTAATGAATATCATAGCAAGCAAGTACCACCCCAAATCCCTGCCCCAATCCCAATCCCAACCCTCTTTTTATGTCTCTCTCTCTCTCTCTCTCTCTCTCTCTCTCTCTCTCTATCTCTCTCTCTCTCTGCATGCATGTTGACTGCTTTGCTTGTTGTTTTTGCTTTCTTCTTTCTTTCTTTCTTTCAAACAGCCTTATTTCCTAAATGAGGTCCTGGTCAAGGAGGCAAATGCAGAAGAATTTGGTAAGGACTAAACTAAGTAATAAGGCGGCTATCTTTTGTCAGGGAACCTCTCCCAGAGGAGTTGCATTGGCTGTCCGCTCTCTAATTTAGATTTGAGTAGATCGGTAGTTTTGTGTAAACTGGTCCAACTCCATAGTGAATGTGATTTCCGAGTATATTGTGAATTTGGATCCGTATGTGGATGTGGTGTGTTCTGTTTGTGTTGTATGTGTGCTGTATGTGTGCTGTATGTGTGCTGTATGTGTGCTGTATGTGTGCTGTATGTGTGCTGTATGTGTGCTGTACGTGTGCTGTACGTGTGCTGTATGTGTGCTGTATGTGTGCTGTATGTGTGCTGTATGTGTGCTGTATGTGCACATGGCTGTGTATGTACATGTACAATGGCTTCGCCAGTTGTGTGGATTAGACAGTTATCTGGCGCAAGTCTTGATCTGTCTCATTCAGATCTTGTTCAGATCTCATTCAGATCTTGTTCAGATCTCATTCAGATCTTGTTCAGATCTTGTTCAGATCTCATTCAGATCTTGTTCAGATCTTGTTCAGATCTTGTTCAGATCTCGTTCAGATCTCGTTCAGATCTCGTTCAGATCTCGTTCAGATCTCGTTCAGATCTCGTTCAGATCTCGTTCAGATCTCGTTCAGATCTCGTTCAGATCTCGTTCAGATCTCGTTCAGATCTCGTTCAGATCTCGTTCAGATCTCGTTCAGATCTCGTTCAGATCTCGTTCAGATCTTGTTCGCTATTGTTGCTATATAAAGAGAACATCTGTGGGTGTACATCGAGTGCATTTGCAGATTTGTGTGCTTCTCTTGCGACGGGCGTAAACATGGTACATTGTATGGTACATGTACAGTCATGTACGCATGTATGATTGTTGTGTTTTGACATGCACCCTCTCACATAGGTGACAACTTCTGCTTTCACATCTCTCATCTTGGCAAGATTGTGTCACTACGCGCTGAAAGCAAGTCCGACCGGTAAGCTTGGAACAGTCGTATTCCTTGTCATGTTTTTTGCATTTCTGATGATTGCTGCTGCTACTGCTGCTGATTCCGCTGGTGGTGGTGGTGCTGCTGCTGGTGCTGCTGCTGCTGCTGGTGCTGCTGCTGCTGCTGGTGCTGCTGCTGGTGGTGGTGCTGCTGGTGCTGCTGCTGCTGGTGGTGCTGCTGTTGCTGGTGGTGGTGCTGCTGGTGGTGCTGCTGCTGGTGGTGCTGCTGTTGCTGGTGGTGCTGCTGCTGGTGGTGGTGGTGCTGCTGCTGCTGCTGCTGCTGCTGCTGCTGCTGCTGCTGCTGCTGCTGCTGCTGCTGCTGGTGGTGGTGGTGGTGGTGGTGGTGGTGCTGCTGCTGCTGCTGGTGGTGCTGCTGGTGCTGCTGCTGCTGCTGCTGCTGCCACCGCGGACGACGATGGTGGTGTTCATGGTGTTGCTTGAAGAAGATGTGGCTTCTCAAAATGAATGTGTGTACCTTCTAACTATAACAGCTGCTCCTGTGTTGTTGTTGTTGTTGTTGTTGTTGTTGTTGTTGTTGTTGTTGTTGTTGTTGTTGTTGTTGTTGTTGTTGTTGTTGTTGTTGTTGTTGTTGTGTATTTTGTTGTGTATTTTGTTGTGCCAGTGATGGTTGGGTGAATGATATCCTCAAAGCAAACTCTGCGTTTGTGGAGAAGCTACGTCAGATGAAGTCCAAGTCAGCTAAGGGTAAGGTCGAGCTGTGCTGTGTAATGTGTACTGGGTACTGGGTACTGTGTAACTAGCATTGTTGTCCGTACTTGTATGTGGTATGCGCTACTGAGTCTGTCCGGTCACTGCCTGATATGCAGTGCATCAAGTTACTGTTGTGTTCTTCTGTGATGCATATCTGTTAAGCTGATGTATGATTATGTTTGTGTTGTATGTGCTCCTTGTTTGCAGCTCGTGAGCAGTCGGCAGCTGGTGGAGTAGCTACCGCTGTGATACATCTAATAGATGGGAAAAACCTGAAAGCATCAGATCCAACTGGTTAGTGTGAATGCTGTCTCTCTCTCTCTCTCTCTCTTTCTTCTCTCTCTCTCTCTCTCTCTCTCTCTCTCTCTCTCTCTCTCTCTCTCTCTCTCTCTCTCTCTCTCTCTCTCTCTCAAACACACACACACACACACTACTACTACTACTACTACTACTACTACTACTACTACTACTACTACTACTACTACTACTACTACTACTACTACTACTACTACTACTACTAGCAGCATGACTGCCCAGATGGGCAAGTGTCACCCCTATGAAAAGGGGACCAGAAAACGGGAGTCGGATCACAGGCAGGACCGCGAATGTCTGGCTAGGTCCTGCTGCCGGCGGAAATTGCGTTTACAATGTGGGCAGCTGAGGGGCAGAGCTGCTCTCTCAGCAGCAGATGGTCTCGCACCACGATTGCAGTTGTGACGCCTGAACCCGGCCGCAGAACGGAAGCATCGCTGACATGTTGGGCAGTGCTGCTGGCAACAAGCTGAAAGTGGCACAGACAGACTGACTGTTGGTGTAGGTGAACTCGTGACAGGCTGGCATCGATGAACAGAGTAGCCACCCTTGCTGCGGAACCACCTCTGGCAGTTCTGGCACTGCACTGATCCACGCTGGAGCTGGATGGGAAGCCGTCTCTGAGTGGTGCACTTGTGCCACGTTCGATCGGAGACCCGTGAGAAGTTCCGGTCACACACTGCGCAATGCACAGGCTTGGGCATGGTGGAGCTCGACTGAGGGGCAACCCGTACTTCCCTCCACTGTTGGCGGTCCTGAGCAAGGATGAACCACTGAGATGGCTGCTGCAGTGCAAACTTGAGGTCGGTCATCACCGTGTCCTTCCACCGTCGCCGGGGACCACAAAAAGGCCGAGGCACAGGTAGCCACCCAAAGAGGAGTTGGAGGGGGGTGCGATCCTCATCCATACGCGCAACGTGCACACACACATACACACACACACACATACACACACACACACACACACACACACACACACACACACACACACACACACACACATACACGCACACACGCGCGCACACACACACACACACACACACACACACACACACACACACACACACACACACATAGTCATATCTATTGTGTTACTTTCTGGCCTACTAGTTTTTGTTGTGTTTTGTTCTATACACTCCTGTGTTTCGTGCATGTGCATAATCATGTGTGTGTTTGTCTTGTGACTGCTGTTTTTCTTCCATTTCCTATGCCTATGTGCCTGTGTTCATGCATGGGTGTGCCTTTGCATGTGTGTGTGCCTATGCATGTGTGTGCCGTTGCATGTGTGTGTGTGTGTGGTGTATAGGTAAGAGTGATCCATACGTACGCGTAACTCTTGGGCAGCAGGAACATCGCTCTCAAGTCATTCTGGAAACTCTTAGTCCAACATGGGATCATAAGGTTTGTGACGAGAGTGTCTTCATTCATACTTTCATCACCCAGCTGTGCTGGTGCTAGGGATATCAGCGAACGCACTGCGCAGCCCATCTGCGCAGGTCAGCCTGGCCCATCTACGCGCGGCCGACAAGAAAACTCATGAACACTTTCATTTTTTTGCAAAATAAATCGTGCGAAGAAGATGCAGGAATAGTAGCATCCAGAGACTCTCAAACAAATTCATGGTCCATCGCTTCTGACAATGGCAGTGAAGACATCAGGGAGCTGATTGCAGCAACTCTCTACCAAGCGCGACGCTGGTTACTCACCAGGGCAGGGCGCTTCCATCGCGCAAGAAATGGCCGCGAGCGAGAAATGCAAGTCCGATTTTGGAACGATCCAACCAGGGAAATCCCTTGAAAATTGGCCTGAACACCTCTCATACTGGTGTTTCACGATGTGCAAACTTTCAGAGAAATCGACGGGGGGGGGGGGGGGGGGGGACGTGGTGAGTACGTGGGTCCTCCGTATCGCGTATGATTTGAATGGTCGCGAGGACAGAAGAACAGTAATTTTACGACTCCCAGCGGTCCAAACAGACCGCGGCCATGTTTTCTCTGTCGGCCGCGATCAGTCGATCACGTTCAAAAAATCGATGACGCAATGCATGCGCAGAGGCCTGCGCAGTACGTTCGCTGACATCCCTACTGGTGCTGGTGATGGTGGTTGCTGTTGGTGCTGGTAAACCCCTGGCTGGTGCTGGTAAACTCCTGGTCTACCTGTGTTGCTGTTAAACCCCTGGTAAACCCTGGTCTACCTGTGTTGCTGGTAAACCCCAGGTAAACCCCTGGTAAACCCTGGTCTACCTGTGTTGCTGGTAAACCCCCGTTAAACCCCAGGTAAACTCTGGAGTGGTCCACCTGTGTTGCTGGTAAACCCCTGGTAAACCCTGGTCCACCTGTGTCGCTGGTAAACCCTGGTCCACCTGTGTTGCTGGTAAACCTCAGATAAACCCCAGGTAAACCCTGGTCCACCTGTGCTGCTGGTAAACCCCAGGTAAACCCTGGCCTACCTGTGCTGCTGTGTTGTACTGGTACCGGCTGGATTTAGTCTTGGCACAAAGTGACACTGCCCTGGTATGTTTTCTATGAATCTATTTAGTCGTTGTGACGCGTGACGTGTGTTATGTGCTATTATCGTTTTGCTGATGCCACTATTGTCACTGCTGTGTGTGTGTGTGTGTGTTTCTGCAGATGGTGTTTAATTTGCACGACCTGTCATCCGAAGTGTTGTGTTTCACTGTGTTTGATCATGATCGGTTCAGTCCTGATGGTTAGTAGTGACCTGCTGCTAGTGACACTCTGCTGCTTACACTGCCAACACTGTGCAAATTGTGTGTTAGGGGTCCTCTGTTAGTAACATGTGTGTGTGTGTGTCCGTGTGTTTGTGTGCATGACTTTGTGTATGTGTGTGTATTTGCGTACATGCATGTACAGTGAGTGCTGTCGCTTGATGTGACACACTCATGCAGTAAAATAATTCCGAAAAATGTAAACTGCAACATGGACTGTTGGTCAGCAACCAGTTTTGGTCTTGTTGCTTGTGTAGTAATGTGCTTCAGTTGCTTTCTTTTCTGAGCTATTTCACTGTCAGGATCTTCTTGTATGGACAGGTAGACAAGGATCACTGTTTGGTGACATACCTGTACCTGAAACGGATATTGCCTTGCCTTTTGTGTGTGTGCGTGCGTGCGTGTTTGTCGGCGCATTACAGATTTCTTAGGCCGAGCTGAGATAAATGTCAACAGTTTGACAGGCCCCGGTCCCTGGAAGAAAGTGCTTGTCTTGCAAGGTGTGGACACTGGAGAGATTCGTCTCAGTATACAACTCATTCCCAAGAAGTCATGACCACCGCAACCGACACTCGCGCGTGAGCTGTGATGATGTTGTGATCACTGTGTGTTTGTCAGCATGCCTCTGCTCTGTAGTAGCAGTAGCTGTTGTATTGCTGCTGTGTGCGTGTGTATTCGGCATCATGCTCCTACTTGTATATCGTGTATCTAGAACAACATATTGTCAAGTGCTGTGTGTACTGCTATCATGGTTATGTGTGTGCTGCTGCCATGGTTACGTGCTTGTTGCTGCCATGGTTACTAGCTCTGCTGATTTCTCTACCGCTATGGGTGGAGCAGGCACAGCTCCAGCGTTGAACTGTTTCCTCTTCGTGCAGCCACAGCATGGAGATGGTATGTTTGGCGCTTGGATAGCCTGGACATTGCCTTTCTTCAACCCTCACCCTTGCCACAGCTTTCTTTATCCTGCCTCCTGCTCTTGACGGAAACTGCTCTTGCTGCGTTCCTGGCTGATTTGGCAAGATGTACCTAGGTGTGCTGCTACTAATCAACTAATGACATCTTGCGAGGCACTTCACTGTTGGGTCTCTCCAATATCCAGTCTAGTATTACTGTCTACAGCTCACTGTTTAGCATCCCATTATTCCCTGTTTACCACCGGCAAGTAGTAAAATACGTGCTACCCTCTGTGGGAGTAGTAAAATACTTACTACCCCCTGTTGGTTACCGGTCGCTCGTCAGTATCGTCGTGCTGCTCTGCATTTCTGCTTCTTCCCTATTTGTTTTACTATTTTTAAAGATCTTTACTCGAATTTGTGTCCTGGCAGGATTGGGCCGACTTGTGACACAACACCCTTTGTCTGGCGTAGTAGTAGTACTGTAGTAGGCTTTTAACGATAGCATGTTCAACTTCTTCTACTGGAACGGCGCTGGCTTCTTTCTCCCTTATAGGTGTACATAGAACACAACAATTATTTACTTTCCACCGCTTTTTGTTTTTGTTTTTCTGTTTTTGTTTTGCTTGTCCGCGGTGCCCTGCCCACTTATTTTAATTGAAACTATTTTCGGCACTTCACACAAAGAGAACGAGATAAAAAACAAGTTCATCATCAAAGATTGAAAAATCACCCAGTACAGTGTTGTACATTGTATGAGATCAGCCGTGTTGTGCTGACTTTGTGATGCTCCCTTGTACAAACAGGTGTGTAAGAATACTAAGGGGCCATCCGTAAATATAGATATTTATTTAGAAACGAAAACTAGTCGTTTAGGGGGGAGGGGGTTGGGCGCCTGTTCGTTTCTCGAAAAATATCGATGTACATTTTGTGTGCGTGAGCATAGAAAAAAGACCAAAAATATCGATACTATGTACCATTTGTATGTGTTCGTTTCTCAGGGAGGGGGAGGGGGTTGAAGAGAAACGACTAGTTTTCGTTTCTAAATAAAATTTAATATCGGTATCTACGAAAGGCCCCTAAGCTGTCCCTGCGGGAATTTGCGGAAAAAACTCTCGAAAACTTGCGCAAGAAATTGCGGCAGAAAACAACAAAAAATGCGACGAAAAGTGCGGAATGATGCAGAACTTTCCAGGAATTCGCGGAATTATTTACAGAAAATTGCGGATTTGGGCCAAATCACGAAATTTGTTGCATCGTATATCTACTCAGGAGTATTCCGAGTCGTACTATGCAAATAACCTACAGGATCCTGGAAAGCACTGCGTCAAAAGTGCATAAAAAAGTGAGATATAGTGCAGAAAACAAAAAACGCGGAAAATCGCGGGTTTGGGCGAAAATCGCAAAAATTGTTGCATCCGTGGAATCGCGATTTCCTGGAGGGACAGCCTAAGGGCCGGGTTCCACTGCGGCTCCGCTGCTCGTCTTTCGCGGCTTGAAACGTCATCATTACCACAGTGACCGCGGCTCGAGCTGGAGCAGCGAGGCCGCGGCTCACCGCGAGCTTTTGCTACGATTCTTGACCAAAAACTGCGAGCCGCAGTCGCGGCTCGACCTGTTTCCCGTACTTTGCATTGTTTCGTACGCCAGAATTTTAAAATTCAAAATTTAATTCGTTGCGCAGGCCAGAACACGAGAATTTTTTGGATTTCGCGCGCGCGCAGGCAGGTGAAACGTCATCAAAAAGTGTAGACCACGACCGCGGTACCGCGAATGGCGAGTGTCGATGGAACCGCGCTGCATGCAGCCAAGTGCCGCGGAGCCGCAGTGGAACCCGGCCCTAAGATGCTAGCAAGCAGGGAGTAGTACAATACCGTGGTATTGTACTACTCCCTGCTAGCAAGAGTCCACAATAGATAGACAAATGGCGCTACGATATAGGCAGTCTAGTAGTCACCTAAAATTAGGGAGTAGGTATTTTACTACTCCCTGCCTAAAAAATATTAAAAATTTGAAAATATTTTGAAGGGTTTTGTAGGTAAGCATGGATCTATAAGGAGGAATCAAGAAGATTTGAATTTCGTTGATCAAGTATTAACTAACGCTGAACAACTGCACATCAAGGAAATAGTGGAGTTATAAAACTGCAGTAGCTTTTGTTGCATTGTGTATTCACAAACAACCATGTAAGAACATTGCATGCATTTGTTGGATGTATTGGGTGTACAGCACTGTGTGTGTGTGTGTATGTTGGTGAATATCAATATGTGAATGCCATGGCTGCTCAGTGATTGCCCAGTCCTGTCGTTGTGTCACCAACAGGCATGCTGGGAGCTGTGCATGTTTGTACTCTGCGCACTAGTACTGTATGTAGTATGACAAGGGGATGGTTGGCTGCATGAGCATGGACAGCCTGTCACCGTGTCATCAATACATCAATACATCATGATCAGCTGACTGCTGTTTACATGTAGTCCATGCTAACTGTATACAATCATGACTGTACTCTTACAGCAGCTAACTGTACACATAGGTACACTATACATAGACATTGTCACTGCTGTCCTGGCTGTAGTGTATTCCGTAGCCATCCCGCATCGCAAACTGACCCTCTGCTGACGTTGCATGTTGCTGCTGCTGCTGCTGCTGCTGCAGCCGCTGTCCATCTGCCTGCTGCTGTTGCTGCTGTCGCTCTTGCTGCTGCCGCTGCTGCTGTTGCCAATCACGTCTGTTGTCTGTTGTCTGCCGTGGCTTGGGTAAGTTGCGTGAGAATGTACTAGAAGTGACGCGCATGCCGGCCCAATCGTCCTCGTCCAGATCTGACTCTTGAACATCGATGACACGTCGCTCCTTGATGCTCGCCGATCGGATGCCGAGGTGCAATGGCTGCAGCTGCTGCTGCTTCTGCTGCTCTGGGTCCAGCTCCTGCAAGTACATGGCTGCATCAGCACTGCTACTCTCGGCAGCAAAGCTGTCGCTTTTCGTTAAGTTGCGTGTAAACGTACTGGACGTGACTTCCATATCCCCCATCAGCTGTGCTGACCTTGCACCCAGTGATACAGGTGATGCGAGTGACCCCAGTGAGGTGGGCGAGGTGGGCGATGTGGGTGAAAGAGAAATTGAAGCGGTTCGCGCAGACGACGACACTGGGTGCGTGGGGGATTTCCCCGGCTCGGGCGCATGCGCTGCGGCAACACTGCTGACGATTGTGCTGGTGCTGACGATGCTGTGCGTGTCATTCTGTATGCTGACCTGGAATGGCCGCTGCCTAGGTCGGTGTGGCGATGACAATGCCTGGGGCGCCTCCGCTCTTCGTAGGTGCTCGCGATCATTGGCGGCCGTTTCAACCAGTGCTACTGGTTCAATCAGCTGTATGTCAATGTCGGCGTCCACGTCATCAATCTGTCTACCTTCCAGTTCAAACACTTGTACTTCATCGGGCACCAGCAACTCGGAAGTTTCCATGCCAAGCTCGTCGAGACGGCCTTGCAAGTAGTCGTCTACTTCAGCCTCTAGTTGTGTTGCTGCCAGCAAGGACATGGCTGTTTGATCGAGATCAGCATCCAGGTCCATCTCCGCGCCACCCTCGGTCTGCTCCTCCACGATATACGCGCCGGTGGCGTGGAAGATGTCATCGTTGTCTACATCAGCGGTGGCGGTGGCTGCACTGCTGTTGGTGTAGTGTAGGTCTAGACCAGTGTCACCGATAGCTACAAGTGGTATAGCGTTGTGATCTTCATCACCCATGTACATACCATCGTCCGCACTAGCAAACACCATGCCGTCGTGCCTCATCTTCTCGCGCGCCAGTTCATTGTATTCGATGTGAAACGTGTCCAGGTCTGTCTCTCCGCCACCCTGATCGTGGTAGTCCATCACGTTGCACCGGCCCTCCATGTCGTGCCGGGTGTCGCGCGCGTACACCACTGCCGAGTCGCCCGCTGCCATCTCCTCCGCTCTCAGGCGGTACTTTGCAAGCTTGCGCTGCACGTACCAGCGCTGCGACATGATGAGCATGGCGACCAGGACGATGAAGGCCAGTGCGGCAATGAGAACGATGGTGATGATGTCGGACGGTGTCTGATCGTCGGTCACCGCGCTGTGTCGATAGAGGCACATGTACGCATTGACCAGATCACGGCACTCGGTGGCTGCGTCCGGACACGGATTACTAGCACATTCGTCAATGTTCGTTTCACATCTTCCCCCTGTGAATCCTGGCCTGCAGAGACACTCACCACCTGGTAAGCTAGTGCCGCCATTCAGGCATGGCTTGATAGGACAGCTAGGCTCGGGAAACTCCACCTTTACACCGTCGGTCTCCACAACTTTGAAATACTGTGACTGTGCAGCCAGCGGCAACTCTCGATCATCCAGCGTGATTCTGCCTTGTAGGCATACTTCAAAGCCCTCGCTGGAGTCACTCAGGAAGAAGTCCGTGTTGGATATGACCAGTGTGTCTTCGCTACTGCTGGACTGAGTACTGATGGTCGTTGCCGTCTCCGTATCGTTCACCGTACGCACTACACGCATATACGCAGAGCGGCCATTACGGAACACATTTACAGTGTGCCATCGGCCAGTATCGACACGGTCCGGAAACGTCAATGTCGCCGCCAACCCCGTTGTCCCTAACTTGTACTTGTACTGAAGTTTTCCTCCTTCAAGCTGCCGAAGAAGAAGAAGAAGAAGAAGAAGAAGAAGAACAACAACAACAACAACAACGATGGCGGCAGCGACAGCAACAACACCAGCAGCAGCAACAACATGCAGATACAAATATCTCAGAATGTTCCTCCAGTATATGCAGGAAAAGAGAACATAAGTTGTGAAGTGTTTCCTCGGCGTGAAAAGCGCTGTCACACTTATATGTAGAAGACAAACTTCAGGCCCTTCACAAGCAACATTTCCGAACGTTCTCTCTCCTCCCCCCACGTTTCATGGTTTCTTCACACTTGCACCAAGAGTACATAACCCCCCAGAGTGTGCAACGCCGATCCAGCTCTGTGTAGGGTCTTGGTCGAGCGGAATCGGATCTTCTGATGTCATGCGTACACTTCACACCAGCGCAAGGCCGGTCTCGAGGCAGGGCACCATTGTTTTTGATCCAAGAGTACCCGCGACTCCCCGGGTTCCCCTCAGATGTGTACGGTATTATGACGCAAAGATCCGATTCCGCTCGACCAAGACCCTATGCAGAGCTGGATCAGGCGTTGCACACTCTGGGGGTTATGTTCTCTTGCTTGCACCTATTTGTCCTTCCTTCTATGTGTATGTTCTATGTGTATGTGTATGTGTATGTGTATGTGTACGGGGTCACGCATTTGACAGTTGTTGTTTTTGGCTACTCTTCATTACACTGTTCTATCAGCTCCCTGCTCTGCTTTGAAAAACAATTCATTCACGGTTCTTGCCGGTTCCTATGCTTTTAGCCTGTATTCCATCTGATGAGAAAGGTATGACAGTACACGTGTTCAGAGTAAAATACCGCACATGTACTTCAGAGTACTTCCCTGGTGCAGAGAGTTCACAGAGGTCAGAATGTTCCCAGAGTTCACAGAGTGCAGAGAGTTCACAGAGTTCAGAGAGTCAGTGACACCCACCTGTAGTATAGCGTAGGATGAGTCCCCTGACAGTCTGCCCAGCCGGATAAGAGAACCGTTTGAGGAGAATGTGCGCAAGCGTATCTCAATGCTCGACATACTGCGTGCATACTCATCTCCACCGGTCTGGCGCCTACGCCGTGTGTTTGCACCGCTGCCTCCGATGAACTGGTATTGGACGACTGCCACGGGTAGAGTGTTGATAGTTGCCGCTGTGCACATGAACATCCAACACACCAGTACAAACTAACATCCAACACACCAGTAAAAACTAACATTACTAGAGAGGTTCCGCATAACGTACCGTAAAGTCGCGGATAAAAGCCGGGTTTGCATACAAGCACATCGCGGATAGAAGCCTGAAAATCAAACGGGTCAAATGCATAATAAGCCTGTCGCGCGTAGAAGCCTGGCTTCTATGCAAGCGCGGATCGGGTAGGTCAAGAGTTTATGCACTATGTACGGTGCATAGTAAAACTGCCGCCGTACCGGTAGTCAGTGGTAGATCTACACGTGTCGCGCGCAGAAGCCTGGCTTCTATGTGCATACAAGCATGGCATAAATATCAGTGGTGCATATAAGCATGGTGTGCATACAAGCCTGGTTTGCATTAAAGCGTGATGCAGAAAGCGGCTTATATGCTTATAAGCCCGGCTGTTACCCGCGACTTTACGGTAATTACGCTAGTAAAAAACGTAATCGATCTACGGAAAGTCTTACGTAAACTGCATGCGCATCTGTGTTCCGCCATACAGAGTTTTCAAATCACGTAGCTGCCCTTGGCAACTCCGAACGTGGCAGTGTACGACCAGATCGATCTGGGGAGAGAGTCATACATTTGCACCCCAATCCACTTACGGACCAGCTACGTTTTCAGAGCCCTATCTACGTACTCTACGTAGACAACTTTCCGTAAGTGGAGTGCAAACTCGCGAATTCACGGGGTTTTCCCGCCCACTAACGTAAAGTTGCTCAACTTTACGTAGTGCAGAACCTCTCTACTATTACCATTTTTTCAACTTGACAATTGTATTCCTTCAAGACAGCTATGTAGGAAGAAAAAAGACCAACTAACACAGCTACTATGGTACACTTTGTGCTTGCAACTGTACTAGAAACAACTCAGTGACTGGCATTGTCACACACGCACGCTCACGCACGCACACATGCACAAAACGCACCCCAGTATTCAGTGAGAGATGCATCACCTACCGACCATGCACCTGCTGGATGCCAGCTTGCTGACGTCGCACTGGCAGACGCCGGCTAGTTTACTCTGAACAAGCTGTGCCTGGCAGAAACCTTCGCCACAGTCCATGGTAACACACGGTCCACTGAGAACGCCGCAACCAAGAGACACGGAGCGGTTAGCCAAGCGAGGCACCACGGCAAAGTTGACTGGATCCACCGTGGGACCGCCGAGGCGCAGCTGTCGTATACACACCGCCGACTCGCTACTCTGCTGCGGTGTGATCTCCCCCCGGCGGCTGCTGCTCAGTCCTGTCAGGTTCGTCAGGTAACTAGCATGTGCACTGTCCACACCACCAACGAACAACGGCGAGTTGAGTCTCGGCATTGAACTACATGCGGGTGTGTTGCCATGGTAACAGATAAAAGAGAACAAAAAGCATTTGGAAAAAAGTTCCCTTGTCTTTCGGAAATTCCCTTGATGCACTGATGAACAAGTGTATCTCATTGCAAGTCACAGGTCGTTGCAATGAAGGTTGAGACAACGTCACAGAATGATTTGTAGTCACCTGATGATTGCCAACCCGGCATGAAACTCTGAGCTGTGACCTCGTCTCAACCTTCACTGCAATCAGACCTCTGGGTCACCGCTCCGCTGCCTTCGGTATTGAGCACTTTTAAACTGTCTTTGGCCGGCTGAAAAAGGTTTTCACTGTGTCTCATTGCAATTCAATAGAGAAAATAATTGGTAATTCGATATTGCGCGTGTCATTGCCATTGTACGTGAACCAGTGCAAACAGTGCAGGTAAACACTATCGGCAAGGTTGATGACAAGTTGTCAACAGACTAACATGGTGCACTGCACTAGATACAGAGAACGACAGCAAGCAAAGGACTTACCAGAGTTTGGAGGTGAACATGTCAGATTGCTGGCACTGCACTGCAGTAAGTGTGTCTACGCTTGATCTACACCAGTCTATCTGCACCTTGATCATCTGTTACATGTCACGGTGTGAGGTGTGTGTGTGTGTTATACGTAGTGCGCAGCAGACAACAATGACAACAACAGCGACAATGATGGCAATGACAGCGATAACAATAACAAAGAATCAATGAGAACAAGTAACAAGGATAGTTTTAATACCACCACCTTCAACCCAGCACACTACCGCTAGGTCAACATACCACCGCTAACTCAGTACACCACCGCTTAATCAACACACCAGGAACCACCGCTACCCCAGTGCACCACCGCTACCCCAGTGCACCACCGCTACCCCAGTGCACCACCGCTAACTCAGTGGTCCACACGGCTACTAACTTCATAGTGATAATCCACACCCGCACGCTAACTCAACATGCCCAGCAACCCGCGATCTCTGCACTGCACAACCTCTAATCTACGTCTTAAGAAAGTACGCTACCGGTATACTTCGAAGTATGTATGTGGTCCGCAATGTCTTTAAATACATCGACATGCATGTGGCGCAAAGCCGTCACTCGTGCATGTACATGTCCAGGCATGCAACAGGCGTGAACACTATGAAGCACATACTAGTAGCCAGCCAGCCAGCCACTGACTGTCTGTACAGCGGAGAGAACTACAGTGTATCGGGCAGCCTATCAGAGTAGATGTAGATGAAGGCATTGTTCCAAGAGTGATATTGGCTGGTACAGTGTACAGTGTACATTGTACAGTGAGCGGGTGGGTGTGTATATCCTAGCAGTAGGCTAGGTCATACCTGCTGTGTCCACGACACCTGCACACTGTGCCACTGAGCATCGGCCACGGGTAGCTGCGGTGTCAAGCGGCCACCATTACATCCCAGCTGATAGGCCACCACCACTCTTCCATCTTCCAGACCAATATGAACATGTGCGGCGGGCATGGATTGTTGAGAGGAGCAGTTGTGCTGCATTGATAGCAAGCCTGGCAAGTCGACATTCCTAGCAAACAGGATTATTCCATTCTGGTTGGACGTAGAGAATTGCAGAATTAGCTCAAAGACATTCATCTGCAGCTGCTCCAGCAGTAGGTAGCCCCCTGGGCTGACCTGTACACTATTGTCCTGGGCACATGTTGAACTTATGCCATCGCAGCGTATGGTCTCGGGCACTAGACTTCCTAGAGTGGAGTATTGGCAGTTGGTACCCACAAAGCCGGCGGGACAGGCACACGTGTACTGGGCAGCATTAGCACTGCTGCTGCTGCTGCTGCTACACATGCCACCAGACAAACAAGGGTTAGACGCACAGGCGTTGACCACTGCAGAGCTGCACGACACAGACATTCCATCGGCACTGCTGCTGCTGCCACTGGTCACGCGCTGTACTGGCAGGCAGTACTGCCAACTGTCCGCGCGGAAGTCCAGCGAGTCAAACGTCAGCAGATCTGCCGTGCGTGGTGTGAGTGTGTGGTTGAATGCAAGCTGTTGATAGCACAGGCCGGATACTGTACACGTGGTGGTGGATGAGCAACGTGTTTCACTTGCCGTCTCCAGCTGATAGCCGGTGGCTTGTTGTAAGTGTATATGATGACGGTACAATGCATCATTGACCATGCTCTGCTCCAGCCGTGTCTGCCCACCAGATCCCAGTGCTAACAACACACTACTATTGTCTATCGGCTGAACGGACACGATCTGCACTGACCAGCTCCAGTTTGATTGCCGTATGAACCGGTTTATCTCCTCCGCCAACACAGACATAGGGAAGGTTGTCGTTGGAAACGACGAGTTCAGCAGCTGCCGTGCGGTTACCGACGTGGCGCGGAGAACGGTGGCGTTGGCCAGTGACGTGTTTCCAATACTACGAACGTGGATAGTGATGTTAGTCAGTGTGGAGCTGAAGCCATCATTGATTTCTACACGTACCGTATAAACACCCGGTGGTATGGTGGATGCCTGTGACACGCTCAACACACAGCTATACGGTGACACGGAGAAATAGCTGCCAGGTTGCTGGTGTACAATGCGGTAGCCGAGCGCCGACTTGTTGGTGTCTACGTCCACTACACTAACACAGCCAACAATGACCGTAGCACCAATTAGAGAGTGCTGGTTGAAGATGAACCGCTGATTCTGCCCAACCGGTGCGTTGTCGTTCAGGTCTTCAATCACTATGGTGACGGTAACGCTGCTGCTGAGCGGTGGATCGGCCGTGTCGTTAGCCACTATAGTCACTGAGTAAACCGGCTGTCGTTCATAATCAAACACAGCCGTCGCCACGAGTGACTCATTGACAATGGCAAAACCAGACTTGGGCGAGGACACAGAGTACTTCACATCTTGATTCCTATCGTCATCGGTGTCGTTAGCAAACAGCTGTGTAATCACTTTGATGCCGACCAGGTTCTCCGGTACTTTAAACACACTCGACGCCACCGGCCGATAGAACACAGGAGCGTTGTCGTTGACGTCTCTCACCATCACTATGACAACGGCCGTGTCGCCCTTCACCGGCTCGTAGTCGTCGGTAACAGTGACATTGAACACGTACACTGACTGCGCTTCACGGTCCAGGGGAGCAGTGGTGGTTATAACACCAGTGGTGTTGTCAATTTGAAATGGCAAACCTTGGCCAGATGGATCAGTGTCAGCGGCAATACCATACAGCAAGCTACTTCCCAGACCAACGTCTCTATCCACTGCTGTTACCATGGTGACGTACGTTCCCGCGGGACGGTTCTCAAAGATGCGCACCTGGTAGTTTTCAGGCTGGAACGTCGGCGCAAACTCATTCAGCGGCAGAATGTTGACAATAATGAACGCCCTGCTAGCCAGCTCCGGCCGCCCTTCATCCTCTACCTTAATGCTGATGTTGAATATCACTCGGCTTTCATAATCAACCTTCGTTGCATCAAACACGGACAATACTCCAGTGGTTGGATGCAGTTGAAAAGCTCCGTCTGATCCGGTGACAATGAGATAGCGCAGTCGTGCATTGTGCGGCAAGTCATGATCAATGGCGCTGACTTGGAACAGCGATGTTCCCATGGTGACGTTCTCAAACACGGACAACTCGTACGGCAATGCCAGGAACTCTGGTGTGACGTCATTGATATCGAGAACCGTGACGTTGACCGATGTGTTAGAGGCAAGCTGTGGGTGACCTTGATCATGCACCTCCACCACCAGTGTGTACTGGTCTTGGATTTCACGATCAACGTCTTTCAACACTTCTACAAGACCGAGACTTGGCCGTGCCAGCGCGAACGTTCCATTGAACGGCGTCAGCAAGTTGAACACCAGGACAGAGTTGTTACCGGTGTCCCGGTCATTGGCCATGGTGTCAATCAGAACGAACGGCACGGGTGAGTGCTCCGTGAAGCTCACATCATACATGTTCTGTGTGAAGACTGGCGGATTATCGTTCACATCGAGCACTGTGATTGTGACGAACGCCAGACTCTTACGGCCTCCGCCGTCTTCAACCTGAACCGTCATAAAGATCACAGATGCTAGTTCATGATCTAGCGGCACAGCAGTGGAGAGCAGGCCCGTGTGTTTATCAACCTGCACATCGGACACGTGCGCCGTACCACGCACCTGCAGGATGGAGTATTGCAGAGGGCCAAACAATGCCGAGTCAGCATCGCTGGCGTTGAGCATCAGCAGTGGTGTGTTGGCCGGTGCATTCTCCACCACTGTAGCCGTGTTGTCAGTGGCCGTGAAACGAGGTCCATTGTCATTCGTATCCAGTATGGTAATGTGTACGCTAGCAAAGCCACTGAAACGTCCGTCGTCGGCAGATATGTTGAGCACATACTGTGTCCTCTGCTCGAAATCCAGCCGAGCTGCCGCGTAGAGCACGCCGGAATGCTGATCGATGCTGAACGCCGGCAGCTGGGCACTGCTATCGTCCACACTGCCACTGACTATGATGTATCGAGGAGCTGGACTGCCGCTATCCACATCCTTGGCAAGTATCGGTCCATTGGTCACATTGAGCGGCACAGAGAGTGCACTGTTCTCCGTAATACTGGCGTGATACACTGGCTCAGTGAACTTGGGTGGCGAGTCATTCGTGTCCAATATCGAGATGATGACCGTAACTGACATCAGCTGGGAAGAAGAATTCTTACACTCCGTGCCATCAGGCAGCACGGCCAGGATGACGACCTCAAATCGCCTCTCAACTTCATAATCAAACATGCGTGCTGTCAACAGGCGAGTGCCGTTGATGAAGAACGGCACAGAGGCATTGGCTAGTACGTAGTCAAGCGACTGCACGTAGTCAGTACGGCCAATGGGTGCAATGGTGTCAGACACGCTAACTAGACTATCTACATGTTCATTCTCCGCGATGCTTCCTTGCAGGGTGATTCCCGTGTAAGTCGGGCAGGAGCCAACCAGCGGTGGTAGAATGGTGACTGTCAGCTGTGCTTCGGATGTCTGCGCCCTGCTGTCTTGCGCTATCACTCTGAGAACCCTAGCTAGTGATGGGTATGATGGTATAGGTCTAATGGTGATGATGACGCCACTGCTGCGGTTCAGAGAGAACCCGCTAGACTGGGCAAGGGGCAGCGAGTCTCTGTGCCAGGTATAAGTAATAGGCAGATTAGCGGAATCCAGAGCATTAGCCTGAACATGTGCAACTCGGCTTGAAATCGGTATGTCCGAGGCCAGGTTTGCTGCGTAGCGCGTCTGGTTGAAGATGGGTGCAACCGTTGCCGGAGACGCCGTGGTTGTTATGCGCACGGTCAGAAAGCCAAGCAGTGCCGGCTGGCCGTGATCCCGTGCCCTCACACCCAGTGTGTAGGTGTCACTGCTCGTGAGTGCAGTGGCAACACGCAGTGTACCGGTTACGCTGTCCACGACAAACGGCGGTGCTATGTGAGATGAGTTCACAATGGAGAAGGACACTTGTGCGTTCGTACCTGCATCGCAATCGCTCACCGCAAGCGTGGCGATGACTATGTTTGGTGCCGATGATGTCAGAATGGTATACTCCGCGACAGGGGCCTCGCTGAAGACGGGATTGCAATTGTTCACATCCAGAATCGTCAGAACAACTTTGGCCTGGTCACGCCGACCACCCGGATCCTGGACGACTACATCGACTTCGTACGTGTTTCCGGCAGAGTTGGAGAAGTCAATACTGCTACTAAGACTCAACACGCCGGACACGCTGTCAATACTGAAGAGATTTCTAAACAGGGACGGGCCCAGACTGAACTGAAGTGTTCCATAATAGCCGACATCAAGATCATACGCCGCAACAGACCCGAGCACTCCCGAATACGTCTCATTGACACTGAACACGTACAGGGAGTCGTTGAATACAGGCGTGTAGTCGTTGACCTCGCGGATACGAATGTTAACCAATGCCGTACTGCTGAACGTCCCATCAGACACATTGATCAGCAGCTGGTGAGCGAGACCGGCAGTTGAGAGGGGTGCAGCTACAGATAGTGTACCCGTATTCTCCTGGATTCGAAAGTAACCATAGCTACCGTTGACTATGGCATACTTTAGTGGGTTTAGAGTGCCGTCCGCATCCGTTGCTACGGCGGCCACTAGCACAAAGCCGATGAGTGCGTCCTCGTCGACGGTGGCATTGAAACTAGGTGAAGTGAAGATTGGAGGGTGGTTATTGACATTGCGCACGTTGACTATAGCCGCCGAGGCACTGGTGAGTGACGGGCTACCACCATCGCTAGCCAATATTACCCATTCATAGCGACTAGTGTTGTCAAAATCTAGTGTCTGCGTCGTAAAGATGGTGCCGTTCTGTGCGTTGATGCTGAATGGAAGGTCCTGTGAAGTGGCTGAGTCAAAGGAATACGTTACATCGCCATAGCTACCTGCATCGTCATCGGTAGCAGTGACGTGTAACACAGCTGAGCCCACGGCTATGTCCTCATTCACTATTACAGAGTGCAATGTTTGCCTAAACACCGGTGCCTTGTCGTTGACGTCGATAACACCAATGTCTACGCTGGTCTCGGTGAACAGTCCTTCAAGAGGATCCGTAGCCCTGACGCTGAGTCGGTAATGCTGCTGCTGTGAATGGTCCAATTTGGAGCTAAGCAGTATGGTACCGAGCGTTGGCTCAATGAAGAACACACCAAAGTTGCCCCGTTCCAAGCTGTAACGCAGCGCTCGGCCATCACCGAACGGGCTTTGGGCCATCACCATGACAACACTGCTGCCCACAGTAATGTTCTCCAGTACGTTGACGCGGTACGGGGCGGAGACGAACACCGGGCGGCCAACGTGCTCGATGGTGATGTTGAGCGTGTGTGTGGTGTTGTGCCGCATCGGTGTACCGCTGTCCTCCGCTTGCACTGTCAGCGAGTACCGATCGGACACTAGGTTACGCAGACTCTTGGCAACGGTGAGTTGGCCGGTAGCCGGTGCCAGGCTGAACACTCTGCCGATGTTGCCGGACACAATGGTATACGTAACAAGAGCATTGCTTCCGTCATCAGCGTCCATTGCCACCAGCGTGTAGACCAAACTGGAGATGGTGGTATTGCTCAGCAGAGTGGTGGTGTATGTGCCGGGTGCAAACACCGGTGCATTGTCGTTGATATCCAGTATGGTAACAAGCAGGACAGTCTGAGCGATGCGCGTGACCTCCGTCCTGTCCCACACCTGCACGTGCAGCGTGTAGCGTGTCTGATTCTCGCGGTCCAGTGGTGCCGACGTCACAATCTGCCCGGTCAGCGAGTTGATTGAGAACACGTGAGTGTTGGTAAGCAGTGTGTAGTGTAGCGGTGGTGATGCTGACATGTCATCACTGCTTGCAATGTGATCCACAGCGGTAACACGGAACACACTACTGTTCACTGCAGCCGACTCTGGCAATGACACCACGTACGGCGATGTCTCATTGAACGTCAGACCAGCCACTGTATCGTTGTGAAACTCGATGGAAACATTTGCACTGCTCACGAACCGGCCATCGCTAACCTCAACGCGTAGTTCATACATTGCGGACAGGTCGTAGCTATGCAGCACGCTCAACTGACCATTCGAGGAGATGGCAAACCTGTGTGCTGCGTCCCCGGCCGTGATTGAGAAGTGCAGGTTATCATCCACCGTAGCATCACTATCCTGTACTGTCAACGTTACCAACACCGTGCCAGCGACCACGGGTAGGCTAGACACCACACTGTACCGTGCTGCAGCGGGAACAAACACTGGAGCATGCTCATTGCTGTCCAATATGGTGACATTGAGCAGCGCCGTGCTGGAAAGGGACGGTGCACCGCTGTCAGCCACCATGACAACCACTTGCAGAGTGGATAGCTCCAATGGCAGCAGAGAGCGGCGCAGGTAGATATAGCCGGTGCTGGAGCTAATAGACAAGAATTCATAGCCAGAACTGGAGTTCAGCAGGGAATACGTCAGCAGAGAATTTGCACCAAGATCCAAGTCTGTAGCCGTGGCCGCCAGCACTAGACTACCAACAGTGGCATTCTCTGAAATGACAGCAGACAGAGTGGGAGAGCTAAACGCCGGTGTGACGTCATTCACATCACTGATGTTGATGGTAACATTGGCACGGCTGCTGAGACCAAACTGGTCGGTGGCAAGTACACTGAGAGTGTAGAGGCTGGCGTGTTCCCGGTCTAAACCACTCGTACTGTAAATAGCGCCGTTGTACGGCTGGATAGTGAACGGGCTGGACGGGCTGGACGGGCTGGACGACGGGTCATGGCCAGCCAGGCTATACATCACCGTGCTCTCAGACACGCTAACGACAGAGCCTACAAACGCTGGCTGAGCGGCGGCGGCATCCTCGCTGGCGTGAAACGTGTACCGTGGCTGCGTGAACGCCGGCGGTGTGTCTGGTCTGTCGCTGACGGATATGCTCACCGCGGCACAGGTACTTCTCACAGGTGAACCGTCATCTGCAGCAACCACTGTCACATTGTACTTACTCTCCACGTCAACATCTAGTGGACCCGAAACTCTTAGCACACCAGAAACAGCATCAATTTGAAATGGAAGCATCGGAATGGAGTCATTTGCAGAGGCATTGCACAGCTTTGCAATGCGATACCTGACTGTGCCGCCAATGCCCACGTCCTGGTCAAACGCGCGTAACTGCACGACAGATGTTCCTGACAAGGCGTTCTCCGGTACCACGGCTCGGTAGGTGTCCTCGGTGAACTCGGGCGTGTAGGCGTCCACTAGCTGAACGTTGACCGTTGCCAGGCTACAGTCCATGTGTCCAGTCACACAGCCAGCCATGTCACACGCACACACTGTCAACGTGTACTGCAGCGACCAGGGAACAGGTCCGCTGAGGCTTAGCTCACCGCTCACACTGTCCAAATCGAATGAGACGAACGAATCCAACGTGCTGTTCAGATAATAGTGGATGCTGTCGTGCGTATCACGGTCACGTGCCACCACCCTTCCCAGCATGGTTGCATTGTCGGTACCGTTACTCTGAGCCGAGAACATGTAATGCTTTAATAGCATGACGGGAGGATTATCATTGGCATCGCGCACATAGACCACCACCTCGGCCCGGTTTGAACCGCATCGATTGGAGCAGAGCACGGTGAAACTATAGTTGTTGACCGCCTCAAAGTCCAGCGTATTGGTAAGGAGGATCGTTGGCTGCTGGTTGATGAATGCAAACGGTGGTGGCTGGCTCACTGCATCAATAGCACAAATGGCAATGACCGTATCTCTTGGCATTACTGACATATTGCCGACAACTGTTCCCACGTCGGAATCCTCGTCGACGGTGAAGCTGGTGGTGACGTACTGAAATAGTGGTCCAAAGCCGATTCGACACGCCAGTTTGGGGGGTTCCACGTACAGTTGCACAGGGCAAGATGTAGTGCGCACGGGAGTGCCAGCGTCTGCGACCTCCACACTCAAGTTGTACGTGTGTTGCGCTATGAGTGGCTTGCTGGAGATGATCACACCTGTGTCAGTGTTGATGGAAAACTGGTTAGCACTGTTATTAGTCGCTAGGGTATAGTGGATATGTCCATTCAATCCAGAGTCCAAGTCCCGTGCAACAACCCGAAGCAGAGAGGAATTGACGGGAGCGCTATGCAGCACACGGAGCACTGCGAACGGTTTCGGTTGAACACACTCCGGTGAGTATTGGTTCAGCGTATCATCTACTGTCACTTTCAGCAGGGCTTCGGACTTGCTGCCACCACCATCGCCGGCTGATGCCACTGCTGTTTGCACTGATATCCACAGTTGCTTCTGTACGGCTGTATCGACACTGCCCAGAGCTGTGAACAAGGCTGTGTGCTGCAAGCTGGCTGACAGGGAAACATTCACCATCATAGCGGTGGTACTGCTAGGTGATGATGTGTTGCTGCCAGCGAGAGGCAATTCCACGAAAGAGAACGGCTCCACTGCTGCTGCTGCTGGTAACGCAGAGTAGCCCTGTTGCACTGTAAACACTGCACCTAGGAACGGTGGAGACGCGTAGGAAGTGACACATGCCACAGGTGTAGCCGTGTTGTTATACTCCACGGTGCTAGATTCAAACACGGCCATGCTAAACTGGCGGCTAGGCACACTGCCATTACTGACTACGGCCAGCACTAGGCACGACGACGACAATGGCTCCGGTGCAGAGTCCACTGCCAAGATGCTAATGTTGAGCTCTGTGCCGGACGGTAGGTGGTCGAGAGTAGTCCGAGCTAGCACCGCACCGCTTAGACTATCCACATCCAACAAGCCTAGTGCACTGCCTCCGGTCACCGAGTACCTGACTGTATTATACACCGTATCCTGGTCGGTAGCGTTGACGTAGCCAATTATAGTCCCAGATTGTACTGATGCGGGTATGGACCAAGCGTAGAAATCATTAGGTTGAAATCGGGGACGATGGAAATTCTGGCTGACTGGCCAAATGCGGACGGAGATCTCGGCCATGGTTTGAAAGCCACTTTCCGAGTCATTGAGTACAACAGAGATGTTAAGCAGGCGTGCTGTGTCCAGGCGTGGGATACTGCCATTTAGGTACAGTGATGCACTACCGGGTCTCCACTGGAACAGCCGGTCTGGGACAGTGTCGTCTGTTCTCACAGCATAGCTATCCACCAGCGCAGTACCGGTGCACGTCAGAGATGCAACCAGCATGCCAGCTTGATAATCACTGAATATCGTCACCTGACTCATCGGCGGGTTGCAAGCCGTGTTCCGCGGCCGAGGGGGCCCTACTCGAATGCTGAGAAAGGTTGATGAAAGGAACGGACCATTGCGGGCATCAACTTGGGCTAGGTTCTGACTGAATGCAAACTTTGAGAAGTCCACACCAGCATACAATTGACCAGTGAAGTAGTTTATCGTCAGTAATCTGGAGCTGGCAGATTGCACATCGTAGACCACTTCACGATTGATAGGCGTCAAGTCAGCATCAGTGGTGGACAGCTGAAGAAGAGCTGTTCCTATGTCCGTAGCACTCTTTGCGTACAGGAATACCAGCGGCTGCGGGAACACTGGTCGTTCGTCGTTGCTGTCCTCCACGATGACTTGCACCAGTGCCATGTCGGAGCGAGGGGGATTCCCCTGATCGGTGACCGTCACAGTGAGTAGCATGTTAGCCTCGGCAGGGTCATCGTCAACATCTAGTGATGCAGCTAGGGATAGAACGCCGGTCAGTGGGGAGATTGTGAAGAGATACGTGCCTTCAAGTCCGTACACAAGTTGACCGTTGGTGCCCGTGTCGGCATCAAACGCACTCAGCGGAGATAGCATAGTCCCCACTGGCGTATCCTCGGCCAGAGTTATACGCGCAGACGCAGACAGTACCGGCGTGTTACTGTTGGGCAGCTCCACGGAGACTTGTACAGTGGCGGGCCGTGATGTCCGCCGTTCGTTGCTGTTGTGCGGCGAGTCCTCTGCTATGACTTGGAATACGTACGATGGCTTGTCCAATACCCCCGTCACCGTGACAGTGCCGTTCAGCGACACGGAGAACGGAAGCCTGGCTGTTGCTGCAGCACTAGTGGTGTCGTTAGCAGCAGCAGCAGCAGCAGCAGCAGGTGTATACAGCTTGTACTGTATGTATCCGAATGTCAGCGGTGACAGCACAGCGTCACCATCGCTGGCACTCAGCCGATACACAGACGTGCCGACAGTCGCCATCCAACTAGCGACACTCACGGTGTACGTGCTCAGCGAGAACGCGGGCGCGTAAACATTACTGCGCTGCACTGACACATTATACGTATGCATGACGAGTTCTACGTTTGTGACGTTGACGGATGCCTGGACGGTGAGCTGCAATGGTTGGGTGGTCAGCTGCGGCAGCGCTTGAGCAACAGACACCACGCCACTGGAGGCATTTATAGAGAACAGACTTTCACTGTTGGAATTTGATGAAATTGAATAGACTACCGATGCATCCTGCAGGACGGTGGGCAGATCAGCGGTGACTCGGACACGTGTTACTAAACTACCCACGGCTGCATTGGACGGGATTCGAACGTCAACCGGTGATGTAATCCGAAATCCGGCAACGTCATAATGTTGAATGCGAGCAAACAGCTGAGTGTGAGATGTGTGATTAGCGTAAGTCTTGGATCGTGCCGTGATGTTCATTGCCAGTACTCCCGCCACAGAGCGTATGGGTGTAGAGAGAACCGACACAACGCCACTAGATATGCCTAACCGCAGATACGTTGAAGCATTTCCACCACTCATCGTGTAGATGATGTCATCGCTGTTGTCGTCGTCAGTGAGTTGCAGGACACGCGATCCAAATGGAGCATATGCCGGTACTGTGCGCGTATAACTGACTGCCAGGTGAGGCAATTGACTGCTCAGCGAGTCGTTAACATGCACAAGAGTAGAGCATAGTGCCCAGGACTGGCCACTGCTGACATTGACAATCACGTTGTGCCATCGTGCTATTGCCGTGTCGGCATGTCGCAAGACAAGCGTAGGGCCGGCTGGGTCGATAAAGAACATGTCCAGCGTTGCGGCATCGTTACCAAATATGGATAGGCTGTACTGCTGCTGCTGCTGCGGTGAGGCAGACACACTGAGGTCATCTACTGTGACATTCCACCCCTCATTGACAGTGATCATTTTGTCAGGGCAGGAAAGTCCAGAGCTTGGGTAGGTGGTGATGATGACAGTCGCATTCGCTTGCTGCGCAGGACTGCCCTGGTCCGTCGCGAAGACAGTCAGACGATACACATGCAGTGTGTTCGGCAGATTGCCGCTGACAAGCAATTCACCACTACCGGCGGATATGTTGAAGTATTGACTTGGCGCCACGCTGTACACTAGGTTAGCCGCCGCTGCGCCGCCACTGTCAGGATCATGAGCAGTTACACTCAGCACGGGTCGGTTCAGCAGGGCAGATGGAGTGGAAGACGTGGCCAGGGATATGGAATACATGGAGTTGATAAAGAGCGGCGGGCGGTTTGACTCCACAATCTGTATGGTGCGCTTGTGCGATGAAGATCTGCTTGTTGTGCCATGATCATGTGCTTGTACGGTGATAGTAATGTTAATGACAGGTAGTGGAGTAGTATCAGAATCACTAAGATACATGTCACCAGTGAGAGGGTCTAGGGATATAGCAGGCTTACTGGGATTGGACGAGATCAGTTCAAATGTAACAATACCATCCAAACCAATGTCATTGTCTGTAGCCGTCACAGCGCCCACTAGAGACCCGACCGGTGTGTAGCGAGAGATCACTATCGTACTGCTGTCACCACCAGTGAACGATGGGGCGGCGTTATTAACACCCATCACAGAGATGTCGACGAATGCCACGGTGCCGCGTGAGGATAGTGAATCAGTTACCTCGATGACTAGCCTGAACGAGCTCTGTACCCGGGGATCCAACACGAATTGAAGGTACACCTCACCGGTGGTCGAATTGATGGCAAAGGTCTGCTTGGATGCAACTTGATGGTTGCTTGATGAAACACGGAATATCAGGCTTGCACCGGCATTCCTTGACCGGGCCAACACTCGTGTACATACCTTCTTCAGAATTGCATTTTCCTCCATGTAGCACTGGTAGTGAGCTGGAAGGACAATGGGCGGCCGATAGATAGTAGTATCAATGTGCACGGTCAGCCATGCATCCGCGTAGAGGCTCATGGGTCGACCGAGGTCGGCCGCACGGAACAGTAATCGCACCGTGCCGGGCACAGTGGACGAGTTGAGCGACTTGCTCACGCTGACTTCTCCCGTGAACCGATTCACGGCGAACAAGTCGGCAGAATAGCTCACCAGCGTGTACAGGATGCGCGCGTTGGTCCCCGCGTCCTTGTCGTCGGTGGCACGAAGCCGGTAGATAGGCATACCCGGTTGATAGTCATCCGTGATGTTGGTCACCATGGCGTCACTCATGTCAAACTGTGGAGCATGATTACTAGCATCCAGGATGTGCACGGTCAGTGTAGCCTGCGTACTATGCCGGCCATCACTTACAGAAATGGTCACCACCAGCCGGTCGGTGTTTGCAAAGTCTAGCACGTCTGCTGTCACCACGGCAAGTCGATTACCTTGCAGAGGCACAAAGTCCAACCACTGCCGACCGTTTCCGGACACGACAGTGAACGTCAGCGAATGGTCTTGGACACTGGTGGAGTCTGGGTCGGATGCCTGCAGCACCGCTAGAGTTGTGCCGTTCAAGACCAGCTCACTGACGGACACCGTTGTGTTCTGCAGCACTGGTGGCTCATCGTTGACGTCGAGCACGGACACATACACTGGTAGGTGAGAGTGGTGCTGACCATCGTACGCCACCACATCCACAACAAACCCACCAGACGGGTACTGCTCTCTGTCCAGGTGGCTGGTGCTTAACCTCAAGTCGAACGATCGCTTAGTGTCTGCATGGGGTACTAGCATCATAGCATACACGACTTGACTGATCTTGCCAGCTTGTAAGAGAGACAATGTGATGGTGTCTCCGGTGACGTCATCCCTATCGGTGGCAAACCCTGTAACCAGCATGGTCCCATTAGGGCTGTTCTCCTGTACACTGACGTACTGGAGTGACATGTTGACGATAGGCGGGTATTCGTTCACGTCCAGGACGGTCACGTTGATTGGCACGCGACTCACGAGCGACGGCATTGTCCTGTCCCGTGCTAACATCGTGAACGAATAGAAGCGAGTGCTCTCGAAATCCAGACCGGCCGTGACAAACACAGCGCCGGAGAATGGATGGCAGGCGAACGGCAGAGCTGCGCCGGGCAGGGAATGGTCCAGGGAGAAGTAGACCCGATCCGGATCACTCACATTGGCTGTTAGCACGGTGTCACCAATGCTCATGTTCTCGCGGATACTTGCAGTGTAGGGCAAGCCTCGGAACAGCGGTGCCTTGTTGTTTATATGTACTAGGGATATACGGATAGAGGCATTGGACGACATGCTGGCATCATTGCTAGCGTGTGCCACTATAGTGAATGAGTACATAGACTTTGCGCCGAGAGTGGAATCACCTAATGACTGCACTACAGTCAGGTACAGCAGGTAGCAGTCTGCTGTCAGGTGTTGACGGTTGATCTTGAACAGCACACTATCGTTACCATCCAGTGTGTAGTTGGTGAAGGAGTTTGGATCCACGTCCAGCGCCCGTAAATCGTAGAGTCCCTGCACGCGTGCGTCGCGCGGCTGCCCGTCATCCAACCAGCCTGTGTAGAGGGGACGCGTGAAGCGAGGCGCCTGGCCAGGCACGCTGAACACAAGCAGCACTAGATACGCCTGTAATGAGATAGAGATATTCCCAGTCTGCACACACATAGTGTCACCAGCCACTCGGCATGTGCCTATCAGTGACGTTTCCACGGCAATAATCGCGCTGACATTGGTCGAGACTCTGACGACGTTTCTCCACTGCTCCTGGCACAGCGTGATCAACACTCCATCACCGGTGGTACCCGTGTTGATGCTGAACATACCGGTGACGTTGTCTGTGCTAGGGTCACCGTACCAACGCACCGTGTCCTCCAGTCTGCCATGGCCGCACTGGGTGCTGTTGTCGTCCCCCAGTGTAACACGCAGAGCGCTGTCACGGTCCCTGCTCAATAGGTGCGTCACATTGGCGAGGATATCAACATGCGCCTGTGTGTATTCATCCACTTCTATTAGAATAACATCAGCATCTGCCATGCCTGCTGCTGCTGCATTTGCACCAGCACTAGAACTGGCGGCAGCAGCTCTACCACTGTACAAATAACTCAACGATATGACCGCTAATAGCAGTAGGTGCACACTATTACATGAGAGTGATGTAGATCTACCGCGTGGCGCACTATACACACCGCGTTCTCGTCCTCCTCTCCTGCAGTCTGAGGACCGCTTGCACACTCGGCGTTCCGATTTTCGAAACGCCATGCTGCCTAGCGAGCTAGTTTGACATGTGCATGGTCGCTCCATCCCTGCCGCTTAGTCGCTTGCCCCTAGCCTGGGAAGATCCAGGACATGCGGGAGCAATTGACAGGGAGCGAGGCAGATGAGAGCACAGCCAACACTGGTGTTTGAAGAATGATTCGGAACTCAATCAGAACTGTTCTCCATATTGCATGCGGCAGCAAACGACCGAGGACGATCCACTACTATACGGGTTCTTCTGAGTCCCACCTGGGTCCGAACCAACGGAAGACTCCAGAGGTGCACGTCCAGTTCAAGTACTAGTAGTAGATGATCCACTTTCTCGGAGAAGAGAATTCGTGCCAAAGTGATTGGAACTTCTGCATGCACACTGTGTCTGTGGTTACCGCGGGGTAGCCACTCAGCGCAAACACCGTGGCTCAAGAAGCGAGGCCAGCGCCAACCGACTGTGACGTCCAGAGCTCCACCTTCTACAACAACTTCATCTAGATATCCGTACTCGTACTCGACTGATGTAGTTTGGTAAGCTTACCAACGTCCGTCAAATCATCCAACATAACTCATAAGGACCCGATGTCGCGATGATGCCAGTTGTAAAATCAAATGAAAGTGACAATGATAGAGCGACGCTAGCACAAGCATGCATTTTAGTATGTACGATAATAACAACACGCACATGACGATCGTAATGATTTTTCAAATAAATCACCGCAGAACGATAATGATTATGTGCGCATGCACTCCTCTTCGCATACAAAAATTGAAGCGTGAAATGAGCCGCAGAGCGTGTGCGGAGATCATCGCCACTCGAAACTCTGTGGACCGTCGCTATGCTGCACTTGTCATGACGGGGACAGAGTCGGGTGCGCCAGAATTATTTTGAAATAGTGGGACACATCATTCTGGCCTGGGCAGCCTCTCTCTCTACTACTACTAGTATTGGGTAGGACAGTAATCGACTTACAAAATTTAATGCCACAAAGCCGAAACGGCCCAGCCTACAATGTAGGCCTATGAGAGGAGTATGTCAACTATACTACTTGTACAGCCTAGCCTGTCAAGAGACAGGGATAGAGGCGTGATTCGCTCCCCTGGTGACCGTTTCCACAACTAACTTCACAAGTGAAACGGTTTTTATGGAAAGCGCCTCAAAAGTGTAGGTCTAACATTAGTCTACATGTACATAATAGTCATTGTAGATTGTAGATGTCTACTACTACGTAGATGCACATGGAGCTAGTGCTGTCAAGTGTCAGTGTCAACAAGAAAGTAATAGTTGAAGCCTCAAAGTAGACTAGTCCGAGCTTGGTGCAGCGGTTGCTCTTGATGGCAGCAGTAGGCATTTTGTTCATTTTACCCGTAAAATGAGGCTCGATCTAGCTCTAGCTCTCTCGATCACGACTAGTCCTAGCGAACAAAATATTATTACCGGAGATGTACTACAATCATGTACATGATGACAAAAGTCATGTACATATTAAATGACATGATGTACAATCATGCACATGGTTTGTCCGTTATTGCTCACCACATTCAAGAGTACATAACTTTGTGACTTGTCATAAGAGATTGTACGTACATTACTCTTGCTACAGTCACTGTCACTGCACTCGCAGTCACAGTCGCCAAGAAAAGCAGAAGGGACGCTCATCGGCGTTCAGGGACATCGGCCAGATCTGGACTGGAGGCCTCCCAGCGCTGCAGCGATACATACATGTAGTTCTTCCCGAGGGTTTGGTTGGGCTCGATCGAATGTACACTTCCAAGCCCGCTTGAATCCGTCATCATATCGATCCGCAGGGAAGACTGAGAATAAACTCAAGATGGTACGATTATCGTCGACTGGCACCGCTGCTGAAGCTGGAAAGGCAAGCGCAGCTCGGTGCGTATTGCTCTTCCTATCGTGCACTGCTATCTGTTTTGCCCACCTAGCATCGGCTGCAGAAGCGGCCAAAGCCCTCCCAGAGAAGCCCAACATCATCGTTATCTATGGCGATGATGTCGGATACGGCGATCTCAACGTCTATGGGCACCCGACGTCCAGAACGCCTAATTTGGATAGAATGGCCGAGGAAGGCATGCGGATCACCAGCTTCTATTCGGCTGCGCCGGTCTGCTCGCCATCGCGTGCCTCGCTAATGACTGGCAGGCTGTTCCCAAGGACTGGTGTCTACTCCAGCAACAACACGAAATCCGCCACGGGGTCAATGACGTTTACTAGCTCATCCAACACGGGAATGCTGCTGAACGAAATCACACTGCCCCAGCAGCTGGGCAAGTGTGGTTATGTGTCCGGTATGGTTGGCAAATGGCATCTTGGAGTCACCGAACCCTACTTGCCAATTAACCGAGGCTTCGACAGCTATTTCGGCTGTCCGCTTACCCCCATCGGCTGCAATTCAACGGCATACAATAAGTCAGCGACCACCGGCTCCTGCATGCTGTTTGTGAATCATACTATCACGGAGCAACCGACAGACATTAGAAACATTGACGTTCGGTACGTGGAGAACACACTGAACTTCATCAGCACCAACCAGCACCGTCCGTTCTTCTTCTACTTCTCCTCTCACCACACTCACATGCCGCAGTTTGCATCCGACACGTACCTGAACACTACCCAGCGTGGTCTGTTTGGAGATAGTCTTGCCGAACTCGACTACAGTGTCGGTGCTATCCTGGACCATGTGACACAGCTGGGCATAGCCAATCGTACTCTGGTGATCTTCTCGGCAGACAACGGGCCGGCCCTGATCAGCCAGCAGCTAGGCGGTGAGCAAGGTCCACTGAAGTGTGGCAAGGGCACGACTTACGAGGGCGGTGTACGTGAGCCAGGCATATTCTGGTGGCCTGGTGTGATTGCGGCTGGGCGCCTTAGCTACGCCCTGGCCAGTACGATGGACATATTCCCCACGGCGGTGTCGCTAGCCGGGGGACAGCTACCAGCGGACAGAGCCATGGACGGTTTGGACATCACCAAGCTGTTGACTGGTGAGTCGGCCGGACCTCGGTACTACAACATCTACTACAGCGGGCATGTGTTGATGGCCGTTAGATTGCATCAGCACAAAGCCCATTTCTTCACAATGGGTAGCCACTGTCTGCCAACCTACCCGGACAAAGATTGTCATAACAATGCATCTCTAGAGTATCACGACCCACCCTTGCTTTTCGACGTAAACCAGGACCCAAAGGAGCGATACCCTCTAGACACCAAGCTTCACAAGGTACCGCTGCAAAAGATGCAAGCTCTCCTAGCGGAGCACAACAAGACGATGACATTTGGCCCGGCACAGTGCGACCAGGGAAACGATCCGAAAAAGAACTTTCCCTGCTGCAGTCCGGAGTGCACACCGCGGCCATCATGCTGCAAGTGCCCCACTGCAAAGCACATCCCCGGTCTTCACACGACTGCAAGAAGATCGCACGTTGCCGCTGCTGCTGGGCAAGATGATCTGGACAGCATGAGAATACTGATATGACGCAGCACCAAATGGAAAGAACTCCTGATAGCTCACACAGGCAACTGACAGACACAATGAAGGTGACTTTGACTTCAATCCTTTCTTAGTTCTAGCTTTGTCCTGTGCCATTTAAAGTTGATTTAGTACATGTAGCTCAAACATCAATCCATTCTAGCTGTCAAGTCAATACATTTTCAGATTTCATTTTACAGACAGCTATCAAACCAGCTGCAGAGCTAAACAGCAACAGCTTCTTGTACCTATTCATTTACTTCAACAAACTGAAAGTATGATGTTGATGGTGATGATGTGTTTGTCAAGCTGTCAATGCAGCAGACCAGGAACCTACAGAGTAATGAGCAGCCAGTAGAGAGAGAAAGAAAGAGAGAGAGAGAGAGAGAGAGAGAGAGAGAGAGAGAGAGAGAGATTGCCGTTCTCTGCCTACGCGTTTTAAGGTAGCTCGGGCCTATATCGCAACAATATCGAGGTCAAAAACCGCTTTCTGTCCGATTTTGTTCAAATTTTCGGGTTGAAGCATCATGAGGGTCCCAAAATCTGCTAGTGTGTAATGAATCCTTCCCTATATTTGGGGCCTGTGAAAGACACACCCATACATTCGCATTTATGTAGCAAAATAAGAGAGTTCGCTTTTCACTTGTTTCTATGGGGCAGGTTTGTGCTAAACTATGATAGACAAGTACATTTCAATTCTTTTTCTGGAATTCAGGACCACTATAATCACACACCGTTGAGGCAAATACACTGGAATCAATTACGAGAGACAATCATTTCTTCTCACATTTCTGTAGACAGTGGGTAAACGAGTCCATTGGCCTAACATCATTTTGACATAACTAACACTGATGTGGTGCGATGCGAACAGCAAGAAAAACTCAATCATTTTCGGGCCAATTTTGAAAATGTAAATTTCAAAGCATTTTGGCACCATATCGAATCGGGGTTCGGAACACTACTGTAGTTTCTTCTCCTCACACAGAAAACAAGTCTGTTTGCTGATAAATATACCCTAACGTGTTCTGATGCTATGGGAATTACTGACATGATTGCATGAAGCAGCAGATGAAGGTTGGAAGCATTTTATTATACTCAATGCAAACCTGTCTCTTTCTCAGCGAACGCCTTGTTTGGGCTACTCCGAGGGGCCATAACCCCCCTCCAAAGTGCCCTAATACATACTCTAATATAATTGTTGATTTTTTCATTCTGGACACCCCTAGCATTGCTGAACTAACTACCAAGAGTGGTTCTGTACAGTAACGGTTTGAAGACACATGCAGCTCAGTTCATTCTGTACGTTAGCTATCTATTTCAAGTGCTCGTACATGCAGCGCTCAATAATTGCCAGCCTTGCGTGGAAGCTTTCAAGGATTTCAAGCCGAGCAATGCACTTGTTTCAGTTCACCCCGAACTAACGGCTCCCAAATCATCTTTCTCAACGTTTCCAAGTAAAGTGTTGTAGTAGTTGCCCTTACCCACCGTCACAAGCATGCACCTTTTCCCAAACTCACACTCTACGCTGCATACCAGTGCCAGCACATCAAGTACAGTAGAGCAGGGATACGTATGTTTACCCATACCAAGACAATAGTAGCGTTTTCAAGTTCAGCGCCTATAAAAAAATCCAGCACGTGTCAGCAGCTGAAGAATGCGAGTACTCCGCATGCAGTCTTGCAGCAGGCAGCAGCAGGATTGCACACCTACATGGCGTCTGTGCGTCTGTACACGGCACTGACTTAATTGCTTTCACCCTCAAAGACAAACGTATCCGAGCCGGGCTGGATGACCTCGTCCCAGAACTGCTGTTCGGGCAGCTCTCCGTCCCTGGCGGTGAAGTGTGTCGGATGGGGAACGGCGCTGTGTGGTGGATAGTAGGTAGCATCGTGTATGCTGACAAATTCTGTAATGTACCCAATGGTGTGACGGCCTCGCACAAAGATTACATTGTTCTTGTGATCGACACGCACCACCTGCATAAGCAGTCAAACAAGCACACACACACACACACACACACACACACACACACACACACACACACACACACACACACACACACACACACACACACACACACACACACACTTGTACTTGCTCACTGCCAAAACTGGTCACGTGGGTCTCCCCGGGAGAGGGGAGAGACTCAAAAGGAATCTTGGAAAGATGACTCAATTGGCCATTGAACCACCCAACGGCCGACACCCCCTGAAATCCCCAAACTAGGGTGGACTTGAAATGATCCCACTTATGGGCTCACCACACCTCAGTAAGTGGGTGAGGACAAGGTGCAGAAAAAGGATTGACGGCATCAGGGTATCCGTCCCGGGATCCAACTGCAGGTACCCCTGCCCCCAGTGAAGGTAATACTTGGTACTAGTGTGGGTGGCTAAATCAGAGTGGATCTGATAAAAGCTTCACTAGCACCATTGATTACACAAGAGTTTATCTAGCCAGAAGTAGTCCATGGTTAACAGGAATGTATACTTCAAATAGAAAGTATATGAACCCTGAAACCAACAAAGGTGGTAGGTACAACAATACACCTTCAAGCAGCCGAGCCCGTTGGCAACATGCCCAACACTATCTGGCATAAGTGTACCCACCAACTGAACTAGCACACACACACACACACACACACACACACACCCAGGCCAGTGTCAGTGCTGGGCACAGACAGAAGAAAATCTAAAATCTAGGACCATAATGATTAGCTTTGTCGTGTTAAGATTGCCAGCATCATGTCACGCGCTGGTATGATTTTTGTGTACCAGCGCAGTGCTCATCCCCCCCCCCCCCCCCCCCCCCCGCGCCCAGTGCAGTCACCATCGGCAGACATGACGCCCATAAATAGAGATTTGAAACAACAACAACAACACGGTATCTCTTCTTGGCGATGGTGCCATCGTGAGAATAAAGAATTGAAGAAAAAAACAAAAACAACAACAACAACAATAACAACCACCACTACCACCACAACTACAATGAAGACAATGCATCACATGACTCGCTTACCCGCATACATCGGGCGTATCTCCTGTAACCACCCATGTGCCCAGGCATCTTGGTTCCTCTCCACAAACCGTCTTTTTTCTAAGGACAATAGCAACAAGCAGAAGCCAGCACTTCAAATCTTTGCTTCCCGCACAAATGCATACTCTTACAGACAGACTTTGGCAGAGTACAACGGAGAATGGAACAGGAAAGAAGGCAACGCTGGCTGGCTAAAACAAGGAGTCGCTACAGTGGCATGGGACACACTATACGCAAGTTGTTGAGATGTCCATGACCACGGTAAGACTGTAGCTAGCAGCGCAGTCGTTCCAAATAGGTACAGCATTGGGTGGGATGTCACGAACAGCCAGGTCTGCGGTAAACATAGTATACCCTGGCAAAAAAAGTATCTAAAAATACGCTACGGTGTACTTTGAGCACGCATGGTGCTCGAGAATTCCCTGATGATGGCCAATGGCCGGAAAGCTGGAATGAGTTGATTCCTTCTAGATGCTTTGGTGCTGTGTTGGCCGTGAGAGAGAGAGAGAGAGAGAGAGAGAGAGAGTGTGTGTGTGTGTGTGTATGTGTGTGTGGGTGAGCTAACTTACATGGCCAATAGCACCGATAGCACGATGAGCTCTGGTTACACCGTGAGACGCCGGGAGGCCTTTGAAGCCGTGGCGTTTCATACCTCCCTGAAAACCTCGGTCAATGCTGCAAAACACAAAAAGAGGAGAAAATAGCGCATGGAATGTTGGCGATGGTGGCACACTGTTCGGTTCTCATCTACAGTACTGACCAGTGAAATCCAACCTCGTGAATAAAGTAGCGTCGCAGGGATGAATTTACTGTCATGCTTTTGCATAGCAGTTTTTGCTATGCAAAATCTCAATTGTGGCGTAAGGCCACCCTTTGTTAATTCATTGTTTAACGTCCTTTTTTTCGCGAAAAGGTACGCGGGAGGGCGGAAAAAAAACAAAAGCCCATTCCAAAAACTGGAAACCCCAATCAAACATTTTGACCAGTAAAGCATGTGATATACAATATTTCTGGGTCTAACGGAACTTGCAGGCATAGAACAACACTCTTTGATGGTACATTGGAGCACATGCCTGATGAATCCAACAAAACAGGTACATAGCATGGAGTTAGCATGTCATGAATTCATTACCATCATCTGGTTTTTTACTAGGTCACACACCGTACGATATTTAAAAGCCAACAAAAAAAGAGAAAGAACACAAGACAAAGGCATGCCCGGGAGGCAAGATTATACTGTAAGTTTAAGGTCATGATCGGCACACTGTGAAAGAAGAACTACACAATCATGTATTTACAACTTCGCATATTATTGGTACATGTACTACTACTTTACGAAGTAGTGGTTGCGACTTCGGCGATGATTTGTAAGAAAGGTTTGCTCCCCACACCGGAGCTCGCGCTATTCCGCCGACTTTTCTTGACACTTGACTGACTCACGACTGCCATCCAGAGCACACGAGTACTACTACTTTACGAAGTAGTGGTTGCGACTTCGGCGATGATTTGTAAGAAAGGTTTGCTCCCCACACCGGAGCTCGCGCTATTCCGCCGACTTTTCTTGACACTTGACTGACTCACGACTGCCATCCAGAGCACACGAGAAGTCCATCGAACCTTCGACTCGGCAAACCTGCAAGAAAGCACCACTCCCTGCTCAATACACAGTGTTTCGGGGAATTCACCCCTCATCAGTTGAGCTTGAGTAGGCTGAGGAAGATTGTGCCTGAAGAGCACCACTTATATAGTGCTCTCCAGGCGCAAACATCACCAGGGATACAAACTTACAGAGACGCTCCGCTTCCAGCGCGACAAACACCTCGTGAACACCAGATAGCAGCGGTTGGTTCTAGTTGGTTTGGAGGTGACAGCGTTGCGAATGACCGAGGGTCCTCGACGTCTGTCTCACCGTCCAGGAGCGACACTGACTCACGCTGCTATCTGGTGTTCACGAGGTGTTTGTCGCGCTGGAAGCGGAGCGTCTCTGTAAGTTTGTATCCCTGGTGATGTTTGCGCCTGGAGAGCACTATATAAGTGGTGCTCTTCAGGCACAATCTTCCTCAGCCTACTCAAGCTCAACTGATGAGGGGTGAATTCCCCGAAACACTGTGTATTGAGCAGGGAGTGGTGCTTTCTTGCAGGTTTGCCGAGTCGAAGGTTCGATGGACTTCTCGTGTGCTCTGGATGGCAGTCGTGAGTCAGTCAAGTGTCAAGAAAAGTCGGCGGAATAGCGCGAGCTCCGGTGTGGGGAGCAAACCTTTCTTACTACTACTTTCTTGTTTTTTTTTCCGGTCGGAGGCAAAAAGGTACGCGGGCGCGGACGTTAAACAACGAAAAAAGAAAGGGTGGCCTAAGCTACAAAAGCATGGATAGCATGTACATGTATGTATGGCAGTTTTCTGCATGTCACTGTGATTTGAGTAGCAGTAGATCGATTTTGCGTAGCAAACTGCGATGCGATACCGGATAAATTCATCCCTGCGTCGCGTTCGAGTGCACAGACCAGTACGTGAAGTGCTAGGGCTGCATAGCACCCAGCGCTATTCATTCATGAGGTTGGATTTCTTTGGCCAGCACTGTCATGTACCTAGTGTACATTACAGAGAAAGACAAACAGACAGACAAGCAAACTTTGCTACAAGGAGAAGGTAAAATTTCAAAATCTTGAAGAATGCTTCACGCAGCTTCATTGCACTTGAGTAGTTTACAGGCAGCCTGCCTACACTCAAGAGAGCACTGCATTTCACACAAATCCATTGGAACTATCGTTTCAACGTTTCGGTCTTCATAACCTCCTGATGATGGCCATGAAGACCGAAACGTTGAAACGATACTTCTAATGGATTTGTGTGAAATGCAGTGCTCCCTTGAGTGTAGGCAGGTTGCCTGCAAACTATTCGAGAAGATAAAGACTGGTGCAATCACACCCCATCTTCTTTCACCGCATAACTCAACACACACACACACACACACACACACACACACACATACACACATACACACACACACACACACACACACACACACAAACAGACAGATACACAGGCACATACACACATATACAGCAAGGATGATAACCTAGTAGGCAAAGTTCAACGTGTACCGGTACACTGTCCTACAGGTAACGTTTAACACTTTACTGTCATAGATGCCCAGGTAGACACATCAAATAAAACAACTTTCAATCTTTCATGACACTCGGCAGACACCATACACACACCGCACACGGCTACTCGCATGGGATCCAGGTCCTTACGAAGTTCCGAGAACGTCAACAAACTGGCCACATCGGAAGTGGGACGAACCCAGGACTGTTTCTGTAGAACACACGCAGAGAGCACACAGTGAACACACAACCAACACACACAGATTACACACACAGGCACAAGGCTCCGTTGGCATTGCGATGAGCTGACTGTACTCTACCCACAAGGCACTCACTGACTGGAAGAAGAGAATCAATGGACGTGCCCATGAAGCGAACCTCGTGGCACGGGTGCATGGACCGTGCGCGGAACGGCTCTAGCTTGTAGTCTGGAGTCTGAGACGCATATGAACACACACACACACACACACACACACACACACACGCACGCACACACACACACACATGATAATTATAGACTCATGTATACAGGCACAGAATAGTGAGTATTTCAGGGAAGAGCCGATCCAGATTCACATCGCAGTTTGCAAATGACCTTGGACATTGTGCACAATGCAACATGGCAAGCCTGACCTTTCACAATCCAACATTGCAAGCCTGACCTTTCGCAGTGTTGCACATGCTACTGGTTTTAGCAGCTTTGATCTAATTTCAGGCCCTGCTGGACGCGCTGCTCCAGGGCATCACATGACCATCAGATAGAGACAAGTAGGTATGCCGGGCCAATCATCAAACGTGCACAACTATCCCATCGCACTACATGCACAGCTATGTTTCCTGTGCTCTCTTCACTCACCTTTGCAATCTCCTCAGCTGTCATCTGCCCACCGGCCATCCACACGCCAGTTCTATCATCAGGGCCCATTACGGATACGTCCATAACGGTGCTGTCCAAGATCTGAGTGTGCACACACGGACACACACACACACGGACACACACACATGCATGCACACACGCAGACACACGCACCCACCCACGGATACTGGTATGCATGCTGGTCCCGTGATTCTTCGCACTGTGCACGCATTAGTGCATCAGTGCTATTACAGGATTGATTATGGTCTCCAGGATGCTCAGGTGTTTTGAGTGGAGTGTACGGGCAGTTTATTCACATGTACAGGACTTTACCTGCAGGGCACACATTGCGTGAGATTCTCCATCCCGTGTCCAGTACGACATGCATCCCAGCTTTTTCGCAATGACACCAGCACGCCTGGTCATTCGATTGGGCTCGGGCCATTCAGCTTTGTCTGGTTCTTCGCAACGGTTTGCTATTGTCGCCATCATAGCATCTTTATCAGTGATCGAGCCCAACATTTTTCGAAGCTCACGCATTTCATCGTAAGAATTCACGTCCCATTTTCTCTTGAAATGGATGTAAGCATTCCTAGTACTATTGACAGTTACTTCGGATGCCTTGATCGGCCTGAAAGGCCGCAGAGCAAGCCGCGACAACATTGGACCTACACGACCATCATCTAAGACTAAATATCAACATATACCATGAATAACCTCTTTAGAAACTGAAAATACTGAAAATTGTTTCAAACTCCACGCACAATTGTGTTGTTGATCGATATAACCTCATCCAGTAAAAACATTTCAAGCAAAAAAATATGGCCTATATATATCAGTGTATATAGCCGGGCCAGATCTGCAGAAACCATGCATGGAAACACTTGCAACAAAAAATCTCTTGCAACAAAAAATCTTTTGTCGACTTGTCTTTTCTATTATCAATATTTACGGATATCAGTTTTTGAATGACTCGATTGATATTAATATGAGATTTGCTGTACAGTATTTTGTTATTTTAGTTGCAGTATCTCAACTTTTGAATAGTATCCGGCCCACACGAGGGTCCACGACGTGTATTTCGAAGTGTAGTACCAGGGAAGGCCAGACAGGCTAGTCGCTGTCTTCAACCAGGCTTCTGAGGTCAGACATCTGCTGTTGAGTAGTCTCCCGTATAAAGTGTATCGACATATTTGCGAAAGCCACCATGGTGCGAGTTGTCAATGGAGTGCTGGTAGACGATGATGATCCACGAGCTCAAGGAAACCGTGGTCGTCGAGAACAGCGTGGAGTGCAAGGTGGTATTCACCAACATCAGCCTCAGGAGCATGATCAAGCAGGCTATGGGGCGGCTAGGGGACCGCACGCTGCGCAGCCTGGCCACCACGTTTCGCCTTTAGATACTGCCAACGAGAAGCTGTTGTCGCTGGGAATTCCCCGCCTGCAGGTGGCCGGCTATCAACTGGAACCAATCGTGATGGTTGGTTTTGTCCTAGCTTTCATGCTGATGGGATTACCAGGAGTGCTGTTGGGAGCGGTGTTGTTCTACTTACATCATAATCAACAACGCAACCCACCAAACCCGGCGAATAGAGGCGGACGCCAAAGATGAAACTGTAGAAGCTGACCGGTGACGGTTTTAAAAAGTTGTTCGTCCTCCAGTGTTGGTGATCTGCCGCTTGCCTACTTGGCACTCACAACAGTTTGCAGCTAGCCACCTGTATGAGGGGTGTAGGCAGACACCGAGTCTAAGATGGCAGTGATCTCATACACACAGGCATGTGCTTCCCGTTGTTTTTGCTGCTAGTGTTTGCCAGGCTGGCAACTGCCTCCCTGCTGCATAGCCGGTGTGGCAATGGCACTCAGTCGTGACCTACCTATGCATAATTGGGGCTTAGTCCGGCTAAGCATGCATTGAAGCTGTATCACCAAGCCACTACTGGACTGACCTGGCTCTGAGATGAGTGGTTCGGCGGACATGATGGAAATCTACACTACAATGTACTTATGCCGTTTGGGATGAGCACGGCCAGGCGTTATTCCAGTTGGAAATGTGTTGTTACTATGCTAGCTGTTGATGGTGCCAGTGGGCCTAGCCAACACTAGCAACAGTGCTTGCACACATGTAACCTCCCTGTGGTCTCTGGTGCAGCCAATGCCTTCATTTACCCTGGATTTCGCACTTCCGCTGCAGCCATGCTCATATCAGTGTGGTCTCTAAATTTCGTTAACTCCCCACTCCAAGCAAACTGTGTTTGCATACGTTTTACCCCCTCCCGTTCCCTTGCAAGCAGCCAGCCACTGAACACCATACCCCGCCCATCCCCTTGCAAGCAACCAGTCACTGAACACTATACTGCCGCTGTGGACTATTTCCCCCCGGTTTTTCACTGTTATTTCAAGAAAACAGATCCCAGTCCCCCTTTCGAACACAGTTCTTTTGGGGACAACTCTGGAATGGAAGCAACCCCTTGCAGCCCTGACTCGCGTATGCAGACCTACTCATTCAAGTCTTGTATTGCAATTGGATCCTTTTACCCGTTTGACAATTCTCTACTGCCAATCTTAATTTGTTCACACACAATTACAAGTAGTATTCCTGTTGTCATTCTCATCACTTCAGATCCCAGTCTTTTCTACTGAATGTTGTGTTGCATTCACACGCAACATCATAGATTTTGATTGACAACAAAATGTATTGCGCAATGCTGTTGCACCCCTTTGAATTCTTTATTCTCACGATGGCACCATCGCCGATAAGAAGAGGCCCTTGGTAATGCTGCTGTCCTGTGGGTGAGTGGTTATGGTAGTAGAGAAGTAAAGGGGCTTGCATACCCCATGACTTTATTACGGGGGGGGGGGGGGGGGGGGCGAAAGCTGCTCAGCATGTTGCAGCAAGCACCCAGGACTCGGTCAGGCTCCATTACCCACACTGTAAACTAGCATGTCCCACAAGACGATTATCCCGGACACGACCACCACAATCTGCCAGTGCGCAAGGCACCATCTGCAGCACCATGCCAAAAACTGGCGAAAAGGCTACTCGAAGCCAACCGGTTAAAGGGGAAGTGCATCGATTTTTCGAGTAGGGTCCAGAAGAAAGACAATTTGATATCGGTTCGAATGGCATATCTCTCGCTTCCATACGATAAGCCAAACTTGCCAAATCGCCAATTGTATGCTCACGTTGCCATAGCGACCAGCGCAGTGATGACGTACGAAAGGCTTAGCTCCTCCACAGAGAAGGTCGATCACTGCAGAAATTGGTCATTTTCAATTGTCTTATTGTATTCACGATGTGAAAGAAGTGCTGTGTTCAATGCTGTTAGTGCCGTGAACTGTTTATCGCCCTTCTCATGCATTTTCCTAGGCTGACTGTGCCTAGGAAATGGTTTCCTCCAGGACAAGATGCTTGGAATTCGCCATCTCTCCTGAGACATTTTCAGCAAACTTTCAAACCTACGACATTATTTCATTCGTCAATCTCCACCACCCGTCGTCTCACCTGGCTTCAGAAGATGTTACGAGAGATAGGAGAGTCGCCAGGAAGCATCACATTCATCTTCAGGAAGTGGAAAGAGCAAACGGCATGGTCCTTGGTTGGGGGAAATGCTGAACGTCTGATTTGTCCCAACCAAGATTTCAGCATTTTGTTCGTCACTATTTTCGCTTGTCTGCTGGTGTCTCCGCACTCCAGCTTTCTCCTATCGGTGTCACGTCCCAGTACACAATCGAGAGGACTACTAACAAACAGTTCACTGCACTAACAGCATTGAACACAGCCCTTCTTTCACTTCGTGAATACAATAAACCAATTGAAAATGACCAAATTCTGCAGTGATCGACCTTCTCTGTGGTGGAGCTAAGCCTTTCGTACGTCATCACTGCGCTGGTCGCTATGGCAACGTGAGCATACAATTGGCGATTTGGCAAGTTTGGCTTATCGTATGGAAGCGAGAGATATGCCATTCGAACCGATATCAAATTGTCTTTCTTCTGGACCATACTCGAAAAATCGATGCACTTCCCCTTTAACCGCGCAAGAAGTGACTGCCTTCTGCCGCCACACGTGCAGCATCTGCACTGCAGATTCGTGTGCCATGCCAGAAGTGCATGCAGCATGCATATGCAGTGCATGTACATAATATATGTGGTGGCCCAGTCATGACGTCGTTTTTCTCGGGCAGCATTGATTTTCTTGACACAAACAAGCAAAAGTCGTTGGGGCGCAACGCAGTCCGCGTGTACGATGCATGCATGCAGGCTTTTTCATCATGAAGATTCGACGCAACGACGGCCGGTTACGTCTCAAGTCAAGAGTCAAGTCACGATCACACTGCACTGATACTGATTATGACAGGCCTGCTTCTTCTTGTACGAATAATAAAATTGTAGTGTTCTGGACTGTCGACTCGAGGTAGCTAGCTGTCGTGTCGAATGTCGTTACAACTAGAGTTGATTTTCTGTGAAGGTGACTAGCAGTAGTACGATCACAAGGTTCGTTCGCATCAGTGAGGAAGTAAGTCTTATGTTCCAACACTATAAATTTGGCTTCCTCTGAAAATAATTAATTTGGAAATTATACGACTTTTATACTCATTGATGCCAGTATTGAGTGCATGTACAACGAATAGTGTACAAAGTAGCTTTTCTTGATTCGATTTGTCCTCTGAAAATGTCTGACCAAATTGCCCATGAAACAACCATGGCATTGGAGGTGTCCCCTTCGCAACAGCAAAAGTCTGAATCGTTTTCTGCCGTGAGTCTAGATGAGGAGCAGGGTACCGGAATTCCAGGGGTAAAGCTTGAGGAGACCGAGGTCCAAGAAACGACAGCTCCGCCAGTGGCTCAGGCGTTGCAGCGTTTGAAGCTGGCCACAGAGACTCGCTTGAGGTGCACCAAGCAGATCCTCTCAGAGAGATTCGGAAAGGGAACTCGAACTGTGGATGCCCAGTTGGATGAAAGGATTGCTACCCTGAGGGAAACACAGAGAAAGTATGCATTGATTTTGACCATTGTGCGGAGGCTGTCAACCCAAGTGAGGGCATCCATGGAAACCCAACAGACTCTTGGCGACATGTTTGCTGAGTACTCAGTTCACACTCCGGAGCTGCTGGAGGAGTTCAAACGCAACAGCGACGTACAGCGCCAGGTGTCGCGCAATGGCGAGTCATTGCTAGCAATCATGTTGACGTTTGAGAGCAGCCTGGACACCCTATCGTGCAAGACCATAGAGGATACGCTGCTGAAAGTGAAAGAATACGAGAGTGCAAGACTGGAGTATGATGCGTTTAGAACCGACCTGGAACAACTCCGTGCGTTCAAGGTACAAAACCCAGGCAACACTGGAAAGGCACTGAAGCTGGAGCGAGCCGAGGCTGACTTTGAGATTCACCGTAGCCGGTATGACAGGATGAGAAGTGAGCTGGCGATCAAGCTGCAGCTGCTGGACGAGAACAAGGTGAGTGTATGCTACTGCTGTGGTGCAGTGTACCAGTGGTGCAGGTGCGACTGTGTACGTGTACGAGTTGTGCACGTGCGAGTGTGTATCGATGATGCAGGTGCGAGTGCGAATTGGTGATATAGCAAGTAGGAGCGAGGGTGTACAGCACTGGGAGTGCATGAGGTAGTGTGTATTGTGGTGCCGGTTGGAATGTCCCTGGATATACGTGTGTATGTGTACATGTGTACATGCAACCCTGTGTGAAAGTCTCTATCCTCTACATCTGAGAGCCTGTCAACGTTGTATGTGAGCCAAGGGTATTGAGTCTACTACAGGCCTGGCAAGTGAAATCCGACACTTACCATAGGGGGCAGCGCCACAAATGGACACCAATGATGTAACGCACTGTGCCAAGCGCGTACAATAGAGCCGTATGCATCCCACACAGGTCGAAAGGTCACAGCGCAGATACACACAGTTCACAGTCATGGTACACATTAAGAGTATTGGTATCCAGTCCCTGGTGTTTCGCTAGGCTTCTGCCGCACGCAGTCCCCGTAATGGGCCGTATACCAAGCTCACACCCGACGGAGTCACTCACAACACAAAAGACTTTATGGTTGATTAGAAGTAGAACGCCATGTCACGAACCGACTATTTCGTTCTAAAAACTACATGTGCAAAGAAAAACTCTCTGGAAACCAAAAGGCAGCGCAGCCAAACAAAGGTACAGCTAAAAACCTCATGCCGCACGCACAAGAACACAACAACCAAAAAGGCTACACGGTGCCAAGGCTGGCTCAGCGAAACCGACCGCAGCGGAACCTAAATGGTAGCCCGCTGTACAAATTCGATATTACATCAGGCATCAAGGTGCCCCCAAGGGGAGCACATGAAGACAGTAAGATGCCAGGAGATAAAGGTCAAATCACAGAGAACAGACAGCATGACCGCAATGGCAATCAGGAAGAGAAAGCAGATCGCAACTGAACATGACATGAACGTGTAGACTGAACTCCGTGGCATTCTCGCCACGCCATTCTCCCCTTCCTGATGTGTCTACGGAGAGATACATCACCAACACTCGAAGCGGAAAAATGAAAGAAAAACAGAAAAGATTGCCTGAGTTGCTAGTGCTCAAGCAAACAGAAACAAAAAAAAACAAAAAATCAAAAAAAGATGATAGGCAACGGAACAAGAAATGAAAACAACATGAAAGAACATGTGCGAAGCAAGAGAGAAGCAAGAGAGAAGCAAGAGAGTGAAAAGACATGACCATACTTCAATGGCGATGGTCCAATGCTGTTGCTACTCAGTAACTCACTGATATGCTTCCAGCGGGCAGATCTTGCTTATTGGGCGACGTAGCGTGGTGTTCTTCACCTTTACGTCCACGACTCGTACCAGCCCGTCACGTCCTGGGTGAACATCGACAACTCGTCCCAGCTGCCACTGACCACGTGGTGTGTCTTTGGCGAGTAGGATAACGACATCACCGACTTGCACGTTGTTGTAGGGTTTCTTCCATTTGGCACGACCACTCAGCATGGGCAGCCATTCTTGCATCCATCTTGCCCAGAAATGTCTGACCAGCTCCTGGACTCGTCTCCAGCGTCTCCTCAGGCTAGCTGCTGGGTCATCACCGGGTACATCAATACTGTGGCTCGCGTCGCCTAGCAGCAAGTCACTTGGAGAGATAGGAGTACAGTCTCTGGCATCTGAAGATACCGTTGTCAAGGGCCGACTGTTGATCAGGTGTTCTGCTCCAATCGTTGCCGTCACTAACTCCTCATCTGTGATGTCACCTGACTTCAGAATGGCGTACAGTGCTCGTTTGGCAGCCTTCACCATGACCTCAAATGGTCCTCCGAAGTGCGGTGCTGCGGGTGGGTTGAAGTGCCACTGAATCCGTTGACCGTTGGTTGCCTTGATGATCTTCTTCTCGTCCAGTTCACTTCTCAACTCGCGTAGCTCGGTTACTGCACCAACAAAGTTCGTGCCATTGTCAGTGAGCACCTCGTGTGGCTTGGCCTTTCGGCGTTGGCATTCAGGACATTGACGATCCACTTCCTTGACTGCTTCGCGTGCACCGACAACCCAGAACCGCTTTACTAACTCGTTCAGAACTTGATTGTTGCCGAGTGCGTGATGACCGTTGCCATGGATCCGCGTGATCACAAGCTTAGTCGTTGGATGCGTCCTGGGAAGGATGATCGGTGAGATCGTGTCAGAGGGCAAGAAGTCCGCGTACTGAAGACGACTCCTTGCACGCAGCAAACCACTGTCATCTAACTGTGGATGGAGTGCTGCAATCTTGCTCTGGGAACTCACAGGTTGTCCCTTCTTGATGGCCTTGATCTCATCTCGGAACTCAGACTCTTGCGCTGATTTCACCAGCATCAACTCAGACTCACTCAATTCGTCCACTGTCAATTCACCCAGTTCGCGGCGTTCGTGTGGCGCGCGAGCGTTGTGAAGAAATCTCATCACCCACGCTTGCACACGAATCAAGCGCTCCAAATCAGAGTATCGCTGCGGTTCCAGTCGCCAAACACTGGGCTCCGTTGCGCCTGTGCCCTCATCATCAGTACCCGTCTCAGTGCTGCTCATCAGAACGGTCTCCTTCATGGACTTTGTTTCCTTTGCTTGGGCTGTAGGTAACTGTCGTACTGGCCAGTCATCAGACAGCTTGGCCATGAAGCTAGGACCGGTCCACCACATACTGTCCGGCGTGAGCGATGTTGGGGCGCATCCTCTCGACACAATATCAGCCGGGTTCTCTGCCGTAGGGACATACCGCCATTGATCTGGGCTGCTTGCCTGGTGAATCGTGCTCACTCTGTTGGCAACGAACGTCTTGAACAAGCGACTCCGGCCACGGATCCACCAGATCACGTCCATACTGTCAGTCCAGTAGATGATGTTCTGCGGGTTGATCTGCAACACCTTGGCTACTTCGTTGGCCATTTCGACTCCCAGCACAGCAGCCATCAATTCGAGCCGTGGGATGCTTGTGGCGGTAGTTGGCGAAACTCGTGACTTAGCAGACACAAATACGGTGCTGATCTCGCCGGAGGCGTAGCGGATACGTTGGTAGATGACGGCACCATACGCTAACTCTGATGCGTCGCCAAATACGTGAAGCTCGACATCTTGCGGTGTAGCGCCTGCAATGGCCTGCAAGCAGCGTGGCACTTGAATTGAGCTCAGTGCAAGGAGATCCTGGAACCACTGTCTACAACGTGAGCTCAGTTCGACGGGAAGCACTTCGTCCCAAGTTGCACCGCTAGCCCAGATCTCTTGCATCAGTATCTTGGCACGGATGATCACTGGTGCCAGAAATCCTAGCGGGTCGAAGATCGTCGCGATCTTTCGGAGGATGTTCCTCTTCGTCATCATCATATCGTCAGGTGGTATGACAGCCTGAAAGCTGAACATGTCGCTGTCGCTCAACCAACTGATCCCTAGAGTCTTAATCTGGGATGGGCCGTCTCCGTTCAGGCTGAGTTGCGTTGCCTGATCTTCTCTGGGTATGTGACCCAACAGCTCCGGAGCATTCGACAGCCACTTCCTCACTGCCATGCCTGCTCCCTTCCATGCTGCTGTCACACTCTTGTACAGGGCCACACCCTCGGCAATCGTAGAGACTGAGTCCATACCGTCGTCCATGTAAGTTGATTCGAGCATCATCTCGGCTGCACGGGCGAATTCTGGATCTAGTGTCTTAGCGTGCTCTCGCGCGACCAGTTGCGCTAAGAACGGGGAGCAGTTCAGACCGAATACCACCCGGTTGAATTCGTACACGTCTGGAGCCGACTGCGAGTCTGTATTCCACAGGAATCTCAGATATGGCCGATCTGATTTTCTGACTTCAACCTGTAGATACATCTCCGTAACATCACAGCCAATGCAGATCGGATGCCGCCGAAACCTGAGCAGAACAGCCGATAGATCACGTTGTAACTTCGGACCGGTGTGCAGCAGGTCGTTGAGGGCGGTGCCATCATGCTTAGCTGACCCGTCGAACACAATGCGAACTTTCGTCGTACTTTTGTCCAGTCGGACAACCGGGAAGTGTGGAAGGAGCCACGATCCTGCTTCACGTGGGTTTGCATTCACCTTCACCACGTACCCTTTTCTCACGTAACTCTCAATGGTCTCTGCATAGCGCTCTGCAATTTCTGGGACCCGTTTCAGCCTCTTCTGTGTTTGCGCAAGTCTCTTCGCTGCCATGTCGTAATTGTTGGTGGGCCGTGATGCATCTGCCCGCCATGGCATCCCGACACAGTAGCGACCATTGGTGAACGTCATTCGTTTCTTTGTCGCTGTCAGGACGTCCAGGTTTTCCGGTGACATGGGGTGTTCTGGGCTGGTCACTTGCTCAATTTCCCAGAACTGTCGCAAAGTCTTATCCACACTCAGGAGGGTCTCGCTGCTGGCGATGATAGCGCTGCAGCAGTGGTTTGTGCCCCCGCCACGGCTAACCCCTGCTCCGACGCAGGTCCATCCGAGAGGTGTGAGACGCGCGATGGGCTCTCCGGCTGGTCCAGACACTTCATACAACGCACGATGAAGCTCGGCATTGTCGACGCCAATGAGCAGCTTGATCCTTTCAGGGGTGGCCGGTTCCGGAAACGGTATATCAGCCAAGTGCTCATAGCCAATCTTCTTGCTACTCCAGTCCGTTAGCTGCAGACGTCCTGTTACCTGGTTGGGAGTTGTGAGTCCGACTACGGTTGTCCGTGATTGACCGTTAATATTGGCGATATCGAACTCCACTTCCATGGATTTGAAAGTGCTCCGCTTTCCATTCAGCATATTGATAGTCATGTCATGCTGCTCACCACTCATTCCTAGCGCTGTGGCAACGTCTTCATGGATGAAGGTGTTGGTACTTCCGTCGTCCAGAAGCGCATTGACGACGAGCCGCTTACTACCGGACCTGAGAACGACAGGCACAGTGCGTAAACTGGTGTAGCTCGTCTCGGCTGTTGCATTGCTGCATTGCTGGGGGGACT